CTGCATTTTGGTTAGCTTTCTTTTCTTTCCTCTCCTTCTCTTCTTTTTCTTTCCTTTTTTCCTTCCTTTTCTCTTTTTCTTCTCTCCTCTTTCTTTCTTCAACCTCCAGAACAGCCCTATTTATTTCATTCTTATAATCACTTTTATATTCTAAGAATGTTTCCTTCATTAACTCTCCTACAGCTTCCCCTCCATGTTCTCTATCGATCTTTATCAAAAGATCATGATCCAGATAACCAATTGATGAAATCTGATTATTTGCATAATCAGATAATGGTTCTTTGATTTCCATTTTTATTTCTTTAACGTATAACTTTTTCAGACGCATTTTCATAATAAAATTTTCTCTATATTCTTCTCTTTCCCAGAGACTCAAGCACCTATCATATGCCATATTCAGCACTTCAAATATTTGTTTCTCTTCCCTCTTGTTACAAATAAGTTCTCCATGCTTCTTGATCTCTTTGAATTCTTCTTTTTTCTTCTTATTTTCTTCTGAATCAGGATTAGGTAGGTCCTTTAACTTCCTAATCTCTTCTGAAGCTTTGGACACAAAAAGCTTTCCAAGTTCCTCAAGTGTTCCCTTACACCCTTCGAGTATTTTTTTTGCTAGATCTCCAAATGTCATCTTGTCCTCCTCATACTTTTTAGAAAGAGAATCAAAGTGCTTATATAGACCACTTTTTTGAAGGACTTCATCTGATAACATCATAGTCGATTCTCTACAAAAGGGAACGTTCAAAAACCCCATACACCACAATGTTAATCTTGGTAATCCCTCAATGATTTTCTTTACATGTTCTCTCTTTCCTTCTTCTATCTCACTGTATTTTGTTGTAGGGAATACTAAAAATGAATTATCATGAATAGCAAATGGATATAATATCACTTTCCGATAGTTGAGTATCTTAGGAGAATTTTCGAATACTTCTCTCCCTGCTTTTCTTTCTGCATCATTCATCTTCCGTCCAATCCTTCTTTCTATATCTTCTATCCCTATCTCCAAGGAGCTCCATACTACATTTATCAGACCAAGTAACTCTACTACATATATCCAAATCATCTGAAAGGGATTTCCAATCTAAACTTATATACTAGAGTCCCTTTCTTATCTTCATTAAGGATTCATCATTAATAAAAATATCGATTTTGATAAGTTCCTGACTTCATTCTTCTCCAAATCAAGAATATCCTTTGATAGTTAGAAACAACCTAATTGCAACTATCATCCATCTACGGAGTAACAATAATAACAACAAACTCTTTATCTAGTACACTAAACTCTTATACTCAACCGCGTAAGCATAAATCATACTTCTTTATTCCAATCTATAGCTATAGGAGGACCCCTCCACTATATTTATCTTCTTTAACACTTTCTATGTATTTGTAGAATCTTTATGAGGAATCTGAAGTCCTTGTTCATTCTTTCCACTGAGAATCGCACTCCTTGAGAATATACAAGCTCCTCCTTTGCAGCTGACTCTTTTGGAAGATCTTCTCCTAGAGGATCTTACTTCTTCTTTGTTTAGTCTTTCCTTGATCTTTTATTACATCCTCACGGCGCCCGTGGATTCATATCTCGTAAGGATGTTTCTAGTAACCGACTCAGTAGCCTTAGACATCTTATTACTAATTAAAATCCTTAACAGCTTCCTATCTCCCCTCTTAGCTTCTCATAAATTTTTCTTTCATACCTTAAACTATCCATTTTAATGATTTCCGAACCTATCTCCCTTATTATAAATTTTTATTTCAATCACTTTTATCCAACTAGCCTTACTTTTTTAAATTCTTCTCGTATGAATATAGCCTCTATTTCCACTATCCCAGAAACAACTATTTGTAAAAGAAGGTGCAGATAGCTTGTTTTTGCTTTCTTGTTATTTCAAAGTAAGCATGGAAAATATCTGCAAACATTTTGAATCTCCGTTAATTTCATATTCTTTATAAAATTTGATATTTAATGGATTTCTTTACCTGTTAATTGTTTTTATTTGGGATGTACTTTGCACAAATTGCCTCTTATTAGCCGACCTTAATCCAAAGATATATTAAAAAATAAATTCAATTATGGAATAGTAAGTAACTGAAGGAAGACAAGGATCAAGAAATAAAAAGAAAATTTCGTATTTTAAAGTTTTAGTTAGTTTTCTTCCTCTTGTGAGAGTTTTACCTTGTTCCCAAGAATATTTTTTAGCTCTTTCCATCCAACATTATCACCACTACTTTCCTCTCTTAAACGGTTATTTCCTCTCAAATCTAGCAGAACTAAACTTTTGCTATCTGCAAGTATTTCGATTAACTTCCTGGGAATCTTTCTTAGTCTTTTGTTTTTAGTGAAAATAATTTTCTCTAAGTTCTCTAAATATCCAAGTATTAGAGGCAACGTATTAAATAAATTTCCTTCGAGATTGAGTATTCTTAGATTGTCTAGAGCACCTATTCCGAAAGGTAATGCTGCAAGTTCATTGTTTCCAAGATCTAACCGAACCAGGCTATCCATATTGTGTATTTCTTCGGGTAACATTCTTAGCTGATTATTTCGGACACTTAATTCCTCTAGATGCTCCAGAAGTGTAATTTCCTTAGGAAGATAAAGGAGGTTGTTGTTGTTGAGGTTTAGTTTTTCTAGTGAAGCCAAGCCTAGTATTGAGTCTGATATGTATTTTAGTTCGTTGTTGCTGGCATCGAGGACTTTTACAAACGAAAGTTTTTCAAAGTATGGAGGTAACCTGTCTATGTTGTTTCTACTAATATCGAGTTCTATAATTTTCTCTCCTCTCATTATACTCTCAAATACCTCTCGAGGTACGTTCCTCTCTCTCCTACCTGAATAGTTTAGACAAACATATTTCTCTCTTCCTCTTAGACTGAAAACTGTGTCTATTATCCACATGGCACCTATAACACCTGTACCTAGCCTCATTTCTCTAAGGGCCCAAGCTAGCTCTATAATTGAATTTCTTTAAAATACATGTTATATGCCAATATGAGTTTAATATCATAGTTCATTATACTTGCCTGTTTTTAACTTCCCTGAATAACATCTTGACACTTTTAGAATTTTGACCTATCCGGCCAGTAGTAAGCCAGCGTAAATAAAATTAACTGAATAAAGTCAATGGCTTGGAGTTGGGCCTTAGATATGTCCCACAAGTCTCTTGTCTCAGATGGTATGGTTTCTTCCCATAATGAGAGGAGTACCAATGCAATTCCACTTAGAACAAAGCTCCAAGATACCACAAGTGCATTACCTGTTTTTGCATGGAACGCAATTGCAGAGGTTATCATGACAATAGCTCCAATAGAAATGATTTTTCCAATACTGCTGCATCTGTAGACGGGGCGGGGGAGAAGTCCCAGACTCTTAAATCTTATATAACTAACAGAAGAGAATGTTGCGAATACTTTCAGAATATTCACGTTAGAATTGTATAAACCATATAGAAATACTTCTCCTATACATGTAAACAATCCTGTCATGCACAGGACAATAAATGTAAGATATAGAAAAGACTCCTTTGCTCCGTTTGAGGAAACGTTCACACACCAATTTCTTACTATCCAGTAAATCAACATGAATGCCGTGAAAGATGAACTGGATACTGCAGCCACGAATTGAAGTATAGTGTTTGTTCCCGTCAATTTATCTGACAGATGAATTGCCGTAGGAACCAGCATGGATGCTAATCCGAGCGAGTTTGCTAGTACACTCATTTTATTCTTCTTGAAATTCATAATACCCATTATTTCCAGAACAAATTTATTATTTTTAATTGGAAAATATAGAAATGAACGTTTATGAATATCACTTTAATTGTTGATTTGATATCGAATTTCCATTAATGGAAAATTGGTTGTTAATAAAATGTAGTTTTCCGCTATTAAGAAACAAAAGAGTAAAATTATATAAGTTCCCAAACCCCTATTAGTATGGAAAAGACTTCAACATTAAATCTAGAATTTCAACTATTCAATCTCATGGCAAAAAGTCAATCCATTGAAGTGCTTATTGTGTTTGGAGTAATTTTTGGAAATATGGTGTTCAATAACATGAAAATGGAAAGCTTATCTTTCCATCTTTTTGGAGTGGTTACAGTTGTACTTCTCACTGCCTACTTACTGGCAATTATAGGATCCACCGAGTTTTCTGAAAACGACGATAATACCATCTTTAAATCTATGGCTATATGCTCGATGGTAGTTACTTCGATCATTGCCGTAATTCAATCAGTTTGTTCTTTAATGGATCTTCGGAAGGATAGAGCAAAACTTTTTTACTCGGAAAGGGGAGAAAGGTTAATAATAGGAGGATACGCTGCTATCATTTCAATATTATTTCTGCTGATTCAGATATCAAAGATGGTGAGTATGAAAAAAATTAAGAAAAGTGTCTTTGTAAGTGTCTGCATCATGATGGTAGCATCTGTGTTCTATTTCCTCCTCTCTGAGGAAATCGATCAAGAACAAATCTTGTCTTTGATTATAGGTCTTGCTTTGATAGTTGGAATAATTGTGCTGATAAATATTGGAGGATCAAAAGAAATAGATATGAAAGAGAAAGGTACTCTACCTTATGTGATGTCTTCTATAATCGTTTTCTTTATTACTTCTGCACTAGGTGCAAAAGTGGTGGGAGACAAAGTTAAGCTAGTGGAAAAATTAGCTTCGGTCTTTACAGTTATTGATAAATGTATACTGACCAAAAAATAAGATATTAAAAAAGACATCTTGCTATCTAAAATGCTTCAATTGTTGAACAATTTTCAAGGATTTGAGAGGAAAGATGGTTTTAATCCCTATGGGAGAAGAGTTTGATGTCTTTCTGATTGGTGTTTCTCCTAAACCCCATATTTTTTAAAACATAGGGAACATAAAACACAAGAAAAAGATATGCAATGCACAACCCATGTGCTAGGTAGTTTGGAATATTCTTCGGACTGAAAAAATGCTTGTTTATAAATACAAGAAGGTTGGACCAAACTAATATAAACAGTAAATACTTACTTGTGAAGCGGTGCATCTTGAGTTCTTCAATCCTAAAAGCCTTATTAAATATTCCAAAGGTAATTCCCTGTGTGGTGTGAAGAAACATTATTATCATAGCAAAAGAAAGGTTATGTATTCTGCGGCAGGGCACGGAATATGTACGAGTCATCAGAAATATGGTAAAAAAAAGTAAATTGTAGAACATGATGATATTTGTGTTCTTTCTTTTGAATATGGCTTTTGATATGTCGCTTGCCATCAAAAACATCCCCATTTGAGGCAGAAGGAATGTAATTCCTTCAATATTTGCAGTTATCAAGTTTGATCTAGTGGAATTGTATATTACCTCTTCTAATCCAAAAAACTTCAAGAAGATCTCATGGAATAGACACATAGCAAATCCCACTAAGAAGTTTGCATATGTGTCTATAAACAAAGAGGCCAAGTTTAAGATTCCAAGCATGAAAAAGAAATTCAAATGGACTCCAAACTCTGCATCTTTGACATCGAGCTTAAGTATCACTTTGGACAAGTATCTTAAGGCTCCAAAAAAGAAGGAAGACAATATGTTCTTGATTTTCCTTTGCTTACTTGCTTTTACCGAAAAGAATCCTGCATTGTACACGAAGGAGCCTACACCTATATCCATGAGCTTGAGTCCATAATCCATGCTTTTCCCTAACTTTCTTCCGTCGTAGAAAGAAAAATCAGATGCAAATATAGTAATGGCAACACTGGTAATGATAAGAGAGCGAGTTCTGTCTATTGCAATTGATGTGTTTAGGTCTTTTTCCTGAAACACTGAGGAGGAGATTTGTTTATACTGAGATGGAGCATAGCTTTTCCATGGCCATACAGATTTTCTCTGTTTCCACTCTAGAAACATCGTGAATAAAAGGTATGCAATAAGCATAAAGGAAAATCCGGCATAAATTAGGCCTGAGTACCCAATAAAAACAACCACAAAGTATAATGGAATTGCGGAAAAGACAAATTCTAAAAATGCAGACCTTGGCAGCATTAAATAATATACCAATATGGATAGCTGTGTTATGCTTGTGGCTGCAAATAGCTCAACTTCACTAAGAGTTTTCGTCATGAAGGGCTATACTTCTAATAAAACAAATAAAAGAGTGAAGTATTTATGGAATGGAATAATAAATAGAAAATACCAAATTTATTTTCTAACCTGTTCAGGAGGTCTGTAAGGTCTTCTGTCAGTTCATCAGAGAAATGCTTCTTCAAGACATTGATGGACTCCTTTGTAAGCACAGAGTATAGAATGTCGCTTTGCTCAAAATGCCTTCCAAACATCCGAGGTGGTATATTGGGCTTGGCCTCGATCTTTATGGCCACCTTCAAGCCTTTAGGTGCCTCTTGGACAGCTTCTTTATTGTTCTCGATAGAGGTCACTATGCCAAGTTTAACTGTCTCGCTTTCCTTGAACACACAGAGAGGTGTCCCTATTTTCAGAATCCCCTCCTTGACATGGACTCCTATTACCAACGGGCTCCTGGAGTTGAAAATGCATTTTGGGACAATTGACAGTTCCACCGGAAATATTGCCTGTTCCATGTGGATTTTCTTGTCCTTCTCTTTTTCCTCATTTACAAACCTCAGGTATGAGTCTAGGAGATGATAGATAATTTTGGCCTCAAATATCCTTACGCCCATCGAAGAGGCCATGTCCTTCATTTCCTTGTCCAACACTACATCAAAGCAAAGGATTGCTGCATATTTTTTTTGTTTTTTTACCATCGAGGCCACAATTATCATGTCTTTCTTCTTTACTGTCCCGATACTTACGCCGGATATCAGTACATTAGAGGCCTTTAGAAATGAAACCAGGGCCTCCAGAGACCCAAGGGTGCTTGATACAACATGGACTCCTTCCTGGTGAAGTTCTATAGACGAAAAAACCGACTCTAAGTCTGCTGCAAGAGTGTTTTTCACTTCCTCTTCGTTATTTTTTATGACAAGGACACGGCTTCCAGCTATTGCCTTTTCAAGGCCACCTGCTGCAATCTTGATTCCAAGACTGGCCCTTACTTCTTTTACCATAACATACTGGTTTTTGACCCTTAACTCTTTCAATGGTTGAGGCATAAGTAAGGCCTTGATAGTCGTAACAATAGGCTCATGGAATCCACAGACTCCAATTTTGTCTCCTTCTTTCAGAACCCCGTTGCTTAGGATGGCATCAAGGGTTACTCCAAAACCTTCGACGCTCTTTACTTCGAGAACAGTACATTCAACCTCATCTTTGATCTTCATCTTTGATCCCATATATTTCTCGGACAGCTCCAATATCAGAGATACCAAGTCAGGAATTCCCTCTCCAGATACTGCAGATGTAGGAACCAAAGATACAAATCTCTTTTGGTTTGTATTTTCGTAAAACAACTTCACATTCAAACCTATTTCTGCAAACGCTAGGACTGTGTTGTTTACTCTTCTCTTAAAGTCGTCTATCGTTGGTTTTGATTGTTTCTTAAGCGTGGTCTTAATTTCTCCAAATGAGGTAGATTTCCATCCATAGAGTCTATCTACTTTGTTAAGAGCAACTACAAATGGTGTTTTCCGTTTTTTAAGAAGCTCTATACTTTCCAAAGTTTGAGCTTCAAGTCCATGGACTATGTCCACCACAAGTATTGCAAGATTGCAGAGAGAAGATCCTCGTGTCCTTAGGTTGGCAAAAGATTCGTGCCCTGGGGTGTCGATGACCAAGATTCCGGGAAGCTTTGATTCCTTCCTTCCACACTTCTTGAACAGCTCGGATACCGGAAAGAATGTGGCACCTATCTGCTGTGTTATTCCTCCTGCCTCTTCTCCTTGAACATTTGACTCTCTTAATTTGTCAAGAAGTTTTGTTTTTCCCGTGTCGACATGTCCTAAGATGCAGCAGATTGGACTTTTAAACTCGGAATTTTCACCATTAGTTGTGTTTGCTTCTACAGTTTCTTTGGCACTCTTCAAGTTTCTTTCGTTTTCTCCATTCATTTTCATTTTTTCCAAAGATTTGTCTATTTCCTCCAAATCCTCTTTGTCTTTACATCCTTCCTTACTCTTTTTGTCTGTTGGTCCAAGTAATGTATTCAGATAATCATCGTCTTTTCTGTTCTTCTTACCCATTGGGAGTATTCGCCTCTCTCCTTAAGAAATTATTTTCTTTGGAAATACTAAGCACACCTAGGCTTCTTACCGCTCGAGACATTGGAACCAATCGACGTTCTGGTTTCAGAACCAGAAACCTGTATAAGACTCTCCAGGAGGAGAAGGAAGATGAATCAAGACATGATCAGTAAGATGGTACCTTTTCTTTCGAAGAAATCGATCCTGATGCTTTATGGTATAACTAGGGATCCGAAATATCCTGTTTACATCATCAGGAGATATAAAGCCAGGCTAAACATAATTCCCACGGGAAAGGCTGCCATGCTAATACAAAGGGCAGTAGACATGGAAAGGAATGACTTGGTAATGGAATATCTATGCCATGTTCCACCGGGAAGAATGACCAGAATCTTACTAAAGTTGGCAGAAAATATAGAACCCGAAAAGACACAGCATATGATTTCGGATTTAAAAAAAAGTAACTTCTGCTTGATGTGCAGTTCTAATAACAGATGCGAGGTAATTGTAGCCCGTATCGAGAACATTGTAAAAAACATAAGGTCATATGCCTACCACTGTAAATAATAAGTATTTAATAAATTTCTTAAATAGATTTTGTTCTGCCAATGCGATGAAGTTACAAACTGCCTGATGGCCCTACTCATGAATGAAGCTATTTTTCTGGATGCCTGAGTCTAATCTTACAGGTGTTTGGAATCCTGATAACCGAACCAACAGAACTAGTATCCATTGGAGAGTCTTGGGTGCCCCATTTCCTTGTCTTTTTCAAATCATCGACGCCTTTTCTATTAGGAGTCTTTCTGTAGAAGCTCTTTTTTGTTGGATCTGCCTCAGGTTTTGGATTGGAAGGTATGTGTTCCTTACGTTCCAGAAATCCCCCGAGAATCTTTTTCGTTCTTGAAAAGGGAATTCTAATAAGATATTCTGCTTGTAAAAGTTTTCTTTTAAGCGTATCTATGCTGTTCAACCTTAGGGTCACTCGCTTGTCCCCCATAAACTCTCTACCCAGTCGATTGATTGTTTTACGTAAGTCGTTTGGAAGAGTTCGCTCATAGATTCTAACCACGGCCTTGTGGTATTCATCACGTGTTAACTCCATATCTTCTATGAGATAAATCAGATTGGCAATCTTTTCTTTAACAATTGCGTTCCCTTGGTTGAGTCTCAGTAACTTAAATATTTCTTTTCTTTTTCCTTTTAGAACCTTTTTGAAGTTGAATTTTGGAGACGATCCAAGAGCTGTCATGACATCAAAGGCTACGCACTTGATAGTGAACGTTCCTTGGAGCAGCATTTCAAAGATCGAATTAACCACTTCTTCGTCTTCATAAAATAGAGAAAGTAAAACTTCAAGCGCTGCAACTCTCACACTGCAGAAGTTGGGATGTTTCGAAAGCTGGATCAAGGCATTTTTCTTCAAGCTCATCATTCCAAACAAAGAGAGCCGTCCTAAGGCATATATGCAAGATTTAGTTACCAGATTTCTATGTGATGGAAAGACCATGTCCAGGATCCTAAACCTTTCGATCTCAGAAACCGAAAGCTGAAGATAATCAGGGTTTTCCGAGGACTCTGTCCTTATACTCTGCCCACCCTTGTAAACACTCGAAAGATCACCATCTTGCCTTTTTCCTTCTTCTTTATCTATCGAAAGGTAAGGTGATTTCCTATTCTCATATCTTTCATTCATGTCGAATGAATTCATGTTACCTTTGTCACTTCCTGCAGAAAGATCGTCTAAAGACAATCCCCCATGCTTCTCAAAATCCTTGCTGCTATTTCCTTCTGCCCTAAACAGATCGTTGATGTCATCCTCTGTTTTTCCCGGCCTGTGGAGAGTGTGCTCTTTATTTTTGGACTTCATGTGCTCCCCAGAGTAGAATTCCGGAAAGCTCATTGAAGAAAGAGGAAAGCTCAGACTTTCAATCACAGAAGATATGTACCATCCATCGCTATAGGAGTTGAACGAGTTGTCATTAAACTTGAGTATGTTGATAATAAATGCAGAAATTATGCTTGCTGATCCCACTTCTCTTCCTGAATAGTTTCTGAAAATAAACGGATCTGCAAGCGACAGTGCCCTCACAAGGTGTTTCTGTATGAAGTATGGAATAAATGAAAAGTCGTTTGGTTTGACTATCGTGGATGTTTGAACACAATACTTCTTTACAAAATACTGAATAAGCCTTTGGAATCCATAGTAGCTTCCAATTGTTGTTCTGGAGAGAATGTAAAGTATATGAACTCTTATCTTGTAAAATATGTGTGTGTTTTCAAGCATTCTTTCAAGTATCTCACAAACTTGAACAGACGGCTTTATCGAGAGATTCTCGAGAGCCTCCATCTGCCCGACTACATTCTTGTCTAGTAGCTGTTCAATGAACATGTAGTCTGGCTGCTCTATAACGATCCTTGCCAGATGCTCTCCTTTTATGTCTGCTCTTATCCACAGCAGAGGCATTACCTCCTCTTCTTCCTCAGACTTCTTTTTCTTCTTAGTTTTTGGGTGGTAGTAAAAATGATTCTCTCTGTCCAGCATAAACACATGTTCAAATATTCCTTCCATCTCATAGCTACAGATAGTTACAGGCCCACATATTGTCTTATTCCCATTTGAAAAGATACTTGTTGGGGTTTGCTCTGCCGTGAAGTCCACTCTATTGCTTTTCTTGTTTATCGTAAATCCAAGCCTTACTTTCACCACTCCAGGCTTAAATACATAAGTTTCAAAAAGAAACCGAAGATCTTTTCCAGTAACATCCTTTACAAGCTTAACAAACTCAAAGCTATAATCCTCTTTGACGTCCCCCTTCCTCTTTATAGTGTAGTTCAAAATCTTTTCCATAAATGCCCTGCTGAGGTTTCCTTCCAGAAGATGGAAGAAGACCTTGGCTTTGGTTTTAAAGAATTTGTCTCTCATTGAAAAAAACGTCCTCCGTGGATCATACAATGCATATTCTGCAACATCTCTATCTAGTACGTAGTCCCTGTCCTTCTTGAGTTCGTATAGAAACTCGTTATTTCCCAGAAAATGCCTAGCACAATAGTCTTGGAAGTATCCCTTCATCCCTTCAGCAATCCAGAAGTCTATCTTTTCCACTATGGAAAAATAGAAATAGAATATCTGGGAGCTTAGTATATCACATACAATCCTTTTTAGAAGAAACATAGGCTCAATATCGTTCAAGGATGTGAGATTGGATAGAGCCAGAAATGCAGTATTCTGCCCATACACCTTGTCTGCATCTCCAAACACAAAGGCAATCGAAAGAGCTTTGAAAGGATATTCTCTTTGGAGAAAATATTCGGAATACCTGATCAAATTTTCAACGTCGCAGCAGAACTCTCTTATACAATCCTTGTATCCTTCGGATCCTTTCGGAATGCATACGGCCTTTCTATCATCTCCTGTGGAAATCTCATAGCTATCAAAAGTTCCTATGCAAAAGTTCAATGCCCCACTATGGGCCATCTCCACTGAATAAGAGTACAGGATCACATTTTCTTCCTCTCTTATACTCTTGAGGATCCCTGGCGATATGATTTTTACTTCCTCACTGCTTGGTAGAATGTAGACTAGTTCCCATTTGTTCTTGTAAGGTGTTGAAAGAGATGGAAATATTGAAGAAGAATCAAACATTCTGTTGCATGCTACCACTTCTCTATGCCTATCCTCCGGAGAAATAGGTCTGTAGAATTCCACCGAGTCGTTGTTTTCTCCAATCTCGTACAAGATCCGGACTGTAAATGTATTTTCCCTAACTTCCTCTGGCACACGAACCTCAAATGTACCATCTACATTTATATTTTTCCACATATTTCTACTAAAAGATCTCTCACACTCGTCAATAGCATCTGTTGCATCTTTAATCGTATAGTTCACTGTCTTCAGCTTACTAGATGCAATAATGTCGACACTTAAAACGGCTAAATCTTTTGATTTGTACACAAGCACATCTTCCCCAGCCTCTCTTTGAATTGTTGTCTCGGAAAATCCTCTGTACACACACTTCCCCAGGTCTAGAAAGTACACATTCCTCTGCTGGATCACCTTCATTTTCAGGGCAAATTTTTGTTATACAACTTGAAATAGTGTCTCGAAGACCCCTTGGCTGTATATTTCAACGATGAAAAAGATAAAGGTTGATTGCGGAAGCTTTGCTAATTCAAAAGTAGTAGAACAACTTTGGGAGATGATCAGTAGGGAGGACATATCTTTGCATCAAAAGTCCTCTATCTTTCTTGAAATGACGGAGTACAAAAAAATGAATGAAAAGCTTGTCAAGAGAAACAACGAGCTAATTGAAGAGAACGCATCCATGGTATCTATTCTGGAGGCGCAGAAGGAAAATCCAAATAACGCTTCATCCTTGGGAGAAGAAGCCAAATTCGATGCTGGCTTAAAAATTTCAGAGCTGAACTATGAAATAAGAAGGCTGGATTCCGTTATTTGCGAAATGCAGAAAAGAATAGCTAGAGACTTGCTTCAAAAAGAAACAAAGGATACACCGGAGCTTGAGAGGACTGAGGAGAAAAAGCATGTTGTTGCTGACAGCACCACGGTTACCAACGAAGTATACAAGAAAATTACCGAGGACTACGGAGATCTCAAAGCGAAAATGGCAGGGCTGGAGAGTAAGCATAATGAAGAACTATGTGAAAGAGATCAAAAAATAGCTAAACTTCAAAGGGAACTGAAAGAAGTAATGTCGAATGCCAAAGACATGGGAGAAAGATTCACCATCTTAAACACAGAAAGTGGGAAGTGGAAAGAAGGCCTTCAAACGTTTATCGGGAAGGAGTTAGTATTAAACAATGAAATAAGTGGATGTGTGCCAAGGTTAGAAAAAATAGAGAAGGACATGGAGGAAATTGCGGCAGGATTAGATGTTTGGATGAAGAAGATAGAGCAGTTGGATGCTGAAAAAAAAGAACTCTGGAAAATAACGGAAAATTATAAGAGTTATGAAAGAGTAAGGAATGGGAGTGGTACTTGTGATCAAGGATCTTTGGAGGACGAGATCATTAATCTGGTTGAGAGTCTGGACAAAAGTCTGGGTGAGAACAAAGCATTAGTTCTAAGGCTCGAGGCAGCACACAAAAAGAACAGAGAATTAGAAAGCGAAATGATTTCCCTAAAGATGGCAAGCTCTGACCTGAGAAGCAGGAATGCAAAACTTGAATCAGACATAAAACATCTTGGAATGGAGAACAGATATACAACACAAGGGGACTTGGGAGATCATGGTTTGAAGATCCGGAAACTAGAGAGTTCTCTAGCCGAGTATAACAAAGTAGCTACTGATTACAAGAAAAGATTATATACTTTATCCAAAGAGAAGGAAGAGACCGAAAAGATACTAGAAAGCATTAAAAAACAAAATAGAGAAATGAGGGATGAGATGTCAAGGATTGCTAAGACAAACTCCCAAATCGAAGCAGAGAACAAAAGGCTAAGCGGAGTGTTGAGAGCAATTCAAAACGGAGGCTCTGAAGAAGATACAGATCTTGCTGTACAGCTGGAGAGGTACAGAGGCCTTCTTCGCTGTACCCTTTGTGACACACGCTTCAAGGATACAGCAATAACCAAATGTATGCATTGTTTCTGTGAAGAATGCATAAACTCCAGAATCAGGATGAGAGATCGAAAATGTCCCTCTTGCAATGAGCCCTTTGCACCTAATGACGTAAAGAAAATTTATCTGTAGAAACAATATTCCTTTTTATGAAATCCTTCTTCTTTTTACTGATTGTCTACACGGCTTCGGTGTTTTCTTTGCATTTATAAATCTTCAATGACCGGAAGAAGTTAAAATAAACAGGATCATATTTTAGAAGAACTCTAGATATGGAAAATGCTTTCCATAAAATATGTTATTAGGCCAAATAAAAATTTCTTAGTTTATTCACTAGTTTCATTTTACAACTTTGTACTTCAAAACATACTCAATGATTGGTTCTACCAATCGCCACAATCGAAGATTTTGCTAGTCTCATGTCTTCCAACAATATTCGGAGTCTCTTGTAATGCTTTGTTTTTAGTACAATGTCTTCCTCACTCATCGAGATAATAGTCCCAACAAACTCATCTCCATTTATAGTGGCCTTGATTTTATCTCCTTTGGTAAACATGGAACCTTTTACATTGAGTGTATTATTTTCAACGAAGACATCAAGATCTTCTCCCTCTAATATTCTTCGTAGGTCCTTGGCTATCTCGTCTCCAGTGATATAGAGTATTTCGTCTACATCCAGCGTTGTAGACCTCCTTCTTCTTTTGGTACCTTCTACCATGTTCTTTTGCTCTTCGGAAGAAATAAAATCCAGTTCATCTTCCAAATCATAGATCTTCCTTATGAAATCTTTGTACATTGCGCCCTGCCTCTTCTTTTGCTCTATACGTCTCCTTAGGCTGCTATACAGACTTCCTACATCTCCTGATGGAAAAGATAAACCCATTCTCTTTTGATTAGATCAAGGGGTTTGCATTTAATTAAAAATGGTATGAATGAATATATTCATATTACATTTTATTTCTTATAACCAGAAAGCCCAAAAACCTTTACCTTTTATCGAGAATCCTCTCTAACTCTTCCTTGGACTTGTAACAATGGCCTTTAAAAAAAGAAGTTATCTTGTTGAAAAACCCTTGGAAGTTAAACTCCATTTTACTTCTCACAAATCTTTCATAATAGCAAAAGTTAAGCAACAACTGGTTTCCGCTTGCTCCAAACTTGCGGTTTTCTGAGATGAAAATTTTACAGAACTCAGAAAGCAATTTTCTGTTGTAAATGGAAAACACCTCTTTTCCAAATTCATCATCGAAATTAAATGTTTCTTCTGCATCTCTTGTTATTTGTTTAATCCATTTTTCGGGTCTTCCGATAACCTTACGGTCGCTTGTATAGTCGTCATCCACCAAGTCGAGTATCAAGGCTCTTATTTGGAGTATCTTATGGTCTAGAACATCATTCATTATATTATCGGTTCCTTCCCCACCTACAGCACATAAATCGCTTAAAAGATCAAACTTAGATCGTTTGACCTCTCTTTCATCCAGAAGAATGCTTTTGGATTTCTCAATGTAGTACTTAATAAGCATCTCCTTGTCCTCACCTTCAAAGTCTCCTATTATCTTTTCTACCTTTTCCAAATAGCTACTCATTTATTTGGGATTGAAATCACCCATCCTATTTCTCCCCAGTCTTAAGATCCTTTTCTCTCTCAAGGCTCCAAGGCTTTGTGTTTTGCTTACGACCCTAAAAGAAAAACAACATTTCGAGAGACTTTCTAGGTGCTTGAGAATAGATCTGAGATTAAAAACAAAAATGTTACCACCCCCAATGTCATGTAAGTGAAGATAAATATCAAAGCTAATTTTAGACAACCTTCTGCATATCGTTAAGCCTTTGGTGCCGTACATACCAGATGTCCAATCACCATCGAGAACAATCACCTTCCATGAAAGATTTATCTGGACAACACTTGCAATTCTGATATATTTGATCTCATCCCAGGTTCCTTTGTTTGGAATAATCTCAAATGACGCTGCAGATCCCTTACAATGGATGAGAGCCATGATGGCATCCAACAGAGGGACACTTATGGATCTTGGAACAAGCCCTGTAGTTACATCCAGCCTTATAATGCAGTTCCTGACGATGTCCGAGATACTAAAGGTTGACTGGTCTATCAAGGAAGACAAGAATCTTCACAATGCAACTCAAAGACTTATATCACTCATAATGACGGTTGGCCAAGCATTTGTACAGGTGTATACGGGCTTTTATGGCAGTCCAAAGAGTCTTGGTACAATATACTGCCTTCTTCTTGTTGTCCAGCTCATATTCTCGGGTATTATAATAATTCTCCTCGATGAGCTCCTTCAGAAGGGATATGGCCTTGGAAATGGAGTTAACCTGTTCATTGCAACCAATGTTTGCGAGAGCATTGTCTGGAAAGCATTTAGTCCAAAGGTACTTTTCACAGGTCGTGGAATAGAATTTGAAGGATCAGTAATTGCATTATTTCACCTTCTTGTGGTAAGAAAAAACAAATTTGCAGCAATATACGAGGCTTTCTTCAGACAAAACCTTCCGAATCTCTTTTCATTACTCTCAACTGTGTTTCTGTTTGCATTTGTTATATATCTCCAAGGAATGAGAGTAGAGCTTCCAACAGAATCTTCCCAGGTCAGAGGACATGTAGCCAAATTCCCTATCAAGTTGCTGTACACATCTACCATGCCGATAATTGCTCAAAACTATATAGTTGGACATATTTCATCTATTTCTTCCTTCCTTTACAAAAGATGGCCCCAGTATCTCTTTGTCCGCATACTTGGCGTTTGGAACACATCCAAGACTGGAAGGTACACTCCAATAAGCGGTCTTAGTTATTATATTACATCTCCAGAGTCCCTTCTGGAGGGCCTAAAGGATCCGCTTCGATTTGTCATCTATCTTTCCATTATGCTTCTGACATCGGCCATCCTTAGTACATCATGGCTCGAGTTAAACGAGCTATCCCCTGAAAAAGCCGCTCAGAAACTCAAGGAGTCTCGTATGAGGCTGAAGGGTGTAAGAGAAACAAACACAGTTCACGTGCTTTCCAGATACATTCCAACGGCTGCATTTCTTGGAGGGATTCTCACATCTATGGTTGTCATAATGTCTAATCTTTTTGACACCATCGGGAGCGGCACAAACATCTTCTTGGCCACGTCGATTGTAAATCAGTACCTTGAAATGTTTGCCAAAGAGTCAATCCAAAAGAACAGTGAAATAGGTTTTATCGAGTAAAGTTATTTCTATGGCCCTACAAGCTTTTTTGGAACAATAAAAATTTACCTTCAATTCTTGAATGATAGCAATGGGATTAGAGGGAAGTGCCAACAAGTTAGGCATAGGGATAATGAAGGACAACGAAATACTGGCAAACGAAAGACTCACCTACGCTCCTCCTCCAGGAGAGGGGTTTATCCCTGCCAAGACTGCAGAGCACCATCGCTCCAAAATTCTGGGTCTTATTGCCATGTCATTGGAGAAGGCCGGAATTAATCTTAACGACATCGATATATTTTGCTATACAAAAGGACCGGGAATGGGCCAGCCTCTAGCAGTGGTGGCAACGGTTGCTAGGACAATGAGCTTGTACTGCAACAAGCCTCTTGTTCCTGTAAATCATTGCATAGGCCACATAGAAATGGGTAGGTTTATAACAAAAGCAAAAAATCCGGTTATTCTCTATGTTAGCGGAGGAAATACTCAGATTATAGCATACTACAACAAAAGATATAAAATCTTTGGAGAGACATTAGACATAGCCGTTGGAAACTGCATAGATCGGTTTGCTAGAGCCCTCAAGCTTCCGAACTTTCCTGCACCGGGTCTTAGTGTGGAAAGGTATGCAAGACTTGGAAAAAACTACATAGAGCTTCCTTATGTTGTGAAAGGAATGGATGTTTCGTTTTCGGGAATTCTATCGAATATAAAGAGTAAAATTGTGGACGATGAGCAGTTGAAGTACGATCTGTGTTATTCGCTTCAAGAAACAGTTTTCTCTGCACTGGTTGAGGTCACTGAAAGAGCAATGGCCTTTAGCAACTCCAAAGAAGTTTTAATAGTCGGAGGCGTTGGATGCAATCTGAGGCTTCAAGAAATGATGAACATAATGGCAAGAGAACGTGGTGGAACTTGTTATGCAACCGACGAGAGATTTTGCATAGACAATGGGCTAATGATTGCCCATGCAGGAATGCTTATGGCCAAGAGCGGAGCTTCCTTCAGCCTAGATGAATGCTTCGTTACACAGAGATATAGGACTGACTCCATAGATGTAGTTTGGAGAGATGATTAAAACAAATCAGTTTACAATACAATAAAAGTTTTATAGTCTTGGTTTCCTTATCTTCCTGGGTAGCTCCACAGTTTCTTCTTTGTCTTCCTCAGGCTCAGTCCATTTTTCAAATCTATCGTAGAGACTGCCCCCTAAAGAAATCTCCTTCTTATCTAGGATCCTGGCTCTTGAACTAAGGCTTCCAAGCAAATCGTACTCGAGGTTTTCTTCCCCGTACACCTCACACCCCAAGCTCTTGTAGGCAGGATACTTCTGGGCTCCAAGTATCTCATTCCTATCTCTATAGTAGTCTCCTGCCTCTTCTAGAATCACTTGCGGGCTTATATCTGAACAACAATACATGTACTCTGCTCTTGTGCTAAGATGCTTATAAAACAAAACATATTGGCAGGGATTATCTTTAAGTGCACTAGACGGATGGATTGCACATTTACGGAAGTTGCTTAAGGAAACATATCCCTTATTACTTCTTTTGGCTATGTTATAGTATATTGAAGATACAATACACCTTTGGATTTGCTCTAGAGATCTTGCGCGGGATATTTCTATTCCTCTTCCTTTCAAGGTCATTAATACTGCCTTTTTGATTTCCATGGCCTTTTTTAGTGCATCCCCATTAACTTTCACCTTGTTACACCATTCATTTCTATTTTTACTCGAAATGAATTCGTTAAATATGTTCAGAAGAGTTATGAAGTCACAACTCTGATGGTATAGAGACGACGATTTATCGAAGTCTTTATCAAAAAGTCCATAAATACTGAGCATTCCAACTATGCTTGTTATTTCATCAACAACACCATAGTTTATGGAGTTTATAACCATCCGAGCAAGAGGAGGCTCTAGCTTTAATTCACTCATTTCTTCTCCACTTTTAGTGAGGAGGCCCTTCTGGCAAACCGCTCCTAAGCGATAAAGAAGAAATAAGGCATTATGAATCAACTCCCTTGAGAGACTATCAAGAAAATCAAATCCAAATATATCTTGAACACCATGCTTTAAGAGTAGAAGAATGACATCGTGTATGTTTGTTCTCTGTATTTCTGGCACTGAAGAAGGGAGAAGATCATTCTCATAAGTACTTGCTGTATACATTCTGTAGCATACACCTGGCCTTGTTCTTCCTGCACGCCCTGCTCTTTGGTCTGCCCCTGCCCTGCTTACCGGAATCTTCACCAACGACTCTCCCGTATCATAATTGTAGATACTTATCTTTTGCAACCCTGTGTCTACAACATATCCAATGTTTGGGATGGTTAAGGATGTCTCGGCTATATTTGTAGAAACAATGCATCTTCTTACATTTCTTTCTCTCAGAAACACTTGACTCTGTGCCTCCTCCGAAAGTTGGCTGTAAAATGGGAGAGCCTTAAGATCCATTTCCCTTCCGTCCTCTTTTTCTTTACTCAAACGCTTATTCTGGGCATAGTGATTCACTATTCCCACAACACCTTCGACATCCTCTTTTCCCGTCATAAAAACTAGAATATCTCCTTCATCGCAATTCTCATGGATATAAAGGATCTTCTTAACCGCCCATTCGACATAGTCATCGACATTCACGCTCAAATATCGAATCTCAACAGGGAAACTTCTACCTTCGATATTGAAGACTGAACATCCAAAGTAATTGGAAAACTTCTGGGCTTCGATTGTGGCACTCATTATTACAAGCTTCAAATCTTTCCTTTCCTTCAAAACACATTTCAGTAGTCCCATGGATATATCCAGGTTTGTGCTTCTTTCATGTGCTTCGTCCAGTATCACTACAGAGTATTTCTTAAGTAGTTTGTCCCCTAGCAGCTCTTGAAGAAGAATTCCTTCGGTCATATATCTTATCTTAGTGTTCCGCGTCACTGTATTGTCAAATCTGATCGAATATCCTACAAGAGATCCCATGTCACTTCCCAGAGTGGATGCTAAATTCATTGCTGCAGCCCTTCTCGGCTGTGTGCATCCTATAATTCCCTTTTCTCCATATCCCTCTTGATAAAGATACTTGGGCACCAACGTGCTCTTCCCAGATCCTGTTTCTCCAACCAAAACCGTCACTTGATGTTCCCTTATGAATTTCATCAAATCGCTTCTAAAACTTTCGATAGGAAGCTTCTTTGGAATCTCTTGGGAGATTTCTTCACCTATCAATGGAATCGTATTGCTCCGAGGGTGCATATTCAAAAACACGCTTTCTCGCTTTGCCACTTTACCTATCTCCGTATCTGGCTTCTCTACTTCGACTCTATTCTTCAAAGTACTGTCAAGTATTTTTCTTCCCAGAAACTCATCTATGCTCTCTTTATATACCAGATCCGGAGCTAGATGATTGTCCTCATCAGAGTATGTCTCCTCCACACTCAGTCCGGCGGCTTTCATCTTCCTCATTTCCCATCTCTTGGTATCCCGATATTTACTGTATCCCATAGACTTGGGTATGAAAATCACAATCTAAAAGACCATACATATTTAATTCTCATTATTCTTTTTACCCAGAACTCCAGGAATTCTCTTATTCCCTGCACTCTTTCTATTTGCATACATCGATGTAACATTCGTATCTAATTCGTTTTTGGCTGGTCTTCCTACTCCAATCTTGGGCTTTGGTATTTCTCGAGGTTTTACGGCAGGGCTATCTCCGCTCTTTCCTTCATTTGAAGATCCTCCCACCCATTTTTTCTCCACTGGATCGTAACGGAAGTCGTCATCTACATCGATGTTGGCCTTATGAACCGTCTCTTTTTTGAACATGTTCAAGAATCCAAAGAAAGATCCACTCTTCTTTGATTCTTTTTTCTTGCTTTCTGAGGTAGGAAGCTCATCATCCATAAATTTGGAGAGAAATAAGCTTGTGTCATCTTCACTTCTAATTTCTTCCTCTTTCTTATTGCTCTCAAAGAAATCTGCAAAGCTTTTTGACTGTTTTGTATCCATGTATAAATTACTCCGTTCCTTAATCTCGCAAGGTGCACTATTAACAGATAACTCTCTATCGCTTGTCTCCAGCTCCTGATTGTCATATTTCAACAAAGTCTCCTCCTGAGAAAGTCTATACATACCATCTTTTTTTCTTGCATCACTCTTCTTTATCCATTCTTCTCTGTTTAATACCCCATCGTTTTCTTTTATCTCTGGCGCCCTACTCTCCAGGACTCCCCTTTCTTCTTTGGTGTTCACACTGGTTTCATGGCTATCGATACACGTTACCCGGTTCTTTTTATCAAATGAAGCCGTTTCGGAAATACTTTCATCCTTCCTGGAAGGTTCAGAAGGAATGGGGCCCAAAGATGTTTCTTTGGGTGCAGAAACCCCGTTCTTCTCTAGATCGTCTTCAAAACTGTCCACATTAAGAATCTTTTTGATTCCAAAGTCAAAAACACTCTTAAGACCAAAAGACCATCTGGTGTCAAATACCGATTCAAGACTGCTTCCAAGCTCCTTTCTAAAGCACTTTCGATTTGCTTTAAAATATTCCTCTGCCTTTTGCCTATCGAATTCTATCCCTACGGAAACAAATTCATATTTGAGAAGATCAAGGTCTTTTATGTGGCCGAAAATATGTTCTACATAGCAAAGAACCCTGAGGGCTTCAAAGTTCTTGCTGAACATCCATAAGTACTTGTTTATGTCTCCTATTCCAAGGAGGTGAGATGCTATTATCACAAATAGTGCATCGGGAATACTCCTATCGAAAACTTGAAGTATAAAGTCATTATTAATATTGATGCTCTTGGTACTTAGAACCTCTCTAATATATGCTTTCCAATTTCCGTTAAGCTTAAAGGAACATTTCGAGAACCCAAGTGCCAAAGATATCAGCTGTACACAGGAGCTGTTACAAAACTTCTCCAGAAACTTATTTCCAACACCTTTTGACCACTTTGGCAACAAAATACCAACTTCCCATATTTCATTTTCCATTGCATATTCAAAGGCTTTGTCTGGGTCTTCTATACAGAGCTCTATGAGCTTATTCATACTTTCAGCACTAATAGACCTATTGATATCTTTGCTACAATAGACAGGTTTTGTATCGGAAACAATACGGGAAATATTATCGATCGATATAGTCTTAAGCTGAACTAATTCATAGACATGCATATACTTGACATCTCCATTTCTTTCAAGACTTGAAACAAAATTGGAAGGCTTGATATCAGGGAGGATGTAGTCAGGCCTATACCATTCCGAAACATTTATATAGCTTTGAATGGCCTCTCCTTGTATGTTGAATCTCTTCTGCGAAGACATAAAAACTGTAATCAGGTTTCCGCACACAAACTTTGACAATGGCTTAGGCTTCATGGGATCCATTTTAGTGCTCTGCAATCCTGTAGGAGACCCAATAAAAAGGTTTGTGGAATCTATTTGTTTAGACTCCCCACAACTTTCGGGTGTCTCCTCCTCCTTTATGATAGTTTCCTCCTCGATACAAGGCTTTTCCTGAAGCGGGGTGTCTTGCAAGTCTTCCTTGCCATTAGAGGCTTCCTTCTCTATCTTCACATTAGAGACCCCTTCAAGTATGAACTCCTCGTCGTCGTCCCAAAGAAAATCCATTTCATCTACAGAAGATATCTTTACCTCCGAATCTGCTACAGGCTCAGACTTCGTACTTACTTCTAGCCTCGAAAATTTGCTTTCATTCCGAACTTCTTTCATCTCCATAACCTCTTCTTTGTTCTCTAGTTTATCTCCAGAAAAAGACTTCTCTTGAGTCTTTGCTTCCCAGCTAGATGTCTCTTCCGGATCCTTTTTCTCTTCTTCTTTCTTTCCACTTCGATCAGAGATGTCTTCCTCGGCCCATGGAATTTCTCCAGGATTCTTTTCCAGCTCTTCCGACGATGTATTGGAGGCTTCGACCTTTTGACCTTCCCCCTCAATTTTAGATTCTGGATTGACTCCCTCCGTCCTGGGTCTAAAAAGCAGCCCTATTTCTTGCTCATATTCACTATCGCTCTCGCTTAAGATCTTCCAAAAGTCGTCTTCATCCTTCTCAGATCCATTGTTTTTCATGGACTAAAATTAGACCCCATTTTTAAAAGCCCACTGGGTCTCTAAAACCTTGAATATCAAAACAAACCTTTAATTCTAGTATCTAAGCTGTTGTCGACGATATAATTTAGAGACCTTTTTATTCCTAGCAACACCTTCTTCCCTTTACATACTTTATGGACTCCAGCCTAACTGTACTCTCATCCTCAGCAGGATCCTCCAAATCTTCTTCAATAAGCCTGTCAACAGCCTTAACAAGATCCTCTATTCCCTCATGCTTCATAGCACATGTCTCAACATACTCCCCTCCATGCTTCTTCGCCTTTTTACTTCCCACCTCCTTATACCATTCTTGTGTCTCCTCATCTGCAAGGTCCTTCTTATTCCCCACTATTAGAATCCTGACCTTACTTCCGGGATTGTCATTTGCCTTTGTAAGTGTATTAATCCAGTGATCTATCCTCTCAAAAGAGGCCTTATCCTTCATATCAAAGACGATAATGGCCAGGAAGGAGTTTCTTGTATAGTTTGGTATAATCGAGTTGAACCTTTCTTGTCCTGCCGTGTCCCATAGTTGGAGACGAACCCTATGTCCACTAACCACAATCGTTGTACTAACAAAGTCCAGTCCTATCGTAGGGCCATATGACCTTTGTACTTCCTGGTGCAAATATTGGGACATTAATGTGGTCTTTCCAACGTTGGAGCTTCCTAGAAATACTATCTTATAGGTTGATCTCATTTGGATCCCTGCCCTTTTTGTTTATTTTTATATATCTCTCAAATGTGAGAAAGCCTTTGCTTTGTTTGGAGGTTTCCCTTTGGATGCTATTACAAACATAGATACTTTAATATTTTCGTTTGTTGTTAAGCCATGGCTGTAAGATCTATCCCCAACCCCATCAATGTTTCTGAAGAAGCTTCTTGCAATTGCAGCGAAGAATGAAACGTTAGTCCACACCACAAGTGCATATACAATGTACAACACTACTTTTGAGAACAAAAGAGCTACAAAACTTGCATTTACACAACCACCGGTAGCCTACTCATTCTTGAGGAAGATAAAGCATGATAACATAGTTGGAATTTATAAGCTGAATGTGGAGAAAGGATATCTGATTACAAAGAGGCTGTTTCCTTTTTGCTCTGTGTTCAGAAAGGAAACCAGGGAATTTAACAAATACATATCTTTTAAAATAGCACAGGCAATAGTGTTCCTTCACACTCAATGTGGTGTAGTTCACGGAAATATCGTGAAGGATTCTCTTTTCTTTAACGAGGAAGGTGGGATAGTTCTTGGCGGATTTGAAAAGAGCAGAAACAGTAGCGTATTTGACCAAGACAACATAATGTTCAGTAATCTTGTGAAAGAGCTAACAAATGTTGACACCACCCTTGTTAAAGTTGCCGGAGATGAGAGGTTTTGCTCAGATATATTCTTAGACCTGGATATCGCATTTTTTGGTTACAAGTCTTTTACTACAGAGCAGAAACTAGATTTCATTTCAAAGGCCAGAAAGAGCAAAAATGAATTTGTAGACATCCATAAGAGAAGGATATCATGGATGATTCTTGGAGATATAAACTCTAGCACTCAGAAGGACTTCAAAATACTAGCTGTTGATTTTGTCCTGGGTTTTGGAGTCTCAGACATGGAGGAGTTTTTACCTCCATTGTTTTCCATATTGGACACGGGTATCAGACTCTACCTTCTTAGAAACTCTGATAAGTACATCAGTAGAATCGTTTCTTTAGACCCAATAATAAAAAGTCTGTCCCTTGGCATCAAATGTAAAGATAAGGAGCTGAGAGAAGAAACAATTGTGTTTATAAAGGAAAACATAAACATGATATCTAAGAAGCAGCAATCTGAAATATTGGAAACAATGCATGGATACATCTTGGATGACCAGGGGATGCAGTTGGTTCTCAAGTTTCTTTGCGATGTAAGACCTGTTTTCAAGAAAACTGATGTTGTATATAGAATTCTCTGTAAGTACCTTATCCAATCAAAATCAAAAGTAAAGGTCCTTGCTGCAATGGAAATCTTCTATGAGACCTTTGATAACTTCAAGATGACTACAGAGCTTCTACCTCTTCTCTGTGGATATCTATCAAACAGACATGCACAGCCTGCAGTTTTTTCCCTCATAGAAAAAGTCCTTGAGCATCTCAAGGAACACAAAACTGAAATAGTGGACAAGGAGTGGAAGATTGGAAATATCAAAAACATCTTTAAGCCAAGATCTCCAGAAGGCCAAGGAACAATTCCTTCCGGAAAGGTAGAGACTCCATCGGAAAAGTCAGAAAATGAGCTGAGCCAGGACCATAAGGAATGGAAAAGCCCAGAAGACGGATGGGATGATCCATGGTGATTATCCAAGGTCAAAACCTCCTAAGAAATAAATACAAATTCAATTTATTATGCATCAGATTAAGCCAAGTGTTTTTCGAACTAATCCATTTCCTTTTTTCCATCCTGGAAAACCTCTAATTCTTTTCGATATACATTCCAGCATACTTCGAAAGGCAAATAAGAGGCATTTGATCTGTCTCCTCACTACTCCATCCTTGGTTAAAAATCCTTTTCTGTTCGTCATTGTATCCAAAGTGGTTGAACAACTCACTGACTAACGGCATGTTTGACTTTATAAGTCTCTGAGGATAAGTTTTCAATGGGCCGAGGAACAGAGTTGTTATTCTGTCTTCATGTCTTACATAGTGTTTAACACACAGCTTATAGACTATTGGAAATCTCTCTGAATCAAAAGTTTGCATGCTCCTGTGAAGATAGTAGTTTTCAAAAAGAGGACCTCCACAAAACGAACACTCCTCTACAGACAGGAGATACCTTATCAGTGGCTTGTCGATACTCCTTCGAACATTCAGATTGTTTCTTACCAAATGCCTTGAGCAAGTTTCCTTGAGTGTGACATGTCCTATGTACTCTACAGTTTCTTCAGGTGTAAAGTTGCAGGATGTGGCAGCCAACTCTATTAGAAATGGAAGCTTCAAAATTTCCAGTGGGATATTCTGAATTTTGTTGTTGGAGACATTCAAGTACTTTAGTCCATAAAGTCTCCCTATAACCGAGGGAAGAACAACAAATAGGTTATTATCTATATGAAGTGCATTGAGAGCTTTTAGTGCAGAAATTCCCTTGGGAAGAGAGGAAAGAAGGTTCTGGGACAGATTAAGCTCTCTAAGGTTCTTCAGTAGTCCGATTTCTTCGGGTAGTTTCTGTATCCTGTTCTTTGAAAGGACTAAAACCTTAAGATTCGTCAAGCAGCCTATGTGCTGTGGAAGCCTTGTTAAGTAGTTGCAACAAGCTTGCAAGATTTTTAAGTCTCGGATCTCTCCTATACCCTCCGTTATCTCCACAACAAATTGTCTGCACATGTATACCTGACTTCTATCTTCTTTAGAATTATGGCGTATATTAGTTACTCTTTCTCCACTCGTCAATATCTCCCAGGCTGTCTCCTCTTTGTTAACAACGTTATGATATATATCCATTTCTTTTCCTGTTATTTCCTCCAACCTAGGTGATAAAGGAAGATGTCTCGAGACAAGTCTCTCAAAGCTACTGAGAGAAGTAGCTAAATGAACGCTTGGATAACTTTCTACTGACTTCGCCACTTTGTACGGGAAAACATGATCTTCAAGATTGTACAGTCTCAAAACACCAGGCGCACTTGGATTAGATCGAGCAATAACCGGATCCCTATTCATACTACTCTGGGTGTTTCCCATAGCTTACTGTGGTCTCTCAAATTTAACGTTGTGTTGTTTGATGTTCTTTGACACAATAGGTTTCTGGCTTTCAAACAGACTTCCACTTGGAAACAAGTTTCAGCAATTGTATGCTTTATCTCTCCGGGATACATTTCTCCGAAGGGAACTCAGGAACCGCTACTTGTACAAGGAAAAAAAGGCCTTTATTTGCTAACTTGAAACAATCCTTGATATTGAAAAAATAAAAAGAGATTGAAACAGTGCAAATAATGACCGAGGTTACCAGTGCGGATTATTCCAAGCAAGGGTACCATGAAATACCAAAGACAGCATACACTACCCCTATAAATTGGCTCATCCTTTCCGATAACAAGATAAGAGAGGTGCCGGAAAGTATAAAGGAGCTCAAGACCTTAAGCAGGCTTGCTCTAAACGACAACAGAATTGAAGAAATACACCCTGGAATTGGGTCTCTTGTGGGACTCACATGGATCGACCTTACTAGAAACCGACTCAGGTCATTGCCCGACGAAATGTCAAATCTAAAAAGAGTATCTGGGCTTGGGCTGAGCGAGAACAACTTCTCCGAAATTCCCAGATGTATATTCAAAATGACCAATCTCCGGAAGTTTGGCTTTTTTTCAAACAAAATCAGAACAATTCCCAAAGACATCAGGTTTCTCATCAACCTAATCAAAATAGATTTATCCAATAATGAGATTTCCTCACTTCCCGACGAATTCTGTGAGCTGAAAAACCTAAACTGGCTGAATCTGTCCAACAATAAACTGCAGAAGCTTCCTGACGGAATCAACAACTTGGTACAATTGGAGGAACTTGGTCTTGGCGCAAACTGCCTCACCGAGCTACCTGACATGAGTAACCTGAGGAAGTTGAGGATACTCCCGGTCTTTAAGAACCAGCTGACCCACATAAACCAAAGTATATCCCGTCTCAGCAGCATCGAAAAACTGGACTTCAGCGACAACAACATCATTGAATTCCCTGGGCATGTGATAGGTATTCCAACTCTAAGATATCTAAATCTAAAATCAAACAAGATTTCAAAGATAGACCCAAGCACATTCAGAAGCCGTGTATCTTCAGTCTCAATAATCGATGTGAGTGACAATCTTCTTAGCTGTATCCCTTTGAAATTCTTCAAAACCTTTTCAAATGTAACAGTAATAAGAGTGGGGGAAAACCCATTTGTTTATCATGAGAGCAAGCCAGCACCCAGCCCGGCCTTAACGGAGCTCTGCTACAACAAATGCCTAAATATGCAGTACAAATGCGAAAGCTGGATAAGGAAGAGGTACCCAAATGTAAAGAGCTGCGATGCTTGCAGTAAGCTGTTTACTACCCAACCTCATCTGGGATATAGCCTCAGCTCGGTTGGGGATGGAAGTACATTTGTTGTTGAAAAGATGTTATGCTCTTATGGTTGCTACAAAAACGAATATAAATAAAGATTTAATGCATTTTATCCCAATTATACTACTCGTCCTGAAGAAATCATGCTTTGCACATTCTCTGAGATCGGATGAAAAAATGCCTGGAGATTGAACTTTTCATCAACTACATTTCCTTCTCGTACTCCAAGGACAGTTTCACATATGAGAAATAGAATTCTGTCATTTCTTTTAATCAACACCGTTCCATCATCTATTTCATAAGGTTCTTTATTCAAAGACATGCCCTTGAGCTTCAAACATACTGTGTAGAATCTATTGAATGTGCCTTGGTCCACCTTCATTGAATAGATTTCGTAGATGTGCTTGACTTTGGCCTCATTATTAGAACTCGTGCATATGAAGTAGATAGAGGAGATAAAGAAGTCTATGTTCTTTATGTTCACATATCCGGTGTTGACAAAGTATATCATCGATCCAACGAATGTCCTACTCCTTACAAGCTTTATCTTGGAGTCTTCGTCCAGGCTTATCTCCATGAAGTATTCAATAAACTCCTGTAATAGTCTTTTATCATTGTATCCGAGCTGAATTTCAACGTGTTCCTTGCTGCTGCCCTTGTATTTCAAAAGTAAGGGAAGAAGCACATCTACTGGTATCCTCATGTAAGAGAGGAAATAAAGCATCGGAAAGGTGACATCAAAGTCTAAGACCTGTCTAACAAAAATTGATGAATGCTTGGAATGTGCATACACCAGAAGCTCTGCATCGGATTTCGGGCATGATGGCCAGACTTGGTCTTTCAGATGGGCCTTTATCATATCTACTATCATTAACACTTCCTCTGTACTGTTGTTAGCTAATGCTCTCCCAACCAATAAGTCTCTGTATTCTTTTATATCTTTTCCTTGAAGATATACCAAAGCTGATTGGATATCCGTCCTTATAAGCTCGTTGATTTTTTGCTTGGAAAGTTCTCCGCAGAAAAAATATTTTAGATAGAACCTTCTCTTCTCTCTACACTCAGGAGGTTCCCCCTTCTCTTTTTTTATCTTCTCCAAGCTCTGCTCCAAAAAGACATCTGTTCCTTTAAAAGATTTGATACGAAAATAGAACTCCCAGGGTAGATCAAATTCGTTTAGGAGATCAATATATTCCTTTCTTTGGCTGGTAAAAACTCCCCTGAGAATAAACTCTATTAATCTTAGCAGGCACTCTCTTTCACTACCAGCCTTTGTGTAATTCTTTTGATTTTCCTCGGAGCTTTCTACAATTTCCAACAACAAATTTCTGCAAAGATCCATTCCAGACCTAAATATATTGAAGGCTACGGCCCTGACTTTGTGACTTGTGTCAAGAATTCTCTCATAGATATCCAAAGAGTATTCGATAATATCTTTAAAGCTTGTTTTCTCTAGTAACGTTGCACGGATATCTTCGTTACAATTAGAAAGGATTTTATGAAATATTTCATCGTGTTTTGGACTGCAATTTTCGGCTAAAATCTTAATTACTCTCTTGTCTTTATCTCCAATGTAAAAGTTACAAAGCTTCTCAAAGTTCTCCTCCGTCATTGCTGCAGTTAAATACTTCAACTTCCCTTGTCCCCTTATGTTCCTTACACACAAGTGCTCCCTAAAGCTAAGGTTTGAATATACATCTGCATAAACTTTATCTTCAAAGTTTTCCATAATTAGAGCAACAGCCGGCATCGATATCTCTTTCGTAACCTCAATTATACTACTAATTTCTGGATCCTTTGGTATATGGAGAAGCACAGAACGGATTACTTCTCTTGTTGTGTCTTCAGTCCCTTCTTCTATCAGTATGATAATAATCTCTTTCAAATACTTCTTTGCAGTTCCACTGACTACACCTATCAATCCACTTAGCTTGGAAATCAAGTCTTTATCCGTCAGAAGACTGGGGATTCTGTATGTGATGAAAGTTTCCAGGTTTATTTTTTCCTTTGGAAGCACTTCTATAAGCAACTTGAAGAACCTACGTTTTTCCTCTTTACTCAAAAAGCATCTTGGGGCATTTATCCTCAGAACTTCAATCACGCCAAGCAATGTGTCTAAAACCTCTTTTCTCAGCTCCATATTTCTCACCAGATGCTGCAGAACGTCTTCATCGACACAAGACCCTTGAGGCATCTCCTTTAGCTTCAGGTACATTCTAAATGTCTTATTTTGTGTTTCCGTTCTTTTTGTTCTCTTCAGATTTTCCATCTGGGGCTGATGAAGCTATCCAGATCATTTATCGGGCCATTTAACCCTAATCTAGGTAGAATGCCAAATTCCAGAGGCTTGAAAAGACTCTATGACTCCTTTTTTTGCTCAAGGACCATATATCTTAGGGAGGAGGAAACACTTGCCATCAAATCATTTCTGCATTCCAAGAGGCCGGTTCTCCATATCTGTGGAAATCCTGGAACCGGAAAAACACACGTTACTGTCAATACCATAGAGGGCTCTTTCCTTTACCTAAACTATTACAGCGAGAGTGATATTTTTTCAAAGATAAAGAACAGCAACTCTCCAGTGGTGGTTATAGATGAGTTTGACAAGTATTACAACGAAAGAAGAAATGAGTGTATGCAAGCCATGCACTACCTACGGTCTCGTCAGAAGCTAATAACTATATCTAATGACCTGAGGATGTCTGGGGATGTCTTATTTTTTAGGCCATATTCCTCCTCCGATATGGAGAAGATTCTGGCCCAAAAGACTTTAAAGGAATCTGCGGAAGCCATTCTGAGTCCTATAGCTATAAAGATTGTATCAAAAAGAATTGGGCCGTCAGGAGACCTCAGACAACTCTTTAGATATGTACAGGAAATTGTGGGAAGAAAAATCATGGAAGGAGGTTCGTTGGAAATAGATCTGGAGGATATACCTCTTGAAAAGGAAAACCTAGATTCAAAGCCCAATAATGTGCACCACAGTATTATCACATCGCTTATCTCCAAGAACAAAAAAGCCTCAAGAATGGAAATATATTCAAAGTACCTCAGGGAATGCCAAGAAATGAAAATCTCCTCCCATGACAGAACAGATTTTAATATTATATACGACATATATACTTGAAAATGCCGTAATACTTCTTGAGATCAAATCACTATAAGATCTTCGATGCAATGGTAATCATATTGAAGCTTCCAATGCTCGATGGGGTGCCTTTTGGCGAATGTCATTCCATCTCCAAAGGGGCCTATGAGAAAAAGGGCATAGGGAGGACCCAAAGTATCTATAAGGTTGTTTATAATGCCTCTATCATAAGGAGACCGGAGGGTGGTTAAACCTTGGATTTTGTTCATGTCCTCTTGTTTCATCTCTTCAATGAAAGTCATATTCATCAAGGCAAGCCTCAACTGCAGATAGAAGAAAAAAGATGTCATTACAAGGAACACAAGGGATGATATTCCAGATATCACCAGAATGTAGTAATCCCTTCTATGCCGAAGGGGTTTGTTGAAAAGTAGAACTGCAATGAATTCTATAGACATGTAGAGAAATATGAGCCAGTTTGCTAAGGCTGTAAAGAACAAGAACCTTATAAAATGACCTTGGTTATCATAATTCACACAGTTATTGATCCAAAAGCAGTGGTGGTCCATTTTCTTTATGCAATGTCCACAAGAGGAGCAATGATGAGCTCTTTCCGGCTTATGATTTCTGCATTTCTTACAGAACCTCTTGATTTCATCGTGGTCTATGAGGTTAATGGCTTCTGAGTTGCTCTCAACATGGCCTCTGTAAAGTATCGAAAGCATTAGATAGATGGCCGATAAAGTACTTGAGAGTAGAAGAAGCACAACATAAGTCCCCTTAAATGTGAAGTGAGCCGGGAGGATAATTTCGGACAATGGAGCGATGTATGTGAATGCAAGTGAAGAAATTAGTAGTGTCATTCTAAAATTCGGCCTTATTTTACCCATTCCAAGGGTTTATTTATTTGTGTTTTTGAGCAGGTAGGTTTGGCAAAAAACGGGATGAAACCTACATCAAAAAGCGTTTGATCCCTGGAATTTAGGTTATCTTGGTGCAGAAAGGAATAAGGTCTTTGTAATCGTCGGCCCAAAATGGACCGAGAAGTTCGTAAGAATAGAGGATTCTTTTTCCTTCTCTTATGGCCCGTTTTTTCTGGAGCTTCACAGAAAACAAGATTCCGTTTTCAAATGGATTTTGGGAAAGAATGAAAGGTATACAGAAAGATGAAGATATGGGGATGTTGACTATATAGTCAAACACCAAGGCTATTTCCAGCCCTTTAATGATCAAGAATGATCCTTCTTCTTCAAACACAATCTCATTTCTGATTAGCTCTTTTTTCAGCCCAGCAGTGGCTTTTAGACACGAATCAAACAACAGAAAGTTGTTTTTGAGTTTCACACAAAACTTAGTGTTGTTCTTTTTGTATTCCCTGAACGCTGACTTAATTGCTATGAGATATTCCGAATACATTCTCCTAAAGAGTGGAGATCCATCATTCTTTGTCTCAAGTTCAAAAGGAAATTTGTACATCTTCTGCTCCTGTGCTTGGATTTCTATGTCTGCCATCAGGACCATGGAAGTGAATATTCCATAAAGAATCTTTTCATCCTCAACTTTAGGCTTTTCCTTGTTTCTTACAAGAAGTTCTTCAAAGATAGCATCTTCCATTCGATTATCTCCAACTGGGCATTCCTCATTGCTTATCTTGATCTTTTTGTACAATGACCGAGATAAAACATCGAACGGATTGTCGCTTACCTTGGATAGGATGTCTATTTTCTCATCTATCCCGCTACTTCTATTAAGTTTTCCTCCATCTTCATCTTTTACATTATGATTCCAAGTTCCTTCCATGTCTCTGTCAGGCCTATATTTTCCATTTGATGTGGAGACGACCTGTATCTTACATTCCTGCTTTATTGAAAATTTTTGCCAAGTCCAAAGACATGCCGGGATTAGTAGGAGGGATACTGGAAGATTATGGGAATATTCCACAGAAGATAGGTTTTTTTCTAGGGAAAAGAAACGGAAGTACAATAGAATACATAGTTCAAAATACATCTCTAACATACTCTCAGGTCATGCATGGCCTTTCCTTGATGATACAACGTAGACTTGTGAGATACTTTCAGTACGAAAAGAAAGTCCATTATGTGTTGGATGTAGATATGGTATACAGGAGGATGTATTTTGGAATTTATTGTAATCTCATCGAGGATATGTTTGGAGCAGATGCTGCAGAGAAGTTCATGGAGGTTCTGATAGATGGCTTTTCTAAGGCGGATATCTTCTTAGAGGAAAAAATAAGGGAGATTATCGATGCTGGAATGATAATCCCAATAGGAAGAAAGGAAGCAAGTCTACTAGTTGCTGGGGCAAGAGATCCGACAGAATGGATGAGAAGAGCTAGAATGGAGAAGGAAGAGGAAAAAACGGAAAGAAAAAATCGAAAGACAGAAGAAATCCAAAGGTTTTATATTGTTGATTTTGGCCTTCTCGATAGCATATTGATAAATAACATGCTCTTATCCTTTGTTAGGAAGAGATATCTATCTAAGGCTGAAAAGATCTACAGGTCGATTCTCAAGTGCAATCTAGTCTCGATCGACTCCATAATTGGCAGTTTTGAAGAGGAGACGAGTATTTCTCGGGGGGACATTACTTCATGCATCAAATACTTTAGTAACTGTGGGCTGCTTCAAAAGAGCTTGGACTGCTCTGAGACTTATTTCAAGGATGAAGATAGTGTAAAAGAAATTCTTGTGGTTGACATCTTAAACCGGATTCTATCAGAAAACAGTAAGGAAGGACAGAGGATTTTCAATATGATGCTAGAGTACAAAACACTGGAGGATAAAGATATTGTAATCAAATCTCTTATTCCTTCTTATATGGTCAAGAAATCACTGATTATGCTTCATTCAAAAGGGTTTGTGGTATTAAAGCGCACGGAATCTGGGGAATCAAAGCCGGTCCTCCAATGGGAGGTAAACACAGGTCGTGCATCAAAAGTTGTTAGAGAGGAAATTAAAGAAATGCTGGAAGTATCTTGGGCCTCGGTAAACCAGAGGTGGAAATACATAGGGCTCAATGGAGATGGTGAAGACGAAGGATATAAGGCTCTCGACCATATGTTAGGTTTATCATTAGACTTCTTTATTCTTGGAGTTCGAAATATGGACTTCAAGTCTGAGATGTTTTGAAATTTTTGAAGAATGATTTAGACATCCCAGAAATAATGGCTAAAAGCTTGGAACAAGCACTTCTAAGAATATCCGAGTTGGAGGAAAAGATAGAAAACCAGCAGATAATAATCGACGCTCTTGTGGCTCGTATGAAAAAAATGGCAGGAAGCGATACGAGTATAGCTTTGGAGAAATGTTGCAAGGAGCAGGAGGAATGTAATCCTAGAAAGGAAATTTCCCAGGATATGGTACGCCTTGAATTTAGAAAAGAAGAAGGTAAAAAGGACCGAAAGGATGGTCTGTCTTTTGAGGAGGAGATTGAGGACTTGTTTAGACGGGATAAGGTTCCCAAACAATTCAAAGATACATTTACAATTGAGGCTCTTATATCTTACTCCAAAGAATCGCACAGCTTTTCATTAAATAGTAGAGTGGATGTGAAGATGAAGAAATCATTCCATACAAATGTTAAGCAGCAGATTGACAAGATTTCAAGACACATTATGGTGAATCTAAATACATACGACCTCAACACTATCTGTTCAACACTCAATCTGATTTCGGGAGACCTTGAGTATCAGCATAAGCTGGTGACTGCTCATGACATCATCCTTTTCATTGATGACTTTTCAAGGATACCGTTCATTATTTCCGCCTTATTCAACAACCAGGGAATCCGTAACGACGTGTTAGGGGAGACCATAAAGGAAATCCTGCTTCACCAATGCATGGTTGATAGCGATATACATAAAAATCATCCCCATATTGTAAGCTATTATAACAAGATAGTCAGTAATTTCGAACTCCATCCGAAAGAAAAGTCCTTGAAGGACATATGTGCCAACCTAGTTGTAAGTTTCGATGTCTTCGAGAATGGAGCTTTCAATCCGATGATATTTCCAAGTATGTATTCTGTAAGGGCCCTATGCCATTATATGGACTGGGACTATGCATATAACGAGTTCATATGCACAGTGCTCTACCCGAGGCTGAGGGAAACTCGCGATCCCCTGTGTGCTATCTACATGTCTACTGTAGCATTGAATGCGATGAGAGTATTTGGAGCCATTGAAAGTGTAGAGCTTGTATTTGAAAAACTCAAAGAGTTTATGAATGATGCCTCGGACCTATCCATAACCATCTATCTATTTATTAAGCAAATCGATCCCCAGAGAGCCAATGTGTGGTATGAATCACAGGTGGAGAGGATAAACCATGTCGATGGAGAATATTTGAAAAATCTCCTATTGTATTAATGTGGAAATAAAGTTTTTGGAGTGACACAGAAGTGCGAAATTTTGTACCCTTAGAAGATGAACAAAGAGGCCTTTGAACGGCTTCCTCAGGAAAAGAAGAAGATCATAGAAACAGCGTACTTCAGTGCTGTGAGGAAGGAAATATCCGCGTCCCAGTTTTTTGGAGTTTGTAAAGAAGCACTAACCAAAGATCAGTTTGAAAGTCTGTTTTCAAACAACACGCCTAACAAGGAACAGCAAGAAGAAATGAAGACAGAGCATCTTCAAGATATTATACAGTACTCCGGAGTAGATTTGAAAGAAGAAGCGGAGCATATTGTCAGAGAGACAGAGACAAACATCAACTTTGGAGAATACGAAGAAGAGGATCTAAACAATCAGATAGGAAGTCTGCTAAATATACCTCTATTCAGAGAGTTTGTAGCTAGGATTGGAAACTCAAGAAGAGTAGGGATTAGTGAAGAGTCGTTTTTTCTTCTTTTTCAAGTTGTTAAGAGGAAGATACTTGATATTGTGGAGAAGATGGAGGAATCTAGCAAATGGAGGGTTGAGTACAACCTGTCTGAATTTATAATAAGGATAAATAACGACCTTAGCAGACAGCTATGGTGCCTCGAACAGATAGAAAAGGCAGAACTTGAAAAGTTTACCATTCGAAAGGGAGAGGAGGAAGGAAGGAAGAAGGTTAAAAAAACGATTCAGGAAAGAGAGGATCTGGTGATTAAGAAAAGGTTGAGTAATACGGTTGCACTGGCGGCTCTTGGAATCCAACAAAAGTCTTGGATGAGTGCAGAAGACGTCCGGGTGAATGAAGAGAGTACAACCTTCAATTCGATCTACTCGCCGTTTGATGAAAAAGCATTGGAGAGGAAAGTTGTAAACAGAACCATAACGATGAAGGACTTTTTATATGTATTGGAAAGAGATAGGCGATATAACAAATCTATTTTTACTATCCAACATTATTTCAGATAGGGATATTTTTGATTTCCACGTCTGTTCTTTGTTTTATACTTAATTATGGTGGGGATCTAAAAACAGCGAAGAATGGACAAAGAGAGCCTCGAAAAGTTTGAAGCCCAGATCTCTGTCCTATCTAGCAAGGAGATTGAGAAGGTCATGAAAAGATTGAGCAAGGATGAGTTTGATGTGTTTATAGAGATTCTAGAGAGGCACAACATGGACTTGGATAGGGATCTTGAACATGGCAAGAATGAGCTCCTACAAAGATTAGAAAACCATAGGATTCTTTTTGAGGATGCTTGGAATGCGATTCCCGACGGGGTTAGAAAGCATTTGACGGGATATTATCAATCCATGAATGATATCCTGTAGAAAGGGTTCTATTCGCTTGATAATAGTAAATACCTTTTTACTTACGTTTTTGATATTTGGATGGATTAAAGCCCTTAACCTAAGCCTGCATATGGAAGACTACATTGGAATAAGGCTGTTATTTGAGACGTCCAAAGGAGTAATAAGCGGGATGCTTCGTGCCGTTGATGAGAATTCAGGGAAGCTGATTATTGAAGACATGAATGAAATGAAGGATGTTCTTATCGAAGACATTCAAAGGCTGGAGATTGCCGAGGAATCTTCTCCAAATCTTTCTGTAGGACATAACTCCAAAGAGGAAAAAAGGCTTGAAAACACGCCATCTATCGATGTAGATAGTAAAGGAATGGCAGGAAAAGTCGTTTCTGGAAAGCACTTGGTAGGCTATTCTTCGAGAAAGGAGAACCTTGACCTGGTATCTGAGAAATCTAAAAGCGGCCAAACAGACGAAAGCAGAACAAGCTATGAGAATGATGATAATGTTCGATCCTCTAGTAAAGTTGGAAGCGACAGAAGAAGAGATGGTTATAATCTGGAAACCTCAGAAGAAGACTACTACCGAATGATGGGAAGGGCATTTAGCTACTTTGGGCCTCTTGAAGAAGAGTTCTGTTCTATTGCTGCACGTCAAACATACAGAATATTCTCTACATACTTCAATAATTCAAGTCTAAGGGTGGAGGTGTTTGTGGCAGGTGACGATGTCTTTTCAAGTATAGGGTTTATACTTGGAAGGCTACTTCTACACACAGGGAAGATGTCTTCTATAATATGCAATGAAAATCTCTTGAGGAACACAAGGTATAGACAGTCCTATCTAAACTCGGGAGGAGTTATTACCAACAGACCTGCCCCGGAGCCAAGCATACACATTTATTCTTGCAATAAATCTTTAGTTCCCGCCTGGGCCAGGAACAACATAAGAGGATCGATCTATTTGGACATGCCAGGGCACAACTCCGAGGAGAAAGAAACAAAAATAGGTCTTTGTTTTGGGTCAATACCAGCTTATCATCGAAGATTCAACGGGATAGTGTACTTTGTCGACATAGAGTATCCAGCTCCTCTTTATGAAGAGTTCGGGCTTCAGAAGCCTACAAGAAGTAAGATCCACAAGGTAAAGTAGCTGTTTTAATTTTCGATGAAGTTCTCGAAAAACTTGCTCACGCTTAAGGACGGCTCCTCCTCTCCATTGGAATCATAGAGATTCCTAAGATCCTTACCTTCAATGTTAAGGGATTTAAGGTCCAAGATGTCGTCCACGCTGAACATTTCAAAAGCCTTTTTAAGTTCTACAGAATCAAACAGGGTATTGTGCATTTCCTTAACTATTAAAAGATAATCTTCTAAGGATATTCTGCCCTCGGGATTCCCAAAAGGAACCATTCCCTCATCCACCGAAAGACCTAACTGGCTCAAACACCAGCAAAGATCCATTGGACTTATTCCACATTCATTTTTCTTCACTGCCTTGTTGAACAGAGCAGTGGCACTTTCAAGAATCTTGTCCTCTTTCTCTCTTTTGCTCAGAATCTTTTCCAAGGTTTCAAGTTTCTTTGCAGCAATATTCTTAAATCCCTCCTTCTGAGTCTTTGTCAAGGGATGTGTAAAGGTCATCTCCATAAGTCTGCTCTTAAGCTCAGAAGTACCTTGCATCTGTTCCTTCATGTTTTCTCCTTTGGCAAATACATGCTTGAAAAATTCAAATATTCTATTTAGAGCATCAAACTCGGATTGGAAGGAAGGATCAAACAACTTCTTGATTTCAATGCTGTTCGCAATGCTCTCCGGATGCAAGGAAGGGAACTCAAGCTTATCGAGAGACACGTCCTCCGGTGGGAAATATCTTTTTATTCTGTAGAGGTCATGGATTGCGTTTATACTTCCAAAAAGAGAATGAATCTCGGTAGACTCATGCATTGCCTTGGAGTTTGTTTCAAGCATTAGTTCAAATGCCTTGTTGAGGCTTCTTATCATCTTGCATACCTCTTTTTTCTGATTACTCAAGTCTTGTATCAAGGACCTTAAGCTTCTTGCTTTAACCTCATAAAGGTTTCGGGCTTGTATCGACCAGTCCACAGCTTCCAAAACCCCCTTAACTCTGTTCAAAGCAAGCTTTTCCTTCTCATACTCCTTGAATTTTCTGTAGTATCCAGATACATATGTCATAATACTCTTTTCGTCGGGAATCGATACCTCTGCAATATCTTCTACATCCAGCAGCTTCTTGATGTTTAGAGACTTCTCTGCAATCCTAAACGCTTGGCTTAAGTTATAGGCCTTTTTTGAAGGCTTAAGCTCATGAAAGTTTGGAACAAGGTCTGGCCGGAACCTATGGATAATTGCATTGAATGCAAGCCCATCCTGCCAGCTTCGAGAAAAATCAACTACATTTACATTTTTGTATCCATTGGTCACTTCCTTGCACCATCTAAGCAATTCGTTTCTTATAGAAAGTTCCCCTGCCTCTGTAATCTCTGCAATAGATAGCCTTAAGATCAAAGACCACACAAGTCCTAATATAAGCTTTGGGTTTCCATCAACAATATCAGCTGGCCCTATGTTTATGAGCTTGACTTTCTTTCCTTTTATAAAGGACAGAATCCTCTCTACGTTTTCCATTTTTTGGATTCTTGTGCATGGGGCCGGGTTGTATTCAACCACATCCTTCTGCAAAGCCGTCAACAAATGTGCAAGCTTCACTCCGTCGCAAAGATCTTCAAATATATCTCCGATCTCCTTATGCCCTCCCTTCACCAACTTCTCATTCACCCACTTCGTAAACGTTTTCTTTTGGACTTCTTGCCATTCTTTCTCCTCTTGCTGCGTCATCTGGGATAACCCTCTTTTCCAATTATAAAAGTATTGTGAGTCTAGGCAGTCAAGCATAAAATTAACAAAAGAAAACAAGTCACATATTTTAGTTATGACAGCAAAGACTACACAAAAATAAGCTCATGGACAACCACAGCCTGCGGTATGGTCTCGAAATCCAGCCGGTATAACTCTCTTGTGATGGTTTTGACATACTCTAAATCGTCTAGTGTTGTAAAAGCCGCTTGGGGATGCAGAACCAGACTGAACAATCCCAACAACGAATCAATGTTCATTTCTGTCACTCCAGAGTTCCTGTCAATCATGCTAAGAAGTTCAAAGAGTGAAACAAGCAATTTCCTTTCTGTATCGGTAAATATAAATGGCATGTATGAAAATAGTGCTTCTCTTGCATGCCGGTCATTTGAGATGATACAGGATCTAATCCTCTCAAAAGCTTCTATGGGAACTAGACCATCCAGATGCTCTCTTATATAGTTTTTAAGAGCATTTGCCAGCACTAGAACATCTATACTTTCAATGTCTGTGCATTTGTTTTCATGTAACTGCCTTGCTATTTTTGCAGCACTTAGCTTGTCTGGCTCATACCTAAAGATAAACTTGGTGGATATTGCTCTTCTCTTTAGCGACTCAATGACGTCAAAGACCATTGGATTGATCTGCCGACAATGTCCTATCCTTCTCTTTTTTTGAAAGCAATTCATCCAAGCAAAAAGTGTATTTGTTGTTCTTTTTCTAAATGCATTGCAACAGAACCTGTTAAGCTCGATTTTCTGTGCAGTGGATAGAAGATCATATCTAAATTCCCGGGACTCTCCTTCAACTCCAATAAACGGAAAAATAGAAGACTTCCTTCTCCCCTGGATGGTTGTTGAACTGAAAAGATCTTCATATAGCCGTGCATTGAAGCTTCGAATCGATCCTGGAAAAGAATTATCTTTCAATGATTTTCCTAGGATACGATCGTTCTCCGAAATGGGCTGAAGTATGACCTGAGGACTGCACTCTTGAGAACATGTCGAAGATGAAACTCTTGATTCAGGTAGTGACTCATCTGTCCTTGAATATGTTTCTTCTATTTCCTTCATCTCGGCTATGTTGAAGATCTTTCTTTTCTTTGGAAAATCTCTTAACATCATGGGGTTTGTTTATCAACCTTCATAATGTGACGGATATAGTCATGGTAATAAGATCTATAATTCATAAAAAGACCTGGTTGAGGTAATACATTAATGAATCCCGCCACCGTAGTATCTACCAGGAGCCCGTTTCAGGTTTAAAGAAATGAATGAAAATTTCTAAATCCCGACAGATGCCAAAACTCCTAAAAAACTTTGGGTTTTCATCTCTTAGAAAGTTTTTAGCAGCCTACGATATTCCAGATCTTCCAAACATAGTAGATAGGGTGTATATCAAGGCAGATAGAAAGCCTTCAATTTCCTCGTTTGACTGCAAATTGAAGGAAATAGAACTTATATCAAAGGCTATCAGAATGCTTTTGTCAAGAGACAAGGAAAACCATCTATGTGCGGGATACAAAAGGTGGAGTTCTGGGCCTCACGATTCAGACTTTAGAATTTTATGCTACTCACCCAGCGCCTCTTCAAAGATACTTAGGTCACACGAGTGGAGCCATTTGATGAAGTCGATTGGCGACGAGCTAGCTTTTTTCATCCTCACGGAATGTCTTGTGATTCAAATGTTAAATGGTAGTTATATCTTTCTAGCAGGAGACTTCAAAAGCCTCAGCAAGATGGCCATTGAAAGGGGGAGCAACGCTATAAATAGGAGTGTAATCTTTTACAAACATAACCAGAAAATAAGCTTTTCTTCACTTTCCGCTTTTGAATATGTTTTTGAAGCTCACAATTCGGAAAAATATAAGACAATACAGAGAGACACCAGAGATATACTAGAGAGTATAGAAAAAAGATGGAAAAAGATTCCCATTCACTCTATGTTCAGGTCCTTTTTTAAGGACGAGTTGACTCTCGAGGGAAAGGGTAATATTTTGGAGTGTAGTGTCAAGCAGTCTAAGTTAGTGAACTTTTTGTTCCTCATTTCAAAGAAACTGCTTAAAGATGCCTTTGACTCCCATGCATTCAGAATACTGAAATCCAAGCTCTCTTTGTTGGTCCATAGGAACCGCTATGAAACAGTCAGCAAAAATGAGATAGCAAAGTACTTTAGAATCTCTCGATTCAAGTTCTTCCGGGCCTATCGATGTAGAAGAAGTGAATTTATTTTCAGGTCCAAGATATCCTCAAGATTTCTTGTCTATGTGATGGAAAAGCTGATGATACCAATAATTTCAAGGCATTTCCATTCCACAGAAACTTCCTTTTCAAAGTTTAAGGTTCACTACTTCCCAAGACCTATCTGGCAGCATTTTTCCGATATTTATATCGAAAGGTTCTTGAAAAGGTTTGAGCAGGTTGAAGAGAACAAGACATATCCTTATTCGGAGCTAAGATGCATTCCAAAGATGAGTGGAGCCAGGGTTATTTCGAATATGTCCAGAATTAGAAATGGGAGACCGTCGATCAACAGGAATATATATCCTGAATTCTGTGTTTTAAGAGAGGAGACTCGTGGAATGCTTGGAAATTCGATTCTAAACCATTCGGGAATGTACGAAAAACTTATTCCTTACTTGATAAAGTCCACAAAACCTTTGTATATCCTAAAGGTAGATCTTTCTGGTTGCTTTGATAACATTCCTCAGGATGAAGTTGTGAACCTAGTGAAGAGACTACTTAGTAAAAGCCGGTATTGCACAAGAAGCTTTTCTACACTAGGGGAGGCAAACGGGGAACTAAAGAACAGATACGTATGCAAAACAACTGATGTTACAGAAGCCATCGATAGATTGACTATGGAGTCTAGTGTCTTTGGAAATAGAATAGTTAAGGAAAATTCGAACCAAAGGATTTTGAGCAGAGAAGAAATTGAGGGAACCATGATAAACATTATCAAAAGAAACTATGTAAGATACAAAGGAAAGTTCTTTATTCAGAAGACCGGGCTTGCCCAAGGGTGTGTGGCATCTACTCTTTTATGCAGCCTCTACTACAAGAGGATCGATGACCTTTATTTTGACAAGGTCTTCAAAGAAGGCATTCTTACAAGGTATGCCGACGACTTTCTTGTGGTATCTCCATCCTTAGACGAAATAATGAAGTTTCTGGAAGTGTCTCAGTCCATCTCGCACCTGGGGGTTAATTTTAGTAAGGAGAAGATAGAATCAAACTTTGGTTTGGAAGAGTATTTTAAAAATACATCCAACATCTCCGAACTCTCCGAACATAAGAACAAGATGAAAATAACCGACAAGCCCATAAAGTGGTGTGGAACAAAGATATATCCCAATAAGTTTTCAATTAAGTCGTGCACTATGGATCCATATCTTCCCTTTTCTACCGCTCATAGCTCGACTAGGCCTGGAAAGGCTTTGGAGTTGAGGATGAGAAAGTTGCTACGGAATCGAATGTCCAGAATTTACATAGACCCAAACAACAAAAAAGCATATGAAAACTTATATGATACGTTTCTGTTCTGTGGGAAGAAGGCGTGCCTTCTTCTCAAAAGGATGGATTTTATCAATTGTTCTTTTGCTCAAAGGATTCTTGAATGTTCAAAACATTTTGCCTTTAAGGTCTGTAGGAAGAATGGAATCTCCATAACAAAGAAGAAGATAGAGGACATAGCCTCTAAGGCCTTCAAGAAGAGTGGCATTAGCAAAGTGATAAGTGCTTAGTCAACCGGGGAATAAGACTCTTTACCTAAGTAAACGTTTTAATGTGAATCTTCTAAGCTTCATTCAAGAACTCTAAAACATTTAGCTCTCAAAGTCTAATCTCTGCTTACTTCGGAACCTTTCGGGACTTTTGTCTCTCAAGCCACCGCTTAGCCTTCTACTAAGGGGCGAATAAGCTGGACCTCGGGCATTGCTATGCTCCTTGTCGTCGCTAGTTAGTTCCATGGTGATTTTATTCGATACTGTTTCAATAGGCCTTCCCAGCACAGGAACGCCTCTTCTCCCATCTCTTGAGTGCAAAAACCATCTAGGCATCATGATGGTAAGATGAGGCTTGTAAATCCAATTGTAGACATAGTCAATTGACAGTTTCATTGCTCCAACCTTGTATTTCATGTTCAACTTGTCTCTGCAGGCCATCATTAGCAGGTGCGATGGAACAGAATCTCCACATATTGATCTTACAGCACATATAAACAAGTCATTCAGGCCCAGAAAGTTTACAAGGCCTGTCCCTTTCTCCTTAGACATAAACATTAGAACAATATGTAAAATGTTTCTAAGAGAAATATCATCAACATTGAAGATATCAAACAGAAGATAAAGAGCATTGAGTAACGATTTTGCCCCCATGTACCTTTTCATATCCAATCTTACTCCACTATGAAGAGAATCTCTATAACCCCCCTCAAGTAAACACCCATCGAAATCCTTTTTTTCAAAAAGGATCTTTGCAACTATTTTTCTATACAGCCCATCAAGAAGATATCCTATATATCTATCTCCATGGTAAATCGATATTGCAAACACATTGAACGACAAAAACAGCCTCATTCTGTCATCGGGATTCTGTAGCAAAAACAATGTTCTCAGCATTTCCTGGCTAGTAAGTCCTGATCTCTGAACCGGAGTGAGTCTAACAGGCCTAAATCCATCAATCATCTCCTCAACATCCCCAAATAAATTGAAGCTGTCCAGAAGAAAGCCGAGAAAAAGGCTTTTATCCACACCATCTATTTGGACCATCAATCCTTCCGATAAGATTGCAAGCTCCTTTAAGAAGTCAGAAAACCCCATGACAAAATGAAGGGAACTCTTAAAGATATTGTAGTTGATTCTAATCTTTCTCTCCCATCCATTAGTTTTTACAAAAAGAATCCTCTCTATGTTCATTCTGGCCATTGTGTCATGCCCTGCTCGTCTTTTATAGTTGTTCTCGTCCTCCATAGTGTACTTCTCCCTAGCTTTCTCTTCATGATCTTCATAGCTGCTGATGCATTTTTGTACATACTTTCGTGCGCTAGTGTAAATATAGTTCACGGGCATTCCTACATCGATCTCATCATCAAAATTAACTTCTAAGCATGCGATCCCGTCTTCCATCCGTTACGGCTGTGATTAAAATTATTTTGTTCATTTTTATTATAAAGGTAATTTAAAATGTGTTTAAAATTAGATTTGTTATTCCATCGGACCTTCTTTTCTTGTAAACATTTACTTTTCTTGAAAGAAATAGAACCTGGCATTTTGATCTTTCATCCGGCTAGATGCTCTTTATTTCCTGCTCTCCAAATGTAATGTTTATCAGAGAAACTAAGCCGATTAAAACATAAAGGATTAAAATACACCCAGGCTCACCCCAGGATGTCTAATTTGGATTTCTGCACTATCTACACAACAACAGGCCAAATTGATCAACTTTCCTATGCACAAAAGGCTGCAGATTCAGGCGATACATGTATCGGAATAAAAAGTAGGAATGGAATAGTTCTATTGGCAGAAAAGCCTCGGATTTCTCCCCTCTATGTGCTTGAATCTGATGAAAGGATAAAAAGAGCAGGAAATTCTGTTGCAGTTGTATCCACAGGATTGACTCCAGATGTGTTTTATGTCGGGTGTGCAGTTAAAGATCATGTATTCCATCACAAGGAAAACTTCAACGAGGACCCCACTCCGGAGATTATGAAGGTCTATCTGAATGATATATTCCATTATTTCACTAGAAGCATTAATCTCAGGGTTTTGGGGGTAAATAGCCTGGCAAGTGTATACAAGGAAGGAAGGTTTTCATTACTGCATACCGATTGCTCTGGAAAAACACTCTCCTACAAGGCAGCATGCATAGGAAAAGGAACGAGAAGAATCAAGACAGAGCTTGAGAAGCTAGACATCGACAATATGACGATTGAGGAGATGGTGGACACAGGGGTGAAAGTGCTGTATATGGCACATGATCCTTCCAAAGACAAGGAGTTCGATATTGAAGTTGGAATTGTATCTACAGAGACAGGGGGAAAGCTAAGAAAACTTGAAAGTAATGAGATACAAATATTTGTTGACAAGCATAAGCACATGAGTGTTGATGAAGACTAGGGAAAGGCCCCTCTTGTTCTGCAATAAATCCCTTGGTCTACTGCACCCTTTATGACATCTGTAATAAACTACCGATTTCGCTCGAATAAAAACTTTTCACGGATTGTATTCCAAGGAACTGGACTACCTTTGTGGGAACTCAAGTACGAGATAATCAACCAAAGAAAGATGGTCTCGAAGGATTTCGACCTACTATTTTTCGATGGAGAAACGGATGAAGAAATAAATGACGAATATCAGATCATTTCGATGAATAGCCATGTGATAGTAAACAGGATTCCCTTGTGGATGTCAAAAGGAGGATACAATGTCAAAGAGAAGAGGCTTGAGTCCCAGACCCATCACCACAATACACAAAGACATGGAAAGACTGTTCCTGAAAGCTATGTGTGCTTCCGGTGCGGGCAAAAAGGACATTATATTCAGAACTGCCACACAAATCAAGATAAGGCATTTGACATTCTGAGAATCCGGAAGCCTTCGGGGATTCCCAAAGACTTTCTTGTCCCTGTATCTGGAGAAAGTGTCCCAACAAATGCTGCCATGTTAGTTACTCCGGAAGGAGGATACGTTAAAGCTCAGCCTCAGGTTCAAGAATGGAAGAAGTACAAGCAAAGGACTAAAATGACAGTTGAGATTCCAGACAGACTGAAATGTCCTTTGTGTCACTGTTTACTTGTAAATCCGATGAGAACAAACTGCGGACACACATTCTGTGATCAATGCGTAGGGATCGATAGAAAATGCTATGTGTGCTCGAAAGTTGTTGAAAACTTCACGCAAGACATAGCCATGAAAGTTGAAGTTGAGAAAGCTATAGAACAAAGAAGATAAGAATATGCTAAACAATTAAAACACCATATAAATATTCTAAAGAAAGGCAACCATAAAACTTGTATTTGTTATAAGTGAAGCCCAAGAGTCTCTTTTTAAAGTATGTTTTTGTAGAGGAAGTATTCAAAGAAGGGGTTGTCCGGAATTGAGTCAACATGTGTAGAGTCCTGGTCGAACTCCCGGCATCTTGGGTTTGTACAGTCTGAAAACTCTATGTCATAGTATGCAGAGATGTCCTTAATTAGACTTCTGAATTCGGGCACGGATCTGGAGCAGCAGCAGAGAATAAGTCTTTTGAGGAGGACATGTGCTCTATGGATTGGCTGGCGTATCTTTATAAATAAGAATCTGATGACCTTGACGAGTTCATCATTGTCCACAATCTCAGGGTTTATTGGATGAATCATGGAGTACAGAAGATCCACCAATCCATTGAAATCATAGCATTCATCCTCATACAAGGTTAGTATGGAAAGGATCCCCTGGACCTTGGCGTCAGAGGGTATCTTTGAAAGGCTGTTGTTTAGTAGGAAATAGAGGCCCTCCATGAACCCTGGACGAAGAATTTTCCTATACTTCACAAGCCCCATAAACACATATTTATAACACTCGTATCTATCTCCCTTAAGAACCGTGAAGTACAACCTTTGAATGGCATCATAGATCCTCTTACAACTTTTCATTTCTTCAATACGCCCTTCGATGTCCTCTTCATCTTTAACCTCAGACTGAAGACTTAGACGCTCTTTCTCCATCTTCTTAAGTTTTTTGTTAAATATGCGTTTTCTATGGAATATGCTATTCTTGTCTCTCCTGGATACTCCCCTGTTTGCCTCCCAATACTCTTTGGCTTTCTCTTCATCACTCTTCAAAGAGTTGTTTACAAATGGAATGTCCAACAAGTATTCCAGAATCAAGGGATTGTACTCGAAGTCAAGCATCTGGTCTAGTATAGTTGCAATCAACTCACCGGAACAATCGCTTCTCAGCTTCAACTTTATTGTGTTGCAGCACATCATCGGTACAGACCCCTTTCCAAGAGATCCTCTCAGAACCCCCGAGACAATCTTGTCTGTGGCATTAAAGTGGTCGAAATGCTGTAAGACCTCGCACAATGAGATATAACTTTCGTTAGATATATCATCAACCATGGTCTTTACATAAGATGTGTACCATTTAAGAAGATTCTTATCATGGTCTTTCAAGTGAAGAGCATCTCTTTTGTCTTTCACCACGTCTTTCAAAGACCTCACTTTGTACAGAGGAATGACTGCTTTAAACACTTTAAAAAGAGACAGATAAACCATTCCCTTTGCTTTCCCTTCAAATGATCCATTTCTAAGCATCTCAAATATTCCCTCCATCATATCTAGGTTCTCCTGTGGGTTTTCTATGATCTTTGTGCATATGGACCCAATCTTCGACTTCTGCTGATCCATTTTATCCATCGGCTAACAGTATATTTTTTATTGGAGCAAAAAGCAGATTGGTTGGAAACCAAATATGGAAGAATTGATAAGATTTATTGACTTAGATACGGATATACTGAATGACCACGACAGAACTTCCTACGGTTCTATCCGAGCTTCGTTGTCTATCTTTTGCTTGCTTGGGCTACACTGGCACAAGATGGAAATCTTACTTATATAGATGAAAGGCTTCATTTCTCTAATGCAAAGAACATCTCCATCTATTTCGTAGTGAATTTTTGAAAGACAGATGCAATTGCTGGCCTTGTGCTTCTTGCATTTGCTAATATCACTTTCACACCTGCCGTTCTGGTTGCACTGTTCTCCTGTATTCCCAGTACCTTGAGACAAATACAACACAAGTGTGTCTTCTCCAGAAACTTCCCCAATTCGAATATCCCCGGGCCTGGCTTCGGTGTTTGGAATACTGTTTTCGGCGGTGTTCTCCTCCATCTTAGGAATTCCGTCTTTGCACCTCGGAGCGTTTTATCTGTTTCATACATGACGTCAAAATAAGGAGATGATAGGATCTATCTATTGACCATCTGCTTGGAAGCAGAAGAAAGAGACCTGGGCAAAGAAGCAAGATTTCCCTGCAAAATTTTACCCAAGATGATTGCAGTAATAGACACAGGATATTTCATAGAAAGGCAGATTCCTACAGACAAGGTGATTAGGGGATATGTTACAGATTCTGTTATAAATGAACTTAAGACTGCAGAGTCTGAAGAATATCTCAAGTTCTTCTCCTTCATGATAGAGGTAAGGAATCCTTCGGAAGAATATGTAGAGAAGGTTAGAAGAGATCTTAGAAAAGAGGTCAACAACTTGAGTAATACAGATATCGAGGTTGTAGCACTAACACTGGAACTAAAAGATGAGGTCTCGGAAATGTGGGTTGGGCCGGAAAGCCAGAACCAAGAGGAAGTTGTTTGCTTTACAAATGACAACGGGATAAAGAATGCGTTATTGCGGTACACTATATACGAGAGCTCTATGTTTTCCTCTCGAAAGTATAAAGTCCGATGCTATGGATGTTTTAGCCTTTTTTCCGAGAATCTGGACTTCTGCAAAAAATGTGGACATCGAACACTGACAAGAATAGCCGTTGGAGACACGGAGAATGGGGAGGTTATGTTTTTTAAGAAAGGATACGAATACAGGAAGCCAAAGACACTTAAGAATGCAAAGGGAGTGGAACTCCGGAGTGCAGATCAGAGAGAGTATGTCCAGTATCAAAAAAATCTAAAGAGTAAAAGCAACAGGTCCCAGAGAGGACTAGATTTCTGAAATCATGAGTTATTGTTTATTGAGGCTTATGATGTCGTATAAAAAGAATAAACCTTCCGAAACTATCACTTTTTTTATATCATCTGCCGATACCTCTTGCTTCTGTCTCTTACCAGATATCTCCTTTGCCTTGTTCAATATAAACTCTGAGAGGATGGAGACGTATTTCGATATCAGTTTCATTCTTCTCTCTTCGGTGCTAAGGTTTATTAAAGCTGCAATATCAGAAACATTTTGAAGATCTAGAATCTTAGCTGGAGCCTGTTTCCCTCCATCTACCTTAATCTTTTTACAAACCGTCAGTATATTGTTTCTGTATCCCATAGGCATCCCTGGGTGGAGGATTTATATTTGTTAGATAAAGACGGAGTACAATCTCCTTCCAAAGATTGTGAGGGCCTATTTCTGGAATCTGAAAACACCGTTAAATGAAGGGGAAAGACTTGAAGGAAGAAATAAAAGAATCCTCTGGAGAAAATCGAGTTATGTTCGGAAATCCTACAAAGAGGCTTGCCTGTATTGGAATGAATTGGAGAAACATAAATGTCAAAGATCTGTTTAAGATCTTCAACTCAATTCTACTGGGCTCATCTCCTCTGAGTGTGAAGCTCTGTAAAACCAAGATAGGAAGAGAACGTCTTGGAGACAACAACATTTTTGTCAAGAGCTGTGAAGAGGGAAGGATCGATGAATGTTACACTGCTGTTGCCGAATTTGAGGATGTAGATGATTCAAAGCACATATATACTGCATGCGACGGAGTAAGATTAGGGAACTCGGGAATGGTGTTTGATCTGAGATTTGTGCCGGACTCTCTTGATCTTCAAAACGTATGTGATGAGGCTTTCAACGATGACGGATGTGAAGAAAAGGACTTTGTTGTCAGAGAGAAGAAAGAGGAGGAAGATGATAGTGAGATAGAGTCTCGGCTTGAGAAATTATTCAAAGAAAAGGAAATCAACTTCGACCTTGTCTCCGAGCTGGTCGACATGTCTGATGATGAGAACATTTCCGGCCTGCAAGACCATCTGCCAATTTCTTCGGAGAACGAGAAGAGCAAGTTCCTAGAGTCCAGCTCCGACGATTTTAACGACGAAATATCGGAGGATAAGGAGATCGAAAATAAGAAAGCCAAGAAGAAAGAGTCTAGTAAGAAAGACATAGAAACCATTCCCAGAGGAAAGCCAATAGACGAGTGTGATGGCTTTATGTTTGATCCAAAAGACAAAAGATTCGAGGCAATATTTGAAGACGAAGACTTTGCCATTGACCCCACACACCCCGAGTATAAGAGAAAGGGCGGTTTGAAGGAGATATTAGATGAAAAGAGAAAAAGAATTAAGGATAACATTGATTAAAGTTTCTTTGGATTAACACACAACCGGTTTGAGATTTACAATAGTGCAAGTAAACCGTTTATTCTTAATAGATTTTCAACTTCTTTGATCTCCAGTGTCTTCTTGCCTTGTTGTACTCCCCCTTGTGCTCCTTCATCATTCTCTTCCATGCAGGAATCTCTCTGTTCCTCTTCAAGGCTCTCATGAGCCTTGTCTTCACCAAAGCAGTCTTTCTTGATCCCTAGAAATTAACCCGAGTCAAATCGCCTTACCATTTCGTCGGGGCTCAAATTTTTCTCAAAATAACCTTACCGAGGAGCTTCCAAGATGAGGAGCCAAAGGCTATTTTTTCATCTGCTCTCTCTTTTTGCTATTTTCCCGCATTGCATTGTAAAATGTGCAGAGTTTCTCGATTGTTAGGCTGTCCTTGAGGCTTTCCAATATACTGCAAACAACTCTTATGTTGTTGGGTGTGTCTTTATCTTCTCTGATCCTATACAATTTCCACCCACCCTTCCTCAGTACAAACTCATCAAGATCCCAGTAATATCCGTCGTTGTCGTACAGAAACTCTCCTATTTTTCCATCTACTTCCTCGTCTTCACAAAAAAAATGGCCAAACACAACATCCTTTCCTCTCTTTCCACTGCACACCAGATCGTATACATGGCCAAACTCCTTGGCCTTTGTAATCTTAAAATCTATTGTGTTCAGAAACGTAGGCTTCCACTTGAGAATTACACCTCTTTTCCCTACCGAGTAAGGCTCATCTGTAGGAGTGAATATTAAGCCGTCATTTCCATGCTTCAGGTCCGGGATCTTCTTGTACACCTCCCAGAAACCATAGCTCTTCATCATCTGTTTAACATAGAAATGTATACTGATACATCCAGGCTCCTGGCCCTCAGCCCCAATTGGAATTCTCTTCGGCTCAAACCCATCCTCGTCCTCTTTTTTTAAGGCTTTGGTCTTTTCGACACTTCCCTTCATTCTATCCACAAACATTTGTGCGTATCCAAGCCTTTTATACAAGTTCTTAAGTATCTGGGGAGCGTCTTCATATATCAAGCAATCAAATATGGCGTAAGTGGTGACTGTGCCATCTTCCAGAAAGATCTCTCCATCTATCAAGACAGTCGAGGAAAAGGGAAAGTTCATGTCCAATTCGTAGAAGTCGTTTTTTCTATCGTAAAAGTATCCTTTGGATATGCCCATCTTTTCTGTAACAAGCAGCAAAGCTCTGATTCCGTCGGACTTCTCGCACACAAGGAAGTCCTTGCTCAACAAAAGATCAATGTTGTCCAGTGTTAGAGACACTGGATGGCATCCTGGAAACCTTTCTCTTTTCTTGGCCCCTGCTATGCAAAGCTTCTGGTATATGCCTATTCTGAGGGCCTCTGCCTCCTCGGACGGAACTTTGTTCCCTAGATGTAAGAGCTCCATGACCGATTCAGGACTCCGACAAAACTGCATTTTCCATAGCCCATCCACAATGAAAAAGATTACAGCACCCGGGATTCCCGAGTGGTCTCCCGCCTCAGTACTATCCGGGCTCGCACAGGCTTAACTGCGGAGATCTGACGAGTTCCGGTGCTTTTCTGTGGATATGGCCGTAATCAGTCATAAATCCTTTCGACTATAAAAACAGTCCCAAAACTCCAAGCCAAAACAGAACCATCTTTTAATTAACTACACCTGCCCTCCAAACTCATTCCTTCTCCCTAAGCCTTATATACTCCAGCACCTCAGACCCGCTCAAAATCCTCTTTTCGTTCAAAGTCTTTATCCTGGAAAACACTTCGAAATCTCTATCCCGGATCTTCTTCAAGACTCCTGTCTCCTCGCCATCGTTGTCCTCCTCGTGTGTTTTGACCTCGGCAAAACCTCTGGTCGCTGTAAAGCTAAACAGCTCGTTTATACATGACTTGTTGAAGAATCTACTTAGCCCAGGGTTACTCAAGACCTTCTTCCCAAGTAGATCTTTAAATATCTGCTTTTGATAAACCTTCTCTTCAATTGTATCCTTGCAAATAAACCTATATATTTCCACACCTTTTCTCTGTCCATATCTCCATGCCCTCTCCTTGGCTTGTGTGTCTGTCGATGGATTCCAGTCCGGGTCATATATAACAATTCGAGACGCTCCAGTAAGATTTAGTCCAAGGCCTCCTACCTTGGTTGTCAAAAGAAACATGAATATGCTATCATCCTTGTTGAATCTATCCACAAGCGAAGACCGACTCGACGTCGATGTTCTACCATCCATTCTTAAGTATGCGTACTTTTCAACACACTTCTCTATTATATCTAGCATCCTTATTGTCTGCGAAAACACCAGTACTTTGTTCCCCTCACTCTTCCATTTCTTGAGAAGATCCATCAGAATCTTTATCTTACACGAGGAGCTCACAAGCCCATACTGGCTCTCTTCTTTCTTCAAAAGCCCCAAGGTCTCCTCGTTATTTTTTTCGCCAGATGCTTCTTCAGAAAGGTCTTCAGAACCGTCTTCCTTTCTGGGAATAAACAGTCTTGGATGATTGCATACCTTCCGAAGCATGGAAATCCCACTCAGAAGGTTCGCCTTTCCAATCAGAACCTTCATTATGTGTTTTGACTCGAGAATCCTGTTGTAGAGTTCAATTTGGATTGGTGTCAACGTGCAGAATATTATTTTGTCTTCCTTGGAAGGAAGCTTATGCGAAATCTGCGACTTTGTTCTTCTTAGTATATACGGCTCTATCAATGACCGGAGCATCAAACTGTGTCTATAAGCCTTTTCAACCTGGAGATTGCTAGCACTCTTGTACCCTCCTCTACGTATTATCTCCTCAAACTCCTCATGGAAAGAGGTGTGCGACCCCAGAAGCCCCGGATTGACAAAGTCAAACATAGACCATAGCTCCCCAAGGTTATTCTGGATGGGCGTTCCAGAAAGAACAAAGCGACTCCGAGACCTTACTTTCTTCACTGAAAGTGTGATCTGCGCATTTCTGTTCTTTATCTTGTGCCCCTCATCTAGGACCAAAGTATCCCATAAAAGGTCCTTTGCCCTTGCCTTGAACTTCTCATACGACATCAAATACACTCCTCTGCAGTCCTCGGCTGGGAATCCAAAGAAAACTCTTACAAACGGATAAAATCTTTTCCATTCCGCCATCCATTGCGAGACTATTGTGGCTGGACACAGTATTAGTGCCTTTTCGATGGATTTGTTGTGGAATAGAACTGCTAAAAACACAATCATTTGGATCGTCTTCCCAAGCCCCATATCATCTGCAAGAACTCCACCTTTCTCTCTCTTATACAGCCCCAGCATCCATGCCACCCCATCCCGCTGATATTCAAAAAGCGAGTTCCAAAGGAAATCTGGAATCTCAAATCCCTCGCATATACTACTTTCCTTTCTTAAATTCTCCTGGAACTCATTCTTCATAATTCCCATGTGATTGCAGTACTTCTCAATCGACTTCTCACACCTTTCGTTGAAGACTTCAATGTCCTTGTCATCTTCCATCCCAGACCATTCGAAGTCGATATTCCTCTTCTCTTCTACCTCCTCTTTTCTACTGTCCTTCTTGCACATAATCGATTTGTCTGCTGCAAGCCTGCTTTTAACTTCCTCTATCTCTCTCTCCAAGTCCTTAACCTTCCCCATATCTCCTTTACCTTTGTGTGCCTCTATTTTCTTCTTTAGCTCATCGATCTTGGAAGATGCCGCCCTCTCCAAGTACTTTTCAACAAACGACTTCTCATAGTCTTCGGCTTTACAGTCCATAATGAAAGGGAAAATTCAAAACAATATTTAATATCCGACTTCTTCTCACTTTCCTCATAGCTGTTCACAATGGTGAAATAGTGCTTTAATCTCTTCCTCCCATAGCATCTTACACTCGTTGAGCTTCTCCATAACCTCATTGTCTATAGAAACCCCAACTGTATTACTCCGCAAGCGGATCTTATTAACAAGATACACAATGTCTTCTACGGCACTTTCCTTGTCACCTAACATCACAATCCCAAGACACATTGTGAAGTATTTGATCTCAAGATCTTTGTACATCTGCAAGAGCCTTGGCCTGTACCGTCCTACTCCAACCATTTCGTTCAACCATCTATCTAACTCCTTCGGGGCCTCTAGAGGTATTTTCCTCACATATTCGTCCACCTCTTCGTCAATTCTATTCTCAATGTATTCATGGATCTTCAGGCCATTTGTCTCGTCGTATTCTTGGAGTTTCTTAAGAAGCTCTATCCTTGATACAGTCGAGGGTTTTCTTGTCTTTGAGTAAACACTCTCAAGGTGGTCTATCATCATTAACCTAGGTTTTTCTCGTTTCAAGCCTAGGATGCACATACATTTAATGATCTGGTTTATTCTCTCCTTACTGTTGAATGCTATGCTTCTCTTGAACTCGCTGGTTAGAAACCCCTCGAGGTCCTTACACTTGTCTGCATCCGTGGTCAGTATCTCCAAAAGCATTTCAATGTTCTGAGTTTTCTTTGCTTCCTCAACAATTCTCCTCACCTCTCTTTCTCTTCTTTCATGCATCAAGCGGGTGTGCTCCTTCTTCAGCTCGTACCATTTGTTAAGCTTGTTTACCAGAGATTCCATGGGCTTGCCTTCATGACTCCGAAAACAAGTATATAATCCATGTCTGCTTCCCATCACGATACAATGGCATCTGGACAGAGAGACAGAGAAGACACATTGTACGAGAGTACTTTCTACGAGAAAAAAAACAACGAGGAACAAAGGAAGAACAACGGAAATTCTCACTATTTTCTCACAAAGCTCCAGCTAAACTTTAAAAGTATCTTTGAAGGAGGCAAGAGATTCCATTCTGTAGAAAATATGCATCAGAACGAAGAAACAAATTCCTAAATTCTGAAGATTCCTTTAATAAAGCCTTAACTTCCTGATGCGCTATGTAAACTCTTTATTTCAGACGCCCTAGATGAAAGAGGAAATCGTTTTCTGCCAGACACACATAGATTTTTACATGAGTGACTCGGGACTAAGCTATCCACATCCCGTGTTCGCCATATTTGGAAACATAGAGTCTGGAGAGCCGATTCAGGTGCTTGTCAAGAACTTTTTTCCTTACTTCTATATAGAAACTGTCAACGGCAAGGAATACAAGGAGGAAGATATAAAGGATTCCATTCAAAGGCTCGATATAAAAGCCACAGTGGTAGAAGTTGAAGCCACGATGAAACAAACCATACTGGGATATACAGAAGGGAAATCAAGGTTCTACAAGCTGACTCTGAACACGCCCCATGTTTCTGGAGCTCTGCGGGCATTCCTTGAGAGTGGAATAACAATTAGAAGAGAGAAAGTTCGATTCCGAGTGTACGAGAGCAGCTTTCCCTTTGTGTTGAGGTTTATGTGTGACCTTGGGATTGTTGGAATGAGCTATCTAAAAGTAAGGAAGTATGAGGTTCTAGACGGTAAGTATCTAACGGTGAGCACGTCTTATGAATCCTTAGAGCCCCTTCCGCCTGTAGGCGTTTATGCTATTCTTCCGCCCCTCAAGGTTCTAAGCCTGGATATAGAATGTGTAAGTATTGGAAACGCCTTTCCCTCTTCTAAGACGGATCCTATTATTCAAATAGGAAACACTCTAACGATGTTTGGAAGTGATAAATACTTGTCTCAAGACATATTCTGCCTAAAGGAAACCACTGGGATTCCCGGCGTCAATGTTCATTGGTATGAGACAGAAAAGGAACTTCTGGAAAGCTGGAAAAAATACTTCATGGAACTTGATCCAGACATCATTATAGGATACAACGTGAAGGGCTTTGATCTTCCTTACATTCTCGGTCGAGGAGAAGTGCTTGGAATCGAGAACTTCTCTATTCTAGGAAGGTCCAAGAAGAAAGCAAGAACAAGAGACACAACAATGTCTAGCAACATGTTTGGATCTATAATGACCACGGAGGTGGAGATTGAAGGACGTCTGATAATAGACATGATGGTTGTGATACGAAGAGACTTCAAGCTAAGAAGTTACTCATTGAACTCTGTCAGTATACACTTTCTGAAGGAGCAGAAGGAAGATGTTCCCTATTCATCCATTGGGGAACTCCAATCCAAGGATAAAGATACAAGAAGAAGAATAGCCTCTTATTGCCTAAGAGATACTGTACTGCCTCTTCGCTTGTTCTCAAAGCTGAATGTTCTAATCAATTATGCTGAGCTGTCTAGGGTGACAGGAGTCCCCATAGAATACTTCTTTACAAGAGGAACAGCCATCAAGATATTTGCACTTATCTATAGAACAGCTTCCAAGGAGGGTTTTGTAGTTCCTGAAACAGATCCATTTGAATCTGGTAAGAAGTACGAGGGAGGATTTGTCATCGAGCCTAAGAAGGGGTTCTATGGAAAACCTATATCTGTAATGGATTTCACCTCTCTGTATCCTTCGATAATGATCAGCCATAACCTTTGTTATACCACATTACTCACGAAGGATCAATACAGAATCCTTGGAGGGATCAGAACGCCAACAGACAACTATTTCTGCTCACCTGAGAGAAAGAAAGGCCTTCTTCCAAGGATTCTGGTTGATCTGCTAGACTCGAGGAAGAAGATAAAGGAGGAGTTGAAGAAGGAAAAGGATCCGGCAGTCAAGGCATGCCTTAATGGAAAGCAGCTGGCTGTGAAACTCTGTGCCAATTCTCTGTATGGGTTCACAGGAGCATCGAAGGGGAAGCTTCCTTGTTTTGAGATATCTCAGAGTGTAACGGGGTTTGGAAGGGAAATGATAATGCTTACGAAGAAGCTGATTGAGGAGAACTTTTCCAAGAAAAACGGATACACACATGATTCGGTTGTGATCTATGGAGACACAGATTCTGTTATGATCAATTTCGACGAGGAGGACATAAAAAAGGTTTTTGAGATGAGCAAGGAGATATCTGAGTTTGTGACAAGCAAGTTTATGAAGCCTGTGTCTCTGGAGTTTGAAAAGGTTTATTACCCATATCTGCTCATTAATAAGAAGAGATACGCTGGCCTCCTGTACTCGAATCCAAACACAGCTAGCAAGATAGACACAAAAGGAATTGAAGCTGTAAGAAGGGACAATTGTGGGCTTGTTAAGGAAACTGTCGAGACGGTACTTGAGATGATTCTTCATGAGAAGAATGTTGAGAAGGCCAAGCAATTTGTTCGAGATGTTGTAAGAGACTTGTACCTGGGGAGGATAGACTTGAGTCTTCTAGTGATTTCGAAATCCTTAACGAAGTCTGGGGAGAAGTATGGAAGTAGACAAGCTCATGTAGAGCTGGCGGAGAAGCTTAGGAAAAGAGACGAAACCACGGCACCTGTGCTTGGAGACCGGGTTCCATATGTGATAGTGAAGAAGGGCAAGGGAATAGCAGCATATGAAAAAAGTGAGGACCCTGTGTATGTATTGGAAAACAACCTTCCGATCGACACAGAATACTATATTGAGCAACAGCTTTCGAAGCCTATGGAGAGAATATTCGAGCCTGTTATGGATAATGTGGACGAGTTGTTTAAGGGCGACCACACAAGAGTCGTGCAAAGGGCATCTCTTAAAGGGCCGATGAACACCTTTTTGAAGCTAGCGGATGTCTGTGTTGGATGTAGAGCAGAAGGAAAGATCATATGCAGCAATTGTAGAAAGGACTTTCATATCCATCTTCAGAAAATGCAACAGGAAGTGGAAAATAAAAAAGAAAGATTGAATAGTTGCTGGGTGGAGTGCCAGAGGTGCCAGGGAAGCATCCATAACCAAGTATTGTGTGTTAATAGAGACTGCCCAATCTTTTACATGCGAACAAAGGTGAGAAAGGAGTTGATTCCCCTTAATGAAAAGCTCGGGAAATTAAGGTCTTTTGAGTGGTGAAGAGCGAAATAAAGTAAAGATGGATGTTGTGTGTTTTCTTTTTGGGCAAAGAACCGAAAACATATATTACTTAGCAAGTTCTGTGTATGAGAGAGAAGAAGCACAATGAACACGAGTATTTATTGAAACAATCAGTAGCCAATATACTTGATACCCATTCTTTTTAGGGAGTGAAGAATATCTGAACATGTGATAGTCTTTCTCTTAGCATGTGTGGAGTAAATACATGCGATGGAAAGAGTATCTCTGATATATTCTCTTGCTGCATTATTTATTTCTTTAAAGCAACCTCCGCCGACTCTCCTCACACCAGCACGCCTGGCAATTCTCCTGATTGCTGGCTTGGAGATGCTGTCTGTCAGCCCGGACTGTTTTCTGTGTCTCTTTGCAATTCCCTTTGCTGCCTTACTCTTTCCTTTTGCACTGATACTCTGTGTATTCATTTAGGGGATTCTGTTTTGATGTTTTATAGTTTTATTTTTGGCGGGGACATTCCCTCCAATCTAATTATCTATTCTAAACATTCTAATTTGTAAGTTCTGGACCTTTTTTTTGGAAGGTACTTACTTTGGACAGCGAAAAAGATGCACAGTCCCTCCTAAAGAGATGAATCTGCCATATTTGTACTGAGAGGAGCTGTGATAATAATTAAATACGTCTTTTTGGACCAGCCTTGTTTCTATAGCCTGGATTTCTTGCAAGAAGGCATTTGGCGCGAAAATCTCCCGGCAAATAAAATTATAAATATACACTGGAGATGAAGGACAGAAATGTCAAGAACAAAACAGACAGCTTCAAAAGCACTTGGAGGAAAGGCTCCCAGAAAGGGCATGTCGATGAAGTCGGTCCCGTCGTCTGGATCTTCATCTGCCGTGCCTAAGGGGACGAGGTTCAAGGCTGGAGCTCTTGCCCTGAAGGAGATAAGAAAATACCAGAAGAGTACAGATCTGCTTATAAGGAAGAGGCCGTTCCAGAGGATGGTCCGGGAGTTATGCAAGAGCGGAGAAGGCATAAGATTCCAGGCTTCTGCAATTGTTGCCTTCCAGGAGGCTGTTGAAAATTTCCTTACAAATCTTGTGGAAGATGCCTATAGATGTGTTCTACATGCCAAAAGAGTTACTCTGATGCCGAAGGATATTTGTCTTGTGTATAAGATAAAGTATGCGAACATTTTGTATGCAGCCCTTGACTGAAATAAAGTATTTTTATTCTTCTTGATTATAGGAATCTTTATGAACGGGAACGGAATATTTGGAGCGCACTGCCCCCCTCCATGGGGGATGTTGTTTACATAGTCCATAGACAGCTTGAAAGAATACCAACCATTCCAGAGCATGCGAGAACAGTTGACCTCCGCCGGAACAACATATCGGTTATGGCTTTGAACAAGGCAGAGTCTGTCGAGTATCTTGATCTATCAGACAACAGAATAAAGGTGATTTCCGACCTTGAAAATGTTCCGAATCTAAAGGTGTTGGATCTAAGCTACAACCTAATCACAGAAATTTCCATTCCCCGCATGGGTCTCTCGGAGCTGTATCTGATTTCTAATGACATTTCGACGATCCATGGGCTAGATCTTCCCTGCATCAAGAAGCTAGACATGGCCGTAAACGACATCTGTCAGATTGAAAACCTCGAGAATTGTGCAACTCTAGAAGAGCTCTACCTCGGAAGCAACAGAATAAGAACAGTAGAAGGACTGTCCGAGCTCAAAGATTTGAAGGTATTGGATCTTCAAAACAATGAACTTGAAGTGGTAGATTGCTCGGCAGTACCTTGTAATGTTGAAGTTCTTCTTCTTGGAGAGAACAGAAACCTTCAAATGATTGAGAATCTCGAGTCATTAAAGAATCTCCGGATTCTGGGGCTGGAGAAGACAAGAGTGCCTTCTGATCTATTTGAGGGGTGTTTTACTGTTTGGCGCTAACTCTTGCGAGCCCTCAATTGGTAGGACTTGATTCTTCAACACATAGGCCATTGGATAAGGATACTGACAAAACATTACCCATGGAGGAATGCTTTGAAAAAGAAAACAAGAAAGGATGGATTAGCATCCAGGATTCAATGAAAAGATCTAACGACTTTTGGCTCAAGGATGACGATGCAACCTCCTATCTGAACAGGTTTGTTGTGTAGCCAAGGAATTGGTAATTAAAATGGTTTTCTATGAAGCATTCTTTGAGTACTTTTCCAATCTATCCTCCGATAAAGAAATTTTCCATCCAGAACTATCCCATATGATTGGAGGCCGATCAATCCTGAAGTTTCCATTTGTTGGTATTAGAAAAGGTATTTCGGGGAATGCAGTTCCCGGACTTGCATTGTCAATGGCTGTCCTTAAGCCCATTAGTGTTGTGATGCCCAAGGTCCTCACAGATAACCTCTACAAGGGTGCAATGGCGCTTGCTACTCGCCCGTTTTGTGTTGGAGACAAAATTAAAATCGACAAATATGATGGACTTGTGAGGGACATAAGCTTTTGGTATGTGACGCTGGAGAGAGGAAAAGGCTATGTGTTCATACCCATGTCCCATGTATATAATACTGTTGTTGAGCTGTTCAAATAGCTTCAATGATGCTTAAGATGCAAAGCTATCCAGATGGAAACAGGCATCATAATAAATAAGGTTTATTCTCTTGTTCTTTCTCTGGGCTTGCACTTGACAATTGCATCGCACTTGATTATCATTTGTGCAGCCTCCGATGCAGCAGTAACAACACGATGCTTGATTCTAAAGCTGTCCACAACCCCAGACTCCTTCATACAACCAACACTTCCGCTACGGACATTTACTCCATAGCTTGTCTTACCAGAGTTGTGCTCGGCCCTCAGACTTGCCCTTATGCCTTCTCCATCATATCCTCCGTTGTCCGCGAGTATCTTTGGAATTTGCTGCAAAGCATTTGAAAATGCTAAAATGGCTTCACTTTCAATCCCAGGAACCTCCATGGCATAAGTGTTTAGGTCGACTGCCATTGCCATCTCACTGGACCCTCCTCCATAGACAACACGCGGATCCTGCTTTATCTTCGACAGAACACATAGTGCATCATGAACACTTCTTTCTGCCTCGTCCAGCATCTCTTTCGATGATCCACACAGGACAATGGTGCTTGCTCCACTCTTCACCCCGCTAAACTTTATTGCTCTTTCGTTTCCAATGTAAACATTCTTGACATTCTTGCAGGTCCCATAGCATGTTTCATCCATGCTGTCGAACGTACTCAGTATCTTTCCTCCAAGCACATTGGAGAGTCTTTCAACCCCATCAAAGTCTGCATGTTCAATGGCTTGGATTCCCTTTATCTTCAGGAGCTGGAGAGGATAATCGTATATAAGCTGTCTATTAATAAACATATTTATCCCGTTCTGGGAAATCCGCTCCACCTTTTCTTGAATCTTTCCCTTCTCCACCTTCTCCATCTCCTCAAGCTCCCCCACAGAGCTGACATTGATCTTAGCCCCAAATATCTTAATTTTGTCTTGATCCATGCTGGTGTTGGCTATCAGGATCTTTGGATCGTTCACCTCCTCTATTCGGACGTCTTTCTTTAGAAGAAACCCATCGTCGAGATATGAGTCCTCGAGCTTCCCAGAACACTTGATCACCTGTACAAGATTCAAGTCGTTCCTACCCCCAAGGTTCTCAATAGCATTGACACAGATGTTGCAGAACTTCTCCAGATCATACTTCAGAACCTTCGAGCACAGTGTTGTCCTGGCAAGCTTGACCAGATCCTCTTTCGATGGGTTGAAGCTAATTCTCTTCAGCACTTCAGAACACCTAGCCTGTGCCATTCTATATCCCTTAAGGATCTTCGTTGGATGCATCTCCAGCTTGCTGGCCTCCTTGACAAGTAGACTTGCCAAAATTGCAACAGAAGTCGTCCCATCTCCTTCCTCCCAGTCCTGTCCAGTGCTGGAGTTGATCAATATCCTTGCAGACGGGCTGTCGATCATCAGGTTCTTGAGAATAAATGCCCCGTCGTTGGTAACATGGACGCTTTGTCCCTTCAGCATCTTAAGCATCCCCTTTGGTCCAAGGGTTGTCTTCAGTATGTCTCCCACAATATCCGTCCCTGCAAGAATCGTTCTCTTTGCATCATCGCCTTTTTCCTCGGTGGTTCCCAGATTTGCATGGCTGAAGATGTTCATCTGGGGTGAAAATTTTGTTCTTCTTGTAAACCCATGAACGAAGAACTTCCTGTGGCTCCACTTGTTATGAAGCCCACAAGAATATACAACTATACTCAGCTGATAGCGTGTCTGAAGGCGAAGCAACAGAAACTGTCAAGATACAAGGCTTCAATACCGCCTAGTCCCTTCAAAGGTATCCTTGGGCCCAAGCAATGCCAATTTGATGTTGAGGACATAGTTAATGGGTTTCTGCATGAAAAGCTTAGGGCCAGGCAAAGGGAACATGAGAAGTCTATGGACAAGATGTTTTCCCAATGTGTCAGGAGACATATTAAGGAGCTGAAGAGGGAAAACGATCTTTTTGTGGTTGGGAACAGCAAGATTGGAGGGAGGATCAAGGCTTTGGAAGATGTGTTTGACAAGGATTTTGAAGACAAAGAGGGGGCCAATATCGCTGAAATGGAAGGGAAGGGCAAGTTCTTTGACGATGCTTTCCTTCTTGACATGTATATGTTTCTTAAGAGACTGAAACCTTCGGACTCCTTTGATCAAGAGATTAAGTTTCTTGGAGATGAATACTTGAGATATGTGGAGAGGTTTCTAAAGGAGAATGCAGACAAGATTAAAGAGCCACTTTGGGGGGAAGAAGACAAGATTTCTGTTTTTACCAAGCTTCGATATAGCAAGGAGGAATATGGCCTCGAAGTGTATGAGGGGAGATATATGTTTGCAGAGCTCTACACTCTTTTTAGATGTGGACTCTTGGATTCTGCAAAGGGACTTCTTGAGCGATTCCATGTTTTTTTTGAGCACATTTCACACAGATTCAAAACAAGCTTTGGTAGTTGGATTACCACAAGAACAAAACCGGCAGTTCCTGTCAAGATAGGGGGTTCTGACGACCTTTTCAAGGCGTTTCTTCTCGGATTGATGGATGAAAAAAGCAGAAGGATGGATGAAAGGATTATTGGCAGCATTGAGGATTTTGTGTGGATGAATCTGATCTCGATTAACGAAGGGAGATCTGCCTCTGAGATTTTGAAGATGTTTAGGAACTACCAGAATCCAAAGGGCCTTTTCCTTGCATATGTGATGCTTAAGGACTATGATAAAGCAATGAGCTTGATGTTCAAGGGAGACTTCTCTATAATTCCATCTTATTTCATAATGAAAGCCCTCTGTCCTCGATGCAAGAATAAGAAAGTGTTTGTGGACTTTGTGTTCTTGGCAGCCTCCCGATTTTCATCGACTACAAGAAAGGTCGAAATTATAAGCTCCTTGAAGTCTGTAATAGAAGGATACTATGAGATAGTTCCCGAAATGATAGTCAAGATGGGGCTATACGATGTACTTGGGATTGATTCTGGAGCCTGTTTATACCTCGATAAGAAAGTTAACCAGAAAGTTATCGAGATACTGAAAGGAAAGAATGAGAAGAAGAAATTAATCAAGCTCTACTATTTGATTGATGATGAAACACTTGTTGTGGATCTCATTAACGAAGCGGTTACCGAGGCAATTCTCTCAGATACGGACATTGACGAATATCTTGAGATTATCGAGTACTATGAAAGGGTGGAATGTACAAGACAGACCCGAATGATGTCTGCATTGAAGAGCTTCTACTTGTTCAAAAGAAATCCCTCTCCCTCTACACTTGGAGAAACCCCATTGCTTGACTCAGACTTTGATCTGACGAACTTCCGATATGTAGTTGAAAAGATTTTTAAGCCAGCATGCGACATTGTGGAGAAGATGGGAGACAACGAGATGGCAAGGACCTTGTTTAAGCTTTGTGGAGTTCTTGGACTTGGAGACGAGATGTCAAGCTATGCAAACAGACATCTTGTACTACTTATATGAAGGAAGTTTAATGGCCAGGTAATTATTCGATGTTTCCAGTACCCCATATCCTTATGAAGTTCAACTCTGCCGACTTTCCGATTATGAAGAGGATGTTGGTGGCTCGGGAGGAAGGGATATACTATGAGATGGAGAAGAACAGCCTGGCCGATACATGGGATAGGTTGCTGGAGTATTACAGCGAAAAGATCCTAGAGGAGCACAAAGAAGAGATTGAAGAAGAGGAGCTTTACAGAATACTTTGCAAGGCAAGGGTGGAAGCGGAAACAGGGAGAAGGGTATATGAGCTAATTGATAAAGATGTGCTTGAGACACACAAAGTGAAACCACGGAGTGTAGACAGGTGTGAATTCAAGACATATATTCTGGACTCGTGCATCAGGATATTAAGAAAGGGGATTTCTGAACTTAAAGATGGGATTGAAAAGGAATCAAGAGTCTGGTCAAAAGTGGAAGGAGCTAGCATGCCTGTAAGGCTAGTGAGAGGAAAGGTTCAAGTCTATGTAACAGAGACGGAATATCTAGTAGTGAATGAGGAAGGAGACTATGTTTACCCAAGTGATTGGAATGCTCAAGGAGTGACATGCAAGATTAGATATATGGATGTTCATTTGGAATGTTCTGTGCTTCCAAGGAACAGCATGGATAAGATAGAAATGGTTAAGGAGTACTTTCTTGAAAGATCAATTATTCAGAAATTTATTCGAAATGACATTGAGATCGAGATAACTCCAATGGAAAATCCTTCGGAAAGGGAAGACATAATCTGCAAGTATGTAGTTTGCCATCTAAAGAGAGGAAAGAGCATCAAAGAGATATTTGAAAAAGTCAATCTCTATCTTTCAAGAAAGCTTGTTGATATCATTGTCTCTGGAAGTAAGAAATGCACTGTCTTAAGGTACAGTGGCCATGTTCTTGAGGACGGATTACCCGAGGTATTTTTTGTACTTACGGATAACAAGGTCGTCAAAGCCATGAGACAACAGCCAGGGAAGTTTGAGATATTTGTAAATGAAGTTCCGATTAGATCCTTTCGAAATTATATCTCAAGAGAGGAGCCTTGAAGCCTTTACTTCCTAAATCTATGGACCATGCAGGGCTTTGAATAAAGACTTTGGTGTTCAATCTTTTCTACTTTCTTTGCAAACATCCTGGCCTAATAATAAACCATTTCGGTTGGAACTCGCTTCTTAAGTTGGTGGTTATCTAACTTGAAGTTTACAGCCCAGAGATGATAAGATGTGTCTATACAATGCAAAAGCATAAGAAGCTGAAAACATGGATGGACGGCTTTATAGAACAGAAAGGGAAAAGAATACATCTTTACAACACCGACATGGTGAAGATAGACAGTTTGGTTGCTTCTTGTCTAGATAACGAGATGGAGACCCCAAAATACCTTTTGTACATCGAGTCTTTTGAGGATCCTGAGGAAAATGAGATAAAGCATCAGGAAAATCCTCCTTCTACCTCAAGAACATTGAAAGACAGACCAGAAAAAGACATAGAAGGTAATGTGAAATGTTCTTCACCACAAGGAAGGTCTGAAGAGGAGATAATAAATTTGTTTCAAGGGTAACATGGCTTTATTATTACCTAAGAGTCTTTTCAATACTGCTTTCAAATGAAGACACAACCTTTCCATCTATTCCATTCAGTTTTAGATTGTTTCTCTTTTCAAGAACGTGTTCCCTCTGTGCATTGATGTTGGATATGACGTTATCCATCACTTCCTTGAAGACTCCTATCCTTAGCTTCTTCAATTCGCTTACCACAACAGCAGCAAGCTCTGGAAACCCAATACTCTTTGAAAACACAGACATGTGCTGCAGAAGAAGAGATCCTGCCTCCTCTATAACAAACATCTGATGCTCTTCGCTTTTTGTCCTACTGGGGTCCGGATTAACCATGTCGTAGCTTATTTTTCTTCCCTCAACTGAAAGATTCTTTACGGATATGGCATTCTTCAATATTCTGATTATATAGAAGGATAAAGGGACATAAAACTTCGACCCAGCTACAGACTTAATAGCTCGAAGGCAGAATATCGAATACCGATAATCTTTATATGTTTCTATTATTCCTACCAGAAGCTTTATGTAATCTCTGAAATCAGAGTGCTTTTTTAGACACTTACTTAAAACCTCTATCATAAATGTGATCTTTGAAAGATCTGGGTTTTTGGTTCTGGCATATTTCTCTAAGTAAAATATTTCCGCATCGACATCCTTCGGATTCAATACATAATTTTGAATGTCCTCGGGAAGTGTTAATGCCTGGGATGTGTATATCTTTGAAAGATAGCTTTCCTCCAATTCCACACCATTGTCCGTTTGTGTCATTTTGGGGATTAGAAAATACCAAATATACTCTTAAAATTCCAGAAATGCTTACGTGTTTTGTAAAATCTCAAGGAAGAGCTGATCTTCTCAAATGTCCACATCTGTCCCCAGAAGGTCCTTTGAAGTAACTTTAGAACTCTTATATTGTTATTTGTCTTTAAGCTGTACTTAATCATCCAACACCCTGAATTTGGAACTTCGGAAATATTCCCCCAACCGGTGCCAAATAGAGCAAGAGGTCTTTCTACAAGGAGAGGTGGCAGTCCAGTGGAGGATCTCCTCGAAAACTACTTCTGGTTGAGTAGATTCGAGAGTAGCCACTGTTGGTTTGATCCCATCAGACAAAGGGACAGGGTAGATCCTATTTCGTGTGGGCCCTTTGGATGGAAGGGCCTGGAGAGCAGCGGAGGGCATGTGTTCTCCGGCAATAGAGAGCCCTGGTGAATTCATCGAGTTCCTGAAGCCCCTGATGATCGAAAGTCCTGCAATAAAAAAGTTTATTAGATGCATTTGAGACTATGCAGGAAAAGGTAAGTAACTTTGATGACCACATGTGCGATCTGGAAAAGAAGATTAAAGACATCGAAACAGCTTTCCAACCCATCCTTCTTTCCAAGGAATCCCACAAAAGATCGTTGCCTGAAGATAGTTTTCTTAAGAACATATATCTTGTGTTGATAATTGTGTTATGCATACAGGGTGTTCTCTGGTACACAGACAATGAAAAGTCTTCTGCTGGAACTGTGTGGAACATGGTAGTGTACTCTGTGGCAGTTGTGGGGACGATTCTGTACATGGCCTGGGTGTGGGGATTTGGCGGAAGGAGATGGACTAGTGTTGCGAGCATGGTACCTATGATGGTTGGATTTCTGAATTTGGGGAAGAGGGTGAGCTGTGAGTACGGGATGGAGATGGCAGGGCTTGGGTTTATGATGGTTTGTATGGAGAGTCTTGCAAGACACGGGATGTCATCATGGGAGATTTTGGCAGGATTGATTGGAAATGGAATTGTAGTGATGGGATGGGTCAGTTGGGCTACAATGAGGGATAGATATGGAGAGAGGATGGGCCAGTGGATGTGTGGGGGACTTATTGTGTTTGGAATTCTCATGGCTGTGATGATGTATATGAAGGAAGGGAGAAATGTGGAAAGGAGCACTGGAAGTTATATGGTGTTTATTATGACAGTGGTTGTTGGAACAGCTGTGTCTTATGCATGTGGAGAGGATTACAGACAACTTGCAACTAAGAGGTTGTTCCAAAGACCTCGGATTGTGGAAAGTAAATGCCAGAATCCAATTTAATACCCAATTTAGATATGTATTTGTTTCTAGATATAGAACTAGGCATCAAACATCAAAATAAACTTCAAAGTATAAATCTTTGTACAAAATCTTTAAGTCATCCTGAGAGATATAATGGATGTTCGTGTGATCAATAAGGCCTAGACCTCCCTTTCGACATATCTCAGACGTAAGCTTCTTTGTAGCCCTTGAACTCGTCTTGGCTAGTTCTGTGAACATCTCCTTGCTAACAAGAATGTTCAATAGAAACGGCCGTTCTTCAACCACCCTCAGCAAAAAAAATACCATCTGCTTATAGTTCTTGTCTATGTATTCCTTGACAAGAGAAATAACCTCTTCGTTGTTAAAGTTGAGTATCCAGTCCAATGGCAAGGTGTTGAACACCTTCATCTTTTCTTCGGGAAACAATGGATTCATGAGAACCATGCCGAAAAATTCCCTGAACACCTCTGCTTTGCAGCTGAACAGTATGTAGAAGTCCAGAAACTCTTTGAATCGTGAGATTCTCTTACCCATTTCCCTGATTACAGATGAAGAGTCTAGTTGGCAGAAGTCTGAATAGAAGAAGTCCTTCAGGAATTTGAGTCTGTTAAACTCAAAAGGAAGTAGGGTGAAGCCTATCCCACAGTTCGACTTCGAAAGCGCCCATTTTATATCGATCCCTGCATTAGCCTTCTGTCTCTTAAACACCCTCGATTGGTTTTCTCTTATTCGGCTTTCGATCCTAAGAACATCAACCTCCTTCTTTAGCTTTTCCATCCTTTTCAAGCCGTCTAACACCGTTCGACTTTTTTGCTCCTTCATAGCAAAGTTCTGCGTTTCCAGTGCAATCATGTTCTGCCTCAGTATCATTATTTCCCCTGTAAGTCTCATGTTTTCTTGCCGAAGTCTTCCCAGTTCCTTCCCCAGCCTTTCGTCATCTTCATCATCACCACTAAGCACTTCTGATCCTCCAAACCCCCTCATTTCTATCTTCTGTTTGAAAAGATTATCTGCACTCCCCGCCTATGCTTAAGCTTGCCCTTGGAGAGGCTTTACTTATAGGTAGAACAAAAACAAGGTTATCAAGCTCTATCCTATATGAAAACTTTACGGAAAACAGCTTACAATCAAAAGTAAAACAATCATGTTCAACCCTGAGAGGAACTGCTTTATAGAGACACATGTCCGAGTTGAATTCTTTCAGGAGCCTCTCCTCGCCATTTGAAACCTCTCCGCTGATAAATTCAGTTACCTCCAGTATTATTCTTGTTTTCTTGGAATTTCTCTTATACCATATCATCATCGTATCCTCTTTAACAAGAAGCTTTCCATATTCAACTGTAGCAACCTCTTCCTCATCGTCCTGAACAGTGACTTTGTATCTGTCCTCCTCAACCTCAGAACCCTCCATGGATACATAGAAGTATATGTCTCCCTTACTTTCCAGTTTGTACCTCTCCACAACCTCTCTCATGAATCTAGGGAAGTCTTCAAGAAAATGCATCTTTCGTCCTACCATCTCCTCAGTTGTTCCATAGTCTTGTCCAGCCTTGTTTCTTAGAAAGTCAACAATCTCCCCGAATGCAGTATCATCCGTGTTTCCAACCCTAATCATGTCCGAATGGACTATTATGTTTTCCATCTTCTTCAAAGGCTTGAATCCAAACGGATGGACACTAAACATCTTTGTTCTTACTTCTCTCGTTACTCCATAATATACCTCGACAATTATCGTGTAAACAACCTCCAGGCTTCTCAGTTTCATCGAAGGAAGAGCATCTCTCGGTATGATACATCTGTAAACAGTTTCCGAGTCTTCTTTCATCGAAAGTTCAACGGGCTCAGACTCCAGAAATCTAATCTCCTTCCTGTCCATCCTCACAATTCCTGCAATCCTTGCTGCCAGGAAATCAGGTCTTTTGGATGTCTCCTTGCACTTCCTCCACTTTATGCATGATTTGAACACTCCTCCTGTATAGGCGTCACAAGGCCATATTTCAAAATCCATGCTCAGAGAACAACAGGGATTCTAAAGTCAGTTTTTACTTCTTCCTGGATAAGATAGGTAAAGAATCAGATCTAAGTCTTTAATTAAGTGCGTCTTTGGATCATCTTCTTCTGTCCAGTTTACTCCTTTCAAAAGGATCGTCGTCGGCTGCATTGAAGATTCCACCGCCTCCAAAGAGGCCCCCTAGCCCCTTGTCATTTCTTTCCTCTGAATCCACATATCCTATGCTTGGCTTAGCCGGCTGCTGAGAAGACCCTCCCTCAAACAGACCTCCAAATAGACTTTTTCCATTTCCAAATATGTTCCCCATAGACCCTGTTAGATCAATCTGCTGCTGCGGCCTAGCTTGTTCTTGTCCTGTGCTTCCGGGTACTGGAAAGCTCTGTAAGCCAGGAATTCCACTACTACCCGAAAGAAAGATATTTCCTCCTTCTCCAAAAGAAAAGTTAGCCCCCGAGTCTTGTACGGCTTCTCCATATCCCCCCAACTTTCTCTTAAGGAGCGAAGATCCCGGTGTTGGTGAATGCAATTCTACCGATTCTTGTCCCATGCCAGACTGGGCCGGGAAAGATCCCCCTCCAAATACAAAAGGCTTGGTCTCAGGTGCCTTACCATCTGAAGCAAACGGACTGGAGATGTTCTCGTGATTTACAGTAGAAGGTGAATCTTGAGCCGGAGGAAGTGGAGCTCCCGAGTTGAAGAGAAACATAGATGTATCTCCTTGCACATTTGGTGTCCTTCCATCCCAGAATCCAAACTTCTTCGGCTCCTCCTCCACTGCAGGGCCTTCTTTCTTTTCATTTTCTAAGGATTCGTTGATTTCCCCTCCAAACACAAATGGCTCTTGCATCTGAACAGCATCCTCAACTTTTTTTGCATCTTCACTCATCTCAACAGCCTCCCTATCATCAGATCCATTTTCCTTGGTCTCGGAAATGGGCTCTAAAATAAAATAAGGCTTGGATGGAAGAGATTCAGATTCATTACTGGTTTTTATACCAACCTCTTTTCTGTCTTCCTGTCCACTACCATTTAGGACTTGTTCTGGCTCTGCTTCTTTATCATTCTTCTCACCATCATCTTTAATGCCTCCAATCTCCGTCACCTCATTTCTACTCTCATCAAAACTAGCCTTTCGGCTCTTAATCTTCTCTATATCAAACAGTTGCTCCTTCCTTGCCTCGCTAAGAACTCTCGTAAGCTTCTTTCTCTCCTCGTCTTCTAGATCATCCATATCAAACTTGTCATCAGTCACATATCTTGCCACTGCCCTTTCAACTCCAAAGTCCTTCTCAAGATAGAAATATGACTTAGGAACTCTCGACTCCCATCTGTCTTTTGCCATCTGCCTTCTCTTCTCAGCTCTTTCCCTCTCCTCCTTCCTTCTCTCGTTTTCCTTTCTTTCATATTCTTTCCTTATTTCATACTCTACACATCTTTTACAGTTATACTCCCCTCCAAAATTACATCGGACTTTCCTTTCTACAACTTCGGAGTTCAATTTCTTAATATTTCTTTCGCAGAAATATTCTTCTTCCTCATCGGTAGACACCTCCCCTAGTTGAAGGAAAAGATTGTCCTCTGCATCATAGCAGATTGCCTTTTCAATCGTCTCCATAGGCGTCTTCCCCTCTACTCTGTATTTCTTTGGAAGAACTCCCCAGCTAACATCATTCTCTTTCTTCAGGGCATACTTCTTTTGATATCCCCTTTTCCGATGCTTCTTAGGCTTCCCTTCGCCCCCCTTCGTATCCCCAGCCCCCAAGTCTCCTTTCCACTTCGCTCCTGCCTTTCTTTCCGATCTTTCTATCTCCACTCTCTTCAGCTCCTCAAATCCTTCGTCTAGTTTCTTTCTACATCCTGGCTCCGATATTGCCTTGCACAACTCTTTTATTCGATCAAGCTCAGAAACCTCAATAGGCTTTTCGCTTTCAAATCTAGAGCACAACTCCTTGTATGAGTTCAGATCCACCTTCTTCCCAGGCTGGAGTGCATCTTTAACGCTGTTCCATGCCTCCTTGATTCTCTCGTAAAACCCTGCCATCCTCTCTGGGTCAACAATAATTTTTTCTCAAAAAAGTACTCTTGAAGTCAACTTTATTTCAATCTTTACATTCCTTTGCCTCTTCCTTTATGTATCTCTTCAATCGACAAAGACTATTAAGGATCTCGAGGTCGTTTCCTCCAAATCTTTCATTGTCTTCTCTACATCTAAGGACATCTGTCACACAACTCCTTCTTCTGCATCCAGGACATCTGTCATCAGACTTCAAATGCCTTTTGATGCACAGATAGCAGAAACTCTGCCCACATCGGGTCTCATGTTTAACAGAAATCTTCCAATGGCATATCCCACACAATTCCATAAAGGGCTGTTCTAGATATATTTAAATCTCATCCCATCACCTCCTTTCCAATTCCTTCTCCATCTTTACATACTTCAGAATCCTCCTCATAGCTCTCTTGAGAATCCCAGATATCCATAAAATCGACATAGAACACTTAAGACCAGAAATCTCTCCTATAGTTGCAATCGTAAACAGGACGTATTTGCATGCAGGTGCATCACATCGGATCACTGCTATTTGACTATGCGGTAAGTATTCAACAACCACCAGATTCCCCACCATTGATGCTCCATAGCTTCCATAATCAATCCCAACCTTCGACTTAACAATTGATCCCAACATCTCCCCCAGGGCCCTGCTTTGATCTCCCTCGTGCCGAAGTCGGATAACTATATACCTTGCTTTCACACGAATCATCTAGGGCTAGAAAATCCATTCTATCAAACATTTATCGTCTTCATCTCCTCTTTACAAGCAACCAGAAATGTCCCTTTCAATCCCAGCCCCCGCAGGACGTCATCCACATCCGTTGGTGGCTTTATGTCCATGGGAAAAACTCCTCGCCAAATGCTAAACCGTCTGAGAATCCATTTGTCTTCGGAAATTAAGATAATTGGAACACCTGGCCTACCTAGATAGAGTCGCTCAACATCCTCCATAGAATCTGTACAAACTACAATTCCTTTTACGTAAGGAAACATTTTGTGAAATCCTAAGTCCTTCTTGGTTTCTTGATAATACGTCTCTGCCTTAATACAAATGTTCCTCATAAACTTGACAGTCTCAATAGGAAACATCCCAACAGCCGACTCTCCGCTCAGCATCACACAGTCGCATCCCTCCAGAACTGCATTTCCAACATCAGAAATCTCCGCTCTGCTTGGTGTGTCCCGGGAAGTCATACTTTCCATCATCTGTGTTGCACAGATTGCAGGCTTCTTCCCTCTTTTGGTCTCCAAGAGTATCTTCTTCTGCGCACTAAATGTGTCTACCAGCCCAACCTCTGCCCCAAGATCCCCCCTTGCAATCATCACCCCGTCCGAGCACAAGACTATTTCCTCCAGATTCTTCATTCCTAGGCACGACTCTATCTTCGAAACCACAGGAATCCTATTCCCCACAACCTTTCTTATCTCCTCAACATCCTTCTTGGAATTCACAAAAGACGCAAAAATCATGTCTATTCCATTCTCCAGACCAAAAACAATGTCACTCCTGTCTTCATCACTCAAAAACTTAATCCCTACATCTATGTTAGGAAAGTTCATGGACTTGTTGCTCCTGATTATCCCACTGCTCAGCACCTCGCATCCAAATCCATCTTCTTCTACATCGACTACTTTTAGATCTATTCTTCCATCATCGACCGATATCCTATCCCCCATTCCCAAGGACCTAAAGTCAATCCAAGGTATCCATATGCTCTTTCCAGAGGAGACCGATGAAAATCGGAGAATGTCTCCTCCATTAACCTCGATATTCTTATCTCCTGGTGTCCTAATCCTTATCTCAGGACCCCTTGTATCTAATGCTATTGAAACATACCTCCCCAAGCTACAGATGGCATCCTTTATGTTCCTAATAACCTCCAGATGCTCTTCTCTTGATCCATGGCTGAAGTTGAGTCTCGCAACAGACATACCCGCATCAATCAGGTCTTTGATCTTCTCCTTTGAGGACGAAGAAGGCCCAATGGTACATACTATTTTTGTCAATGAAGCCTTCATAGATGAATGGGACAAATCCTTTCCAAATTTATCAATCTTGTTTTGAGATACATGATAGGTTCTTTGGAGATAGGGGCCGATCCAGAGTATGGACATAATCCAATGCTTCTCCCTTTGAAGGAATGAAGACTGTTGCTGTTGTAATGAAATCTTTGGATGAGGAAATCCCATTGTCTAAGAACTCTGTTGGGGATGGATTCCTAGGATCAGCAAAGCATGTTGTAATGATATTTATAGAGAAGAACAAGATGTTTCTCTTCAATGATCCTCACTTGATGCTTGAGTCGGAAAAGACCCTGAGGATGGAACAGAAGCTCCATAGAAAGGCTGTTGTTGAACATCTGGAAAAGGCTGCTCAGGCTGTGAAGAAGTTAAACTTCAAGGCCGAAGTATCGAAGTTGGTGATTAATGGAGATGAGAAATACAAAATAGAAAAATGCCTGGCATGTCTGGAGGTCCAAGCAGTGATGTTCATCGGTAGACATAAGAAAAAAAGGTTTTATGAATGCTTTGTCCAATCGTTGGAGGACTATGTGTTTGAGGCTATGAAGATTCCTATTATCAAGATACCAGCTTCTAAGCATCGGTCTTGAAGCATTTGAACCATAGATTTACTTAAAAATAAATTACAACCTAATAGATCCAAGGATTCTTTTGCACATCAATGCTGTGATGAGTTTACACCCACAAATGCATCCAACTGCGATTTCATTCCGTACTAGACATATCTCTGAGATCACAATTGAGTTGGATGCTATGCATAGGAACTCTATTACAAGAAGATATTCTTCCCATTGGTACTTCCACATTATCATGATGAATATAAATAGATAGTAGAAGCTTGAAAGAAGGAGTGAACTGGATAACTTTAGAAATCGAACATGCCTATGGAACACAGTGAATGCCAGCACCAGAAGGAGAACAGTTTCCACAAGACTCTCTAGGGCATCTCTGCAGATGGTGGCTATGGTTGCAATCAAATTCACTTTCCCGGAACTCTCTCCAAAGAAGAGAATCCTAAGGGCCCCATGGTGGTGAAGTATAGGTCCTGTAAGCACCTTGGCGATTAGCATAAACAAGGCGCTTCTGGTGAGATCCTTTTTGTTATTGAAGAGATAGTGTCTGAAGATCCTCCTCTTCAGCAAGAGAAGATCTACAAGCTTCATCAAACTATTCAGCTCAAAGTATCTGTCCATCTTCTTGGAACATAGTTGGCACCTCGAGATCTGCTTGGCAGAGGAGTTCTTGAGAAACAGATGCTTTGCTCTATTTCCACATTCTATGCATACATACATTAGAGATTCCTTAGGGCTCTAGAATGTTTTCAGGACAAGATGAAGTTTTATGGATCCCAAGACCCCTAGGAATGGCTGTTGCATATATATTCGACGAGGAGGTTGGAATGTTCCATTACGGGCCTAGGCATCCCATGAAGCCGTTTAGAATGGTGGTTACACACTCTCTAGTGAAGTCGTTTGGCCTTGACAAAAAGATGACGATAGTCAAACCGGCACTCTTTCCTCTGACATATCACCCAAAGGAGTATCTTGAGAATCTCGGGAAGAATGAAACACCGGACTGCCCAAACTTCATTGGCCTTTCTAGATTCTGCGAGCTGTATGGAAGTGCCTCTATAAACTCGGCAATGATCCTCTCTGAAGGAAGATATGACACAGTTATTAATTGGAGCGGAGGTCTCCATCATGCACATAAAGCGGTTCCCAGCGGATTCTGCCATGTAAATGATATTGTGATGGCGATTCTGGAGCTTCTCAAGACATATCAGAGAGTTATGTATATAGATATAGATGTTCACCATGGAGATGGAGTGGAGGAAGCCTTTTTGGAATGTGATCGAGTGCTGACACTTTCCTTCCACAAGTACGGAGACGGCTTCTTTCCCGAGACAGGAACTCTGGTCACAACAGGACACAGGGCTGTGAATGTTCCTCTCCTATCAGGAATTGATGATGCAAGTTACAGATACATTTTCGAGCCTATTGTGGAGTCTTGTGTTAAGAAGTTCTCTCCAGATGCAATTGTCCTGCAGTGCGGAGCAGACTCCTTGGGTGAGGACAGGCTAGGATGTTTTAATCTCTCTATAGAGGGCCATGCATCTTGTGTCCGGTTTGTGAGTTCTCTCGGAATTCCTCTGCTCTGTCTAGGAGGTGGAGGATACACCCTGACGAATGTTGCCCGATGTTGGGCATATGAGACAGCTGTTTTGTGTGGAGAGGATCCGATTACGGATATTCCTGCAGACAATCCCTTCTACACGTATTTCAGTCCGTCGTATGTGGTTAATCCTGTGTTCAAAAGGAAGTATGTCAATAGAAACGATAGGGAGTACTTGGACATGGTTATGAGTTTCATTCTTGACAAAGTAGACAAGTTTTAAGAGGTCCTTGAAATTATAGAACAAGCGATTTTGGAGAATAAATTTTTTGCCCATTCATGCCAGTAGAGAAGCTTGAGAAGATCAAGTCGCAGGTTGAGTTTTACTTTAGTGATGCAAACTTCCGGGTAGACAAGTTCCTCCGGGAGCAATCCCTGGTAAACGACGGCTATATTCCGATCAAAACGATTGTCTCGTTCAACAAGCTTCGGAATCTTGAAGCAACGGTTGAAGATGTTAAGAAGGCCCTTGAAGACAGCAAAGTGGTTGAGCTCAAGGACGATATGATAAAGAAGGTTGAGACGGAGGAGTATCTCTCGTATGTTATGGAGAAGGACATAAACAAGAGGGTAGTGTACATCGATGGGTTTGAGAAGGATGCAACTCTTGAGGACATCAAAGAAATATTATCGCCACATATTATTCCGGTTCTTATTAGGATGAGGAGAGACAAGGGGAAGAACTTCAGCGGAAGCGTGTTTGCAGAGCTGAAATCTGAGGAAGAGGCCCAAAAGGCCTTGGAGGAGAAGATTCCAGTTAAGAAGCAAGCGGAGGACGAAGAGAGGTCCAAGAAGCAGAAAAGCGAGGAGAAATATCTTTTAATTATGGCAAAGGACGAATATCTCAAGGAGAAGGAGAAGATATCTGGAGAGAAGAAGGAGATAGAAGCAAGAAAAGCCCTTGAAAAGGAGTTTGTACCCAAGCTATTTAAATACGAGTGTAGCGAGGATCTTGACATTAAGACTGTGAAAAGTCTAGTCAAGAACACCGCTTTTGTGGATACAAAGCAGAAGGTGATAAGGATGAAGCATGCAGAGGATTTCAAGGAAAAGAAGTTTGAGGAGGAAGGAAAAAGCCTGACCCTCGTCAAGATGGAAGAAGATGAAGCCCTTGAGTACTGTAAGAGCATCAAGATTGCACCCAAGGGATCGAAACCCGGAAAGAAATAAAGGATTTATTTACATCCGGCTTTTATTGATAATTGTTTAATTGGAACCCATGACGAAGTACAATGTTACATTGAGAGTCTATCCCCTTGGGGACGAAACACTCAAGAGGTTTGTTGCCTCAGCGTTGAAACGGGAGGAGGTCCATATCTGGCACACATCCATCGAGGTTTATGGAATAGAATACTTCTTCCAGAATGGAATAGTGAAGGCGGTTCCGGGATCTACTTCCCATGGAACTCCTTTGAAGACCCATGATCTAGGAACCACAGAGATTCCAGAGATTGTGTTTGAAGACTTTCTTCTTTCTATAACAGAGGATTTTGCTCCTCACAAATATCATCTACTTAGAAACAACTGCAACAACTTCACAAATATAGTGGCTTTGTATCTGGTTGAGAAAAGCATCCCGGAATATATTCTTGAGCTCCAAAATACTGCATTGGAGTCTGAGGCTGTGTCGTCCCTGGTTGATATGTTTTTTGGATCTCCCGGGAAGATATAAGGCTAGATCTCTCCTTCCTCCTTCTCCTCCCAAACCACTTCGAAGTACTTATCCACTGCTCTTTTGTCTATTTGGCTGATCTCCTCTGTCCTTTCCTTCTCGTATCTTTTCAACTTGTTTTCCAGATCGTTGACAAACTCAAAGTATACCTCCTTGGGACTCTCCATACTCCCCAGAAGATTCCAGAACGGCTCTGAGTTCTTGAATAAATAAAATGCATCCTTGAACTTCATCTTGTAGTAGATCAGCCCTCTACTATACAGACTGTTCAGAACTTGCCTAAACTCCTCTCTGTAATGGGGGATTTTCTCGGCCATTGATGTTTTTTTCTTCTCGATATCCAACAGAAACTCTCTTTCAAGTCTACGGAAGTACCGAATAAACGAAAATAGAACCACCTTTCTATCAAATCCCTCCATTTCCTTCATCTTAAGGACGTCGCTTGCCGAGCTGTTCAGATCAATTCCACAGGCTCGGAATATCTCTTCCAACTTCCCTGCTGTCGTACCCCCCATATGCTTCTCAATATACACCTCATAGCATCCAAACTTGTCCTTGATCCTGGAATAGTATGGATGTCTCGAAAATACACTGTTGAAACCAAAGAAATCAGACACTCCGACGTCGACCTTGCAAACCTCGTCTACATAATATTTCTGCCTTTGGACTTCCTCCTCCCTGTTATTTTCCTCCTTATCTTCAAAGTATTTCCTCACCAGGGACTCTCGAACGTCCATTCTTATCGCCCGGAATATAGGCTCTGTAGACAGCTTATAAAATACATCTTTCATGTTTTCTACCTTGTACTGCTCCATTAGCCTGTACAGTAGATACTTAGATGTTTCGTGGTCTGTTATCCTCATGTTCATCCCTATTCCTTTTATCAGCGTCTTTCCTTTTCTCTTTTCTCCAGGCCTCTCCCATCTGCTTTCCTTCGTGATAGTGTTATGATAAAAGACTTTTCCTTGCCTGCTTCTACACTCAATCCATGGATCCACGTCGAAGTCTTCGTCCGAATCTTTAAGTACATCGGGTTTGCGAAAACTGCTTTTCCCCGTCTTCTTGTTGTAGTAGTATGTCTTGCCGTCGGGCGCAACTAGTACTTCATAGTCCACTTTTGCATCTTTGGCCTCCATTTCAGTTAGGGTTCTCTTAAGAAGAAAGCATATTTTGTTTATACACAGGCATTCTCTCTTCATTAAGAATACATTATTTATTACTGTTCCTATTCTTCGATCTCGCATTCAGCTCATTGCAATTATAGCAATAGAACTCGTTGAGATCGTATTCGCTCGGATGAACCAAGCCGTTGTGATGATTGCATCTCTTACAAATCAACGCATACATAGTACTTGGATCGTCCCCCAGTACAATGTCCGTGACACTGTCCATCATCCCCCTTCTTCTTTGCTTAATGCTTCCAAAGTAATGCCTTCTCATCGACTCGCTCTCGTACTTGTCAATAACTTTCTTTGTCGCTTCAAAGGACTCCTCTTTTTTCAAAAGGGCAATTTGCTCCTTCTGTATCTCTTTTAGAGCTTCAACACTAGACTCCAGTCTTTGGATTCGGATCTCATACAAATAGATCAAAACACACCTCACTATATAGCATCCAAGTGCACTTCCCACTCCAAACAGCACCATGTTCTGATCATCGGCATACGAGTAAGCCATAGAAAGAACAATGACCACACATGACGCCAGAAACATCTTTATTCTAAGACTGTTCAGAGCCCCAGAAAGGTCCTTGGCTGCTTTCTCTTTCTTGCTTATCTGCTCTTCAAGCCTTACCAAGCTTTCTCGCAGCGGAACGTTTCTTGAGAGCACATTCCCCATTCAGAGGGGTATCCCGCGAGACTTTGAGTCTAACAAACTAAATTTTAATATTCCTCAACAACATCAAACACTTCCTCCTTCTTGATTTGGACCGAGTCCAAGGGATAAACCAATGTGTCTGTGTTTTCACACACTCCAACCCTCTTGTAGTTCCGAAGAAACTCGACTCCAGAGTAGTCGATCACACACACATCGATGTTGGATCCAGAGTACAGATCGTTGAGGATCCCAGCCTGAACAGCATCACATGCGAGCTCAATGGCCTCATTCTTATCCATGGCCCTGTACTTGCTTTCGAGAACCCCAATGGCTGCAAGAGACCCAGATCCTAGAGATGTGAATAATGTAGAGTTTGACGATCCATGGGGATGAATATCCAAAAGATGGCATCCCTCAGAGTCTATCCCTCCAACAATTAGAGCTGCTCCTATTTGCCCTCCGTATTTATGCAGGTGGTTCACACACACCTTTCGGAAATGAGATACAAGAGGTGCTCGGAAATACTTTCTTTCAAAGAGTCGGAGCTCCCGTGATGCCATTCTCGCCACCCTTTCTGCATCTGCTGCAGTCCCTGCTCCACAGCACATAATCTTGTCTGAAATCCTGTGAATCTTTTCACAGTTCTTATCCGAGACCACAGGCCCCTGTGTAGATCGTGTGTCTGCTGCAAGTATGACTCCCGTCTTGTACTTCATCCCTACAATTGTTGTTCCTGTTTTTGTTATCATCCGGGGTTGCCTATACTCAATATTAATCAGGCCTTTGCATCTTCCACTAGCAAATAACAAAGAGGTGCACAAATATTAAAATCGATTTTCATCCCTGCTTATGGTTTTCAAGGAGATTACCATATCGCTTGCATATGTGGCCCAGATAACCATTCTTCTTTCTCTGGACGTCTTATTTCTTCTCTTTACGGTCCAAAGATCCCTCTACTTCTTTGGGAAGGGAATGAAAAGAAAGCCTGACGCCATACGAGTCCGATTGATTCCTAAGAGCCAGAGCGATCTTTATCTTATAGACGGAATTTCTGGAATCGATCTCATCTATCTTCCTGGAAACTTTGTAGCTGTGGAGGAGCATATAGAGTTCTGCAAATATCTATCCAAGATCTTCGAGTGCAATGTGATTTCCATGGTGTATAGAGGAGTGGCAGGGAACGGATATTCTCCATCTGAGAAGGGCATAGTGGAAGATCTATCTCCAGCCTCTAGATGGCTTTCAAGAAGGAGTACTCGGAAAGTTATCCTGGGGTTTTCTATAGGATCAGCCGTAGGAATCCGTTTGGCAGAAAAATGTCGTGTTGATGCTCTAGTTCTTATAAACCCGTTTATATCACTAAGGGAGGTGGTTGGGAATGTCTCCTTTGGTAGGATTCTGAAGCACCTCGTGATTGATGAGTGGAACAACCTAAACCGAATGAAGAACATCAATGTGCCTGTCTATTTTGTTGTTTCCTCCAATGACGAAATAGTTTCTCCATCCCATACGGACGAGCTTATCAAAAGAACAAAGCATCCAAAGAAGATTGTGATTCGCAATGCCGATCACAACGAGCCCATGCGGAATTTCACAACACATTTATGCTCTCTAATGGATGAGGTACTAAGAAAAACACCATCGGGTGGATGAGGAATATGGATTTTATTACCTGCTTGCTTTAATGGGGATGAGAACAATGAATTACAGCAGCACTGGTTAGATAACCTGCCAGAAGGGTCAGTATCCCATGGATCCTGTTTACCTTTGGATGGTTGAACATCGGTGGAATCATTTCAATAGACACCATGAACATTATGCTTCCCAGAGCAAGTCCTTTGAAGATACCTCTGATAGTCTGGTTGAAGAACCCAGGAGCAGAGCCTATCATGATCCCGATGGGTGTGAGGGACGAGTAGAACACAGCGAGAATCAAGCCGCTTGAAAAGTTAAATCCTGAAGTGAACAAGGGAACTCCAAGGGCAAAGGACTCAAGGATTTTGTGTAGAATGAGCCCCATCTCCATCGAGCCTATCTTGTCAATAGAGTTGAATGCCAGTCCCTCGAAGAACGAATGGATGGAAATTCCTAGTATGTATATAAATACTTGTGTCTTCGAAGATGTATTCTTTATAGCTTCACTAGGATCGCAACATCCTAGTCTCTCCCCCTCTTTTTTGGAGTCATGGGCACTCGAGGCTTTTGCAGAAATTTGAGGAGACTTGATGTTTTTTTTCGCATCTACTACGTGATGGATATCTTTTCCATGGCACCCGCCCCCATGGGCATGTTCCTTCTTTTCATTTTCCTCACAGTGCTTGTGTTTTAAAACAATAGAGTCAATGGCCAAAAGAAAGATAAAGGAAAGGCCGGCAGTGAAGAATCCAAGAATGGGAGACTCATGGGAATGGTGGCCATGGTTGTGGTCATGTTCTTTGCCTCCATGGCAGTCGGAGACCATGTGTGGACTCAGCTCCAGAAGCTGAACACCAAGAAGAAATCCTGCTGTTAGAAGAGTCAGAAAAGGGAATATCCTCTTGACTACTTTTAGAGAAGTAATGACTTTTGGACTCAAGCAAATAATTAGTGACGACGAGAACACCATTGCTGCAAACAACACTACTTGTGAATTCATTTTTGAAGGGTGGTAAAATGTTTGATATTGAATATAGCCTAAAACATAATTCAGCTGCATGTCTTTGCTATCTCCTTTCCTATGGAGTTCTTATCTCTTATTCCCAACTTCACTATCCTCTTCAGATTCTCAGAAATGCCATTGTTTCCACATAGAACTGCATCTGCTATATATTCATACACATCCCTCCGGGAAATTCCTAGTCCCTCAATATACCCAAGGAACATGGAAACCACATCTCTACTATCTCCAAGAAGATCGATAGATAAGCAATATCCCTTGTCCTTCATCTTGAAGTGTCTTTCTCTCATCTTGGCCTTCTTGATGTCTTTTCTATGCTTTACATATTCTCTCTCGATTAGAGCCCTCTCCTCTCTATCAAAAGGCAGCATCTGGGTAGGAGGGCTTTGGAGCCAGATGATGCTTGCCATTTCCTGCAGATGGATATAAAAATAAAAAAATGATAGAGTTTCCATGGGTGTTCCCTCACTATTTAGGTGGCTACAACTCTCCCATAGGGAGGCAGTGCACAGCATCATGGAAAAGCCATCTGTAGACTGTCTGTATCTCGACTTTAATGCAATAATCCATACATGCATCAAGCCCGGGTTGGGGTCTGAGGAAGAGATCGAAAGAGATCTGTATAAGACCGTGGGAGACTTCATTGACTACATCCTCCTCAGAACGCGGCCTAGGAAGCTTCTATACATAGCAATCGATGGGGTGGCTCCCCGAGCAAAGCTGAGCCACCAACGGGCACGCAGATACAAGTCTGCCCTTGGGAAGAAAGAAGGGAAGGCTCCTGTGTCTACTGGGAAGACAGATCCTACAGCGTCGTCAATAAGCGAGAAGACTGAGGAGGCCACCGATGTGGAGTTCACAGGAGAAAGCTCCCTATACGACAAATTCATTGCAGAAGATCTTTCTGAGTCCTCCTCTCTTGCCATGGATGTGGAGGCCGAGAAATTCGATTTGAATTGCATTACTCCCGGAACACCTTTTATGGAAAGACTCCATAATGTTCTGATTTCCTATATCCAATACAAGCTCAGCAAAGACCCAGAGGTTTCCCATCTGAGAATAATATACTCCAGTTACCTGGTTCCTGGAGAAGGGGAGCAGAAGATCATGAGCTTCATAAGAAACCAAATTCCAGCTGCAAAGAACGATGTTCACATGATTTACTCGCCTGATGGAGATCTGATCTTTCTTGGGCTCTCTCTTTACAAAAGCAGGGTGTTGATAATGAGGGACTACTTCAGTCCAAGCAAAGCACGCAAGAAAAAGATCTGCACAAAATGCGGGCGGACAGGACATTCAAATGATGAATGTGGAGTGTTTGACAACTACCACTTTGTGTATGTTAACATTGCGGAGCTTAGATCAAGACTTATCAGGGAGTTCAGAAAACACACGACACAGAGATTCAACGAGGAAAGACTTCTAAGCGACTGGATATTCCTTTGCTTTCTGCTTGGAAATGATTTTGTGCCATCGATCCCGTGCCTCGACATAAGATTCCATTCCATCGATACTTTAACAGAGATTATGATGAAAAACTTTTCGGAGACGAAGTCATACATCACCTGCAATACATCCATCAACTACCAAGTGCTTCGGAACTTCTACACTATTCTTGCTCGCAAGGAAGACGGTCTTTACCACCGGAAGTCACAGTCTCTGGACAGACTTAGAGAGGAGTTGAAGGACATGCCGAACATTATCTATGAGAAGATTCCAATTCATACAAAAACAGGAAAAATTCAATATTACACCTCGAAGCTGAATGCCAAAACAGACTCTGACATCAAGAACATATGTTATGAATACATCAAGGCACTCTACTGGGTATATTCATACTATATTCTTGGATACACCGGATGGGACTGGTATTATCCACACCATTTTGCACCTCTTGCAGCAGATCTGTCGAAGCTTTCCATCAGTGAGATCCGAATCAACTCTGGGCTTCCCTTGAGGCCTCTAGAGCAGCTTTTGGTTGTCCTCCCGCCAATGAGTAAGGGAATGGTTCCCCGAGAGCTTCAACCGATATTCAACAACTACAAGGACTACTATCCAGAAGATGTAGAAACCGACATGTTTGATAAGGTTTATCTGTGGCAAGAAGTTGTTCTTCTTCCGTTCATGGACTTCCGAAGTATTTTGTCCGAAAATGCTTCAAGATTCAACTCCCTTGGATATGAGGATTTAAGCAGAAACCTAAGAAGTTTAGATCTGTTCTTCACAGTTGACAAGAAGTCTACAGAGACCATCTTGAACATGTACTCGGAGCTCAAGCCAATGTGTTTTATCAAAGACCCTGGATACACCGGAAATCTCTCCCCTTATTCATCTGCAAGCTTCCCTGGAGACATGGCTGAGTACAACGGTACTCAATTCGTTAACAGAACCATTGCGGGCTTGATAGAGCCGAAGAAGAATTAAATACCGCCTCTGAGTTTTTAATCGAAATCCTTCATATCAAATCTCACCACTTCCAGCTCTCTTGTTCCTGTGTCCAGAACAACCACTTCATGTCTCTTGGAAAACTTTGGGATTGTAAAAAACAATGTGGAGTTATCTTCGGATTGCCCATCAAGAAACTCGTCGGTGCCTCCTACACAGAAATAGTCGATTGGATCCGCCACAACAAATAGGTCTTTTCCTGAGAAAGGCACCGATGGCACAGTATCAGGGGCTGTTGGACAGACATGGCCCGCTTTCATTAGCACTCTCATTGCATTTATAATGTTCCTTTCACTGTTCATACTTTTTGGCCTTATATCTTCTATCTTCTCCATGTCCAGATGCATTTTGTATTCAAAGGCCTCTCCCTGGACATCCTTCAGGTCCTGGGGGAGATATCTTAGAATATCTTCAATCACAAATCTTGTTGTGGTTAGTACCTTTCTTCCATCTATGTCCAACCGGCAGGGATTTGCGTGAGAAGCCACAGCAAATGTAAACAGCTTTGGATGGACAGGCATCAAAGGTAGAATTTTCGATCCAAAGTCTCCTGTGTTTGGAACAAGATTAATCTTTGCCTTGGCATATCCCAGAACATCATCCAGCTCAGAAAGCATCTGTCTACTGACTTCCTTGCTCTCCCCAAAAAAACTTCCAATGACAACATATTCGCTCACCCCAACGATTCTCAGGTAGTCGCATAGAACCATCATTCTTTCTTTGTTTTTACTTCCATCGTCTAGAGAAAGTCCGCTTATGAAGCAGAGCCTTTTGCCTGGCCTTACTTCGCTAAAACCCAAAGGAAGGCTCCGGGGATTCGAAAACGGGAAAATAATGTCCTCTGCAAGGAATTTTCCCTTTTTTGCTCTCCTTCCTTGGACTCCGACACACATCCCGGTGCATAACACAAAATGCTTCCGGTATATATCCCCGACATCGAGGAACTCAAGCTCTATTCTCCCACTCCCGTCTTCTAAGAGATATTTTATGTCCTCTGTGTAGTATGTCTTCGTTTCCACCTCTTTGAGCTTCTTGGATTTTCTGTCGATCTTGTCGAATATCGAAGGCTTCAAGTCGCTGGCCACAAAAAGAGTCCCGACAATCACACATGTTGAGGTATCCAACTCCTCCTCAACCCCAAGAATCGTGTCCAATATAGGAACCCCGTTCTGGGCCCTTACAGACCTTATAATATAAGGCTTTAACTCTGCAAGCCTTGCATCATATGTTCTGTTGAATTGGTGCTCGTAGCTCACCGATGCCAGATCATCCATAAGAGAAACAGGGGTTAAAGAGGTCTCGTCCCATGGAAAGTAAATAGTTTATTGAAGTGTTGAGGCCATGAGGGTTTATAATAGAGAAGGCCTATCTCCGGAAATGTATATAGAACTCATGGATACTCCCGGCAACCTCCTCTAATATCGGCAGGTCAAAGGGAAAAAAGTATAGGCAGTCGTGGTCGTGGCTGGAAAACTCTTTGCATTCGTAATCAAACAGCTCACAAAACATCTCAACCACATTCTTGTTCATATATCTCGCCATTCCAGAACTGAAGATCCGTTCTATGATGTCCTTTGCATCTGCTACAGACTCTCTTCTGAAGCAAGAGATATACAAAAGACATTGATGAGCTGCAACCGATTGGATCGAAAGAGACTTTCCATACGATCGGACATAGGCCTGATAGTCTTGGACATACATTGCCTTAAGACCCTCGTCCACTTTGCACCTCACAATTAAAGATGATAGATAGGGAAGAAACGCAATTGGATTTTTGCGGACTAGTTCGAGCAGAAACCCAAAGACTGCTTGTGGATTTCGATGGCATAGCTTGAAGAGGAGGAACTGGATGTTCCGTGTCCTTGAGAGCATCGAAGTCTCAAAGGCCTTGAACACCTCGTCGATCTTGAAGTCGTATATAGCATTGTCTAGATTCTCATATGCAAATAGAAACAGCTTGATCTTCTCTCTGAGCTTTGCATGGCCTCCCTCTATAGGTGTGTCGTAGTCGGAAACCACCTCGTCCCATTCATCCTGCGTCAGTATCCCATGCATCACACTGATGTAGGCATCAAGATTCGTAAGTTCCCGTACAAGACTCTGAATGGTAGGTCTCATCAATGTTCTATCATGTGCGTAGAGTACCATTCTGTCTGCAACAGACAGATCAATAGGCGCCTTCCTCAAGCTCTCCAGGAATTCCAATCTTTCTTTATAAGTTAACGCCATGGGGATCAATTTTTTTACAGTTTAATGCAAAAGTTCGAATCTACAAGACTAAAGATATTTATTTGGTATTATTTTAAAGACATCTTATCTCTTCCCGGTGGGGGCCCTGATTTCCACTCCTCCTCAAGCCTCTTGTAGTACTTCTTGTGTTCCTCCAAGTTCGAGAGGGCTTGATTGTATAGGAATCTGAAGTCTTCAAACACTAGGGAAAACGAGTCTGCCAGAGGAATCGATATCTTCTCCAACAGATTGACATCTTCAGATATGTCTTGAAGGGTTCTACGATAATTATCATCGTCGTACATCTCCGACCAGAATGCAATCGAGTTCTTGTTGAAGATTCTGTAGTCCTTGTAGCACGATCCAAGATCGGCTATCTTCACGATCATTTTGAGCTCGATCTCCGATATTTCTCCAGCCGCCTTGTTCCTTATCTTTCTCCCTTTCCTTTCCTCAAAGTATTTAGTATTGAACTCCTCGATTATCTCTTTGTTCATCTTCAAGTCCGTTGCAAATATCATTTCTTTGATGAAGTTCAATTTTTCCCTCATCTCTTCATCCTCCAGGTCTCCAAACAGTGCATGCCTATACTTGCTGATAATCCTTTTGCATATAGTTGCATGGATCAGTTCAAAGGACATTGTTTCATCAGAGTTCCCGTACAGGCTCGACAGTCTTTCGATCTTTTCTCGGTTTTTCTCTCCAGGATGCCCTATATCGTGTAGTACAAGCGCTATCATCAAGCACATCTTATCCATTATCGGTAAAGAGTATTTCTTCTCCAGTCTTTGAAGAATAAAGTCCCCAAAATATAGTGTGTTTATCAAATGATCAAGGTTGTGGTACTTATGGGGAAGCATATGAAAAAATGAAAATGAAAAAAAGGAGTCCAATGTCTCCGGACTCACCCCAAGAAGACTAAACCTAGAATCTCTCAGAATCGTTTTTATAGCTGCCGATATTCCATCGGCAAGAGATATTTCTTCTAGGTGAAAGAACCTGTAAGAAAATAAATTCATTGGAAGGTCTTCCATCGACTTGGAGCCAAAGTCCTTTCTATCTTGAACAGTTCTTATTATTACATCGAATGCATCCTTAGATATCTCTTTATCTTGATTCATTCCCGTTTGGATTTCTACCAAGGGTCGATATACAAAGTATTTCTTTATTCTATGCCTTTTGATACGGTTTTTTCTTTAATTTAATATTAAAAAATTTATTCGTTAACAATAACCATATCTTCAGGTAATATCATGTAGCCGAAAAGTTAAAATTTTCTCTTTCATTTTCTATAACAGAAATTCCCAGATTGTTTTTGAATGCCTGGACTGCGATGATATAATGAGGTGTCTTGAGATCGACCTTTAGAGAAAGGTTTCCTGTTATGAGGTCGAAGACCTTTTCCTTTGTATCTGGGTGGCACATTCTTCCCTCATACATGATTTTATAGCTCTTGTTTTCATCAAGCCCTCTAATGCTTTCCAGAACTTTCCCTTCATCAAACCGGAAGAATTCTTCCAGAGGCCTTATAGGGAGTACATATTCAAATCTCGTTTCTGATTCCCGAAGCTTGGAAAATAGTGCTGAAGACGACTCACTACTTCGGTTCTCTAGGAACAGAATACATCTGTATCCATCGTGTTTGCGAAACTTTGTTGAGCTTTTATATTCTTCAATTTCCTCTTCAAGAATCTTTCGAATGCTTTTTCCTGCAGTATCTTTCTTTGGGGTCTCAATCAGCCCCTCTAGCTTTCCAACCACTTCTTTTAGTCCTTTGGTCTCTTTGTTCAGACGGCAGGAGACAAAGAAGCCAGTTCTCATGGGGTGATGGCGTGATATCTCTTACAGCCTTGCCCCGGAGATCTAAATGGAAGGAAAATCCGACGTGGAAATCATAGAGGAGTACACCGAGCTTCTTGGAAGCCATGAAAGCCTGTACAGAAGAAAGACATTGCTTGCAGGTGTTGAAGAAAGAGATCTGTCCTACTTCAACTTCATTGGACAGAACAAATGTAGGAAAACAGTTGTAGGGTTGTTTGGTTTTGGAGGAGCAGGAAAAACATCCTTGGTTAAGCTGCTTGGAAGCAGAAGTACCATCCAGGCCACTCGTGAGTGTCTATCTACAGAGACCCCTTATGAGGCCGAGAGAAGATGCACGATCCATGTCCATCCGACCACTGTTTTCTTGCAAAGAAAAAACGGTATTTCACACATAATGACACTTTTAGACACACCCGGACATGCGGATCTGATTCCAGAGACCATCAAGACATTAGAACAGGTAGATACAGTTGTTATGGTTCTTGACATCTGTAGAGATTTATCTCTCCAGTACGAACTACTTTTTGGTGCTATTGAAGCAAGTAAAAAACCTTTGATTGTGGTATTCAACAAGATGGACCTCATTGGAAAAGAAGGCATTGCAGTTGCAGCTAGCAGGATAAAATATCTTCGAGATATTATTGAAGCATACTTAAATCCCAGATGCTGGTTTGTAAGCTCTTTCAAGGAGTCCAAGCTCAGTAAACTGGATACAACCATAGGCAGATTAATTGAAGAGTATGTAGATGACTTCGATTCATTTATAGAAAGAATTATCAGTAAGGAGCCAATAACACATGGCGATAGAGACAAGATGGAATGTCTAACTGGGTTTCTATGGGTTGGGGGAGTATTATTGTGCAGCCTTGTGCCTAAAACCGACATCGGTGTAGGATTCCAAGTTGAAGTGTATGGTACTACCCTGACAATTGAAAGACTCTATCTTCCATTTCCAGGATGTCTTGTGAAAACCCAACAAATTCAAAGCAAGATTGGAGTATTGGCAAAGTTCCCAGAGGACATGCTACAAAAGGTTGTGATCCCGGGATTCCAAAGGGACCCGAGATTGATGAAGGAGGTTCTTAAAAGAAAAGGAGTGGAATATGGTAATCCAGAGTTTCTTGAAGTAGAAGATCCCCTGGTTCGAGTCCAGGTGAGTCCTGATAATGAAGATCACTTCTCATTGGGGACTTGGAAGTTAAGGTTAATGTATCCAAGTCTGAAGATCGACGGAAAGATTCTGTATGGAGACGGGGAGTTGTTTATGGATACAGTGCTGTATGACTTAAGGAATAGCCTAGGCATAAAGTTTGAGGTTCTAAGTGTTTCTTCAAATCTTAAGGAAATCTTTGGAGTCTCGTTTACAGAGGAAGTGGATACAGGAAGAGGCCTGGTAGTTGTCAAGGGAGGCCCTACCAGAACTATGGGCAAAATCCATGACTTTGGAGCAGTAGAGAAACGGATACTGGACAGGGGACTTCTGGCCAAAGATCCCTTTGTACATTCATATTTAGAAGTATCTCCTGTGAGCGAAGAAGTGGAGTTGGAATGTCTTAAAAGGTTGGAGAATTCTGTGATCGGACATGTCTCACTTCTAGAGCCTCTATATCTAGTCGAAATAGTATATACTTCAGACTCCGAGGATTTGGTCAATGAAGTGATCACCTCTTCCTTTGGAGAAATCATCTCCCGAAAGCCTTCTCCCTTCAACGAACTCAAAAACATCCTGTGCTACATCCCTGTTCCAGAGTCGTTTGGGTTTGAGACCGACCTTAGGGTCTATTCCTGCTCAAGAGCAGACTGCGTCAAGATACCCTTTTATTGGCGTCCTGTGGCAGACAAAGACAGGACTCACCGTCTAGCTAGATTCATAAGAAAAGCCAAAAGGCCCGAGCCATAGAATATTAGGCCGCAGACATCCTTTATTAATGAAGAGTTACTTTTTCATTCCACTTTCCAATACTGCAGCCCTGTAGCTTTCATATATTTCTCCTGCAGTGTGATCAATGAGTCCATAGATATGGGTACTGAGAAGCAGCTCCCTCAATGCAGGAAGGTCGCAATGCTCCGGGTTGTCTATACTCACCTTTCCCCACTGATAGTTTCTAGCCCGTGAGTCGAGGTTTTCTCCATCTGCAGAAATGATCAGAAACGGAACAAGGCTGTTTAGATCATTTCCTGCTGTCGGGGAGGAATAGAGCTCGGGATCATCCAGGTTAAATGTAGGGATCTTGTAGTATTTTAGCTGTCTTATGACCTGCTTCTTGATCTCAATTCTCTCAGAAATACTCAGCCCGTCGGCTTTACTGATCACAGGGATAATGTTAACCAACCCCGAGATCTTCTTCAGAAACACAATGTCTCTGTTCTTAAGCCCAAAAGATGTTGAAGGTATGAAATACAGGAGGCAATGGACTCTTGTGTCTTCGTACTTGGGATTTCTCCGGATCTTGGATTCCTCTGTTATGAACATGTCTAGCTGAGCTTTGATAAAGTTACAGATTGTCTCCTGGATCTCTGTATCGTCAAAGGTTTCTCCAAACCCTGGCGTGTCTATCAGGGTGATTCTTTGCATGATTCCTTCGCAGTCCAGGTTAAGCATATAGAGATCGATCCCTTCTTGGCCTTTCGATGTGATAATCTCTTTCCCTATCAGAGTGTTGAAGAACGATGACTTTCCAGATCCCTTCGGCCCGGCTGCCATGATCGTGAATCTTCTGTTCTGTCTCCGAATAATCATTTGTTTGTTTATTAGCCTAAAGATTTAATAACAAAAGCCGGAACTTTTGGTCTCTATCATTCTAGGCAAGGTGAAAAGAAGTCTTTGAAGCACTTGCTAATAGCATGGCAAGCATCCACTCCTTCAAGAATCGAGGATTGGAGCCTCTCCTGCACAATCCTTCCGTTCAGAGATAAGTAAGCAATATTCTTTTTGTTCATTAGATATGCAACAGTAACAACAGGAGTCTTCAGGCTTTCCTCAGTAGACGTAAGGTCAATACAACCCTCCGAAACAGTGGCTGAATAGCACATATCCCTCAGAGGGATTCCAAAGTATGACAAGCACAAAGTTATGCAATTAATCATTGCAGAAAGAAGAGATCCCCCATCTTCCCGGACAATAACTTTGATGTCTGCCGATCCTTCAGGAAGCAGGACGCTACTGAAGATGTCCAGTAAAAGCCCCTCATATTCCAGTGCTCTTCTCTCGTTGATAGGCTCTTGTCTTGAGACCACGTAGAACTCAACCCCAATGCTTATCTTCCCAACCTCTCGAGAACCTCTACATGCAGCAGACACCTGGGTATTTCCCTGTCTTATCTCCACAATCCCTTCGTCTCCAACCATTCTTCTCCTTGCCTCGACCCTTCTTAACTCCTTGGGCTTTCTTCCATCTTCTCGGAATCCCTGTTCAGAGACTAGCATGGCACCAGGACCGAAACAATTTTGCATAAAATAGCCTTTTGGAGCTGAAAAAAGATTCGCTGGGGAAATCCTCTAAAACACAATGGGCCCTGAGTATGCACAATGTAAGGATTTACTTAATTCCAAGAACGTTCGGGATATTGTAAACATATCGAGGCTGCTTGGAATGCCACAGAAGGCCACATACTTTACCCTGGCAATTTATTACAAATATATCTTCATGCTCAAGGACAGAGAGGCCATTCCAATAGGTGCAGCATGCATATTACTATCTGGAAAGGTAAATGGATCACTGAGAAGCCTTGGGCAGATTCTAAGGACAAGCTACAAATACTATGGAATGGATCCAGAAAGGTTTTTTCAGGAAGACTACAAGGATGCAATCGACATTGAACTTCATGCTTGTATTGCAATGGACTTTAACTTCGAGATGGAGGATCCTTATGGATTTCTGGAGAAGATGTGCATGGACAACGACATTGACAGGTCAAGGGCGCAAACTATATGGGTTATGCTGAACGATACAATGTATCTACCCTTCGTACTGTCGTTCAGCATAAAAAGCATTGTTGTAAGCTGTATATTTATTTCAGACATTGTCAGGGGCAATGGAGAAGAGGACATCAATGGATTCAAAGACAAGTACAAGCTCGCTGAAATTGATAGTGCAGAAATCGGGTTTATTTCCAACGAGATTGTATCGTTCTATGAGCGTGTATTGAAATAGACAGACATCCACATCGAAAGATTGGCTTCTGAATGATGTTATGACATGGTATTTTTGCAACATTCATCCACCCAGGCTGAATACACATCGATGCCTGTGGTAAGCTTGTTTGCTTCGCAGGTGAAGCTTGCGTCACACACAGAGCAATTTGCAAATCCTTTCATCAATGGCCTCTTGACTGTACATTGGACAACGTTTTCATGGTTGCAGACCGGACAGTTGAATCTCTTTTCGAGTTTGGACTGCCTTTTTGGGGCGTTAATCTTTCTCTTTACCCTTTTCCTACTCATAAGGGGATCTTTGAAGCTAAATTAACATATCTCTTGGATACATGAGGGTGGGATTTCCAACCCAGAAATGGACATACTGGATGCTGAGGAAAGTGATGTTGATTTAATCGAGCTTCAAGGAGAGGTTGAGAATATGGAGGCCTTTGATGGGAGGCTCAACAAGGAGCTTGTTCAGCTTGAGTTTGGAACATGTGTTCTTCACGGAAGAAAGATTGACAAAGAGTTTAATATCATTGAGACAGACGTCTGCAACGGAAGGCCTTGTTTAAAAGTCATAAAGAAGGTTAAATGTGTATATTTATTTGATAAGCCTCCTAGGTATAGAAGCTCAGGCCTAGGGCGTGGAAACTAAGCATCCGTGTTGCACACAATGCATTTTTCGTCTCTGTCTAAAATCAGCTTTTCCAAAGTAATATTCTTCTCCCCGCTGTAGAATATGAAGTCGTAGTGCAGGTTTGTTGCATCTATCAACCCGCATGCCAAGCTTGCACACACAGAGTTAATAAAACACACATTCGGAATTATCTCGTCAAACATCCCAACAACATCAAATGCATTTACTTTCAGATTCTCCTCTGCAAGAGCATTGAATTCATTGATTATTTTCTTGATCTTTTCCTCCCTACTTCCCGGCTCCTCTCTCCTGAGCTCTACCAAGGACCGGAGTGTTTTCTCTCTGTTTTCCGGTGTTATCTTCTTTGGCAGAGATCCCAAAGAACATATCTCAGGGCCGTCTTCTCTGTATAACTCCCTGATACAATATAAACATGAAGAGCCTCTGTAGACTGCCTTTGCATGTGCCCTGTATCCACTTATTCCACAGTCGATAAGAAGTTTACACTCAGATTTTCGGAACATCAGGTTCAGGTTCATTCTTCCTTCGATGTTGTCAAGAGCCCCAAAGATCACGTCGTACTGATTCAAAACATTGATAGGAACCTCCTCTATCCTTCGTACTAGGAAGCTTGCTCTACCTCCATACTGCTTGTTTATAAACTCGGCTGCCTTCTCTGACTTGTATTTCCCTTGATCCTCCTTTGTAAACATGAAAAGCCTGTGGAGATTTGTCAGATGAATTCGGTCATGGTCAACCACAAGTATCTTGCTCGCCCTTCCACCCAAAAGCTTCAGTAGCTCCATTCCAGTTCCTCCACATCCTGAAATTAGTTACTCGCCACTTACCAACTAGAACTATCCTCATAAAGGGCATAGGCAAAAGACATTTCACATTCAAGACATACTCATTTTTATTTGAGACTCTCATGTCAATGTGCTAAAAGGTCTTGAGCACATCTGGATACATCTTCATTATCTTTTCCTGTACATCAATGAGAATTAAGGCTTGATAAACAAGAAACAGCTCGTCATAGCTTACCGCACATTTCAGAGCTTCCTCATAAACATGCCTCCCGTCCTTATCGTTTCTCCCAAGGAGAATCCCTCCTAGATACACATAAGGCTTAAAGAATCTTCTATCGGCCTCAATTGCAAGCCTGAAGTATTTTTCGGCCAATTCGGCTTCGTTCTTTGTCTGTGCAGCTATCCCTTTGAGCAGAAGAAATCGAGGATCCTTCTGGAAATGCTCCTCAAAGGTTGACATCACCATCTCCAGTCTCGCATCCTTGTTCCTAATGTAGTATTCACAGGCAATAGACAGGATACTGATACTAAGTGGATGGGCTTCAAGTGCTCTGTTCAGGAACTCCTGTGCTCTTTCACTTCTTCCATGCCCCACCTCATAGATTATCCTGTCTACATACAGAAAGTCATGGTTTTCACATTCTAGTGCCATGTCAATGAACTTCTCATACAATTCATGGTTCTTGAGATTGAGATGGATCTTGGATGCATAGAATAGAACGGAGACGCTTTTGCTGTTCTTGGACACAAAGTCTTCTATGTCCATAGGTGTATCTCCGTGAAGAGTTTTAAGATACTCCCGGAGGCTGATTGAAAAAATCATCTTTTCGTTCTCTAGTAGAGAAACAGCTTCCATGTCCTTTCCCCTTACATGGACTATTCCTGCAACCACAAACCTTGATATACTGTCATCTCTCTTCTCTGCCTTCTCAAAGGCCTCATCGTACTTCCCACCTCGAATAAGCCTAACCAACTCGTCATTTACAAAAGACTCGCTTTCAAACAAATCAGGAAAGGTTGCGAAGAAGTTTTCATATGAAATCTTGGACGGGCATGCCTCCCTTGTACCTGCCATCTTCCTGGCCTCGGCCTCTGCTTCCAACTTCAAAATCTCCTGTGCAAGCTTTCTATACTTCTCGTCCTTTGTCACAAGCCCGCACAAAAAGGCATCGCAAAGGGTCTCTCTCCTCATCTCCAGAGCCCTGTGGCATTCGTATCTTAGCCTCAGAGCCTTTTCGTTGTTAAGTATGTTTATTTGGAGGGATCTCCCGGCATATGCTACTGCCTCTTTGTATGCCTTAATCTTTGCAAGACATATCGTAAGATTGTTGTATACACTAACAAGCCTCTCATCACACTCCTCCATTAGATTCAGGCACTTTAGGTACAAGACTGCAGCCTCGCTGTACATCTTCTCTTTCAACAACAAAAGACCTCTATCCATGTACTCTCTGATACTTTTCTCTCTCCGGTTTCTTCTCCATGCACGAACCCCCTGCCACACAAGTATAGCTCCAGACATCACAGTAACAGCTAGAAAAGCAGAAGTCTTCCTCCCTACCATTGGGTCCAAAATATTGCCCAATTTTTACTTCAACCTAAATGCCTGTTCTCTCAGACTTCTGGTTTCCATAAAGCTCCTTGAACTTGTCTCTAAACCTTGAACACTCCCCTCTAATCAACAACCCCAACTCATGTACCTGTTCTCTATCGGCATCAAGCAGAAAGTATAACATTGTTTCTTTGATTCTATCGACATACTCCTCGGGAAACCTCCCTTCAATCCATGAGAGACAAGAGATAATAAGCTCATAATACCTTTCCAAATGAGAGCTTGTCTGTCCAAAGTCCACTGTGGCACCAGACAAAATCATAGCCCTCGATCCAACACACATGTACATGGCCTCCAGATCCTTTGAAGCTTCTTCTCTCCTCCACTCACATACAGCGCATCCTCTAATGTACAGACAAACCATTCTTGATGTTTCCAGAGACACCCTTTGGACTCCATTAAGAAGTCTATGCAGAATCCCAATGACACTTGCATTGAAGCAAACAAAATCTTTTTGCAATCTCCCTACAAAGGCATTCAGAAAAATCGACTTCTCCTCTTCAGACCCTAGGGAACTTATGTAGTCGGATATAATACATCTCAATCTGATAGTCCTTTGGTCCAAGCTCTGAATATTCCTTAGAAACAAGTCTACAAGGATGTTCCACTTCTTTTCAGTCTCAATATGTCCAAAAATCTTTATCAGCAGATATCCAGAGTACAGCAGAAGATCTGGCTGGCTTCCTATAGATTCCACAAATAGCTCGATATATACAAGATGCTCAGGGTTCTTTACGAAGAGACTGTCAAACATAAACGCTAGCCACTCCTCCTGTAGTCCTGGATGGCAAGCAAAGACAATCATGTCGGACCATGAAATATCTCTTTTCAGGCTTTCAAGGACTCTAAGTACTTTGGACGGATGTCTTGCACGTTCTATGTCATTGTAGAACATAATGCGATCGAAAGACGTCTTCCATGGATGCAAGGATTCCAAGCTCCTATATTTTGCCACAAGAAACCTGTTATGGATTCGGTCCCATTCATCCAAGCCCACCTGTTCTACCCTCTGTAAGGTCAGTCCTTGCAGTGAGGAGTAGGCTGACGAAAAGTTGAACCCGGCCGACCCTTCCAAGAGACGGCATATCGACGGAATTGTCTCCAGAACACATACTACTGCAAAGACTTCTTCATAGAGCGACATACTCCCAGAAGAAAGAGATTCAAGACGGAATATTACCTCTTTGAGTATTCCGGAGGATGTTTTGGAGACAGAGGTGGTGAAGTGAAACCTAGATAGAAGATCAATGGTTGAAATGATCTCTCCTGCATCCTTTTCATTGATGAACATAAAGCTTGTGTGACGAGAAACTATGTCAACAAGATAAGAGATTAGTGACAGGACATATTCGTCTCTTCCATTCATAGTGTCTGGGATGTACTTGAGCACCGACTGGAGGACGATACAGCAGGCCACAATGTTCTTATCAAGGAGATTCCGTGTTACATATGTAGTTAGCCTGGAAAACATTGGAAGGAGTCTCTTGAAACACATTGTTTCATTATCTAGCAGAAGCATGACCAGACCTATTTCCTTATGGCTAAATCCACAACTGAATATTCTTTTTATCATTGACTTGTACAGGCTGTACGTCTGGCTATATCCAAAGTATCCTCGATAGTATTCAAGATCGATGTGGGACAATCCTAACTCACTGATGCAGCCAACAAAGTCCTCCATCCCAACAGGGATTATGGCTTTCTTTACGAATTCGGACATTTTCTGGTCGAAATCCACTTCCACAATCTTCTCAGCTTCTGCAAACTCCTTAAAAAAGGCCTTGAGCTCCTTCATGATCTGAGAAGTTCCCTCCTCGGCCGAGATAGGGAGATTTACAAGCAGGAAGTATCTTACATAGATGTCTGGGATGGAAAGGATGTCTGCTATGGATGGAGGCGAAGTCCCCGCTGTTGTTTCTATAATCTTCTGTCTATCTGTTTCTATGTAGAAGCCTATGTCGCGTACAACTGCCATCCAGGCCTGGTGTGGAATGAGTTTTAAGTGCAGAGCCACCAATGAAGTTCCAGGACATGTGTCGTGTGATGGAAAGTGTTTGATCTGAACACACCGATTTGACGAGCCCCAGAGCGTAACCCCGGATGTCAAGGATAGGGGATAAAAGCCTTGGGCTCGAGAAGAAAATACACAAGGCAGCACTTCTTGAGACAGTTACGGTCTTGAACGATGTTGCCGATGGCAAGAAAAAAAGAAAGAGCAGAGAGGATACTTCGGTGGCAGAGGTAAGGGAGAAAAAAAATAAGAAGGATACCCGAAAGAAAACCGATAGCCAGGGAATAAGACCCAGTAAGCAAAAAAGAAATGCAGCTAGAAAGAATGGAGAGATTACAAAGAAGAAAGTGGAGGAAAAGACAAATGAAGACAAAGACTCTACAGAATGCTTGAAAAAGATGACAAGGAAAGAAAGAAGACTGGAAAAGCTAAGAAGTAAGGGGAAAGGACTACCTTCGAAAGAATATTTTGAGAAATTTATCAAGAAGTATAAGGATGACTCTCCACAGGAGAAGGCCACCCGGGGTGTTCTCCCTTCCAAGCGGAAGGAGGACTTCCCCAAAGGAGATGGAAACAAGAGAAAGAAAGGATCCTTCTCCAAAAAAAGAAAAGGTAGAGATCAGTAAAGATCTATCCCTGGAATTAAATCTTTTCTGGGCTTTTTTCTCTCTATTGAAATGGCTTTTGTATGTGACAGCGGTATGTCTTGACCGGAATGGAGCTTTACAACAGAGCAGTATATGGACGACACATCTTCGAGTATGCAGACTTCTATTGTTTTTCTTGCTTTGAAATAAATCGGCGTCTTATCTGAAGACCAGACCTTCAAATGGACGTCTTGGTGATCTTTCTCGAAGAGAAGAGAGGCTGAAAATCTCACAGGCATCCGACCGCAAACCTTGACTCTTGATGGAACATCCACATCATATTTCAGAAATCTTATGGAGCCAAAGTCCAGGCTTCTTATGTATTCTGCTATGTTTTTAGTGTTGTTAGCCATCGAGGGATCAAAGCCGGTATTTGCAAAGAGAAACGGGATTCTTTGGAGTATATTGCTTTTCCCTTTACGGAGCAGCTCGGCCATTCCTTTGTAAATATAGTAGATAAACCAATATCGGTGGTCATTTTCCTTTTTCATACGGCGGAACAGCCTCCTGTAGTTCTTTTCTCTTTGCTCTCCCCCATCCAGCTCCTCAAGAAATTGATGAAGGATATCTCTAAAGAAGACATATCCTCCTCCACACCCGTCCGGCTCCGAGCATTCCATGATTTCAAGAAACAGGAAATGGTTCTCAATCACCTCGCTCATTCTTATTCCTGGGTTGGCTTTCTTCAGCTCCCGGAGAACCACCAGCCTTGCAATATAGAAAGTATCTTCTAGAGAAGACTCGACCTGTGCAATGCTTGTATGCTTATAAAATCTATCCATATTTGCAAAGAACAGCTTTCTGTTCCTGGATACAATCTTTCTTATACATCTAAACACATCCCTGGATCTCACGTTCACATCCATGTGGGAAACCAGGATGTCGAAGATCTCCACATCCTCGTACTTGAGGTTTGCAAGTAGACTAAGAATGTTTGCCTTGACCTTACTTCTTCGCTCTTTGAGACTTTCGCAGATCTGTCGGACTATCTCTCGGTCTATGACCAGCGTGTACTTTATGCTCATCTTCTTGAGGCATAGTGTAGAAAGCTCCCGAAGGTCTCCATCCTCATCGTTTAGTGAATCAACAATGAAGTCGAAGGCTCGGGAAACAATCCCCGGCGTGACCAGAGAGTATACAGAAGAGATTGTATTCCTACGGACGTCGGAGTATTCATCTTCAACCCCATATATCAGTGCTCCACATAGCTTTTGGTCATCAAGGCTTGTGACTTGCTTGCTCAGGAGTTTTTCGACGACCTCATCAGAAAGGTCCTTAAACTCCCCAATTGCCCTGGAGACAAACACCCGTATTGTGAGCTCCCTATCATGTATCCTGTGGCATACAGATCGGAGAATCTTTATTTTATACTTCTCGTCCTCAGAAAATCTCATTAATTGATGTAAGGCTGCAATCCTAACGTCCGGGTTTTCATCCTCAGCCTGTTTAATCAAAGAAGAAATCCTTAGGTTCCACCTCTGGCTCAAATAGACTGCCCGGACAGAGTGGTCTGGATCATCTTGGAAAGAAGGCGGAATTATGTCTGGAAAATTTCTATAATGCAACATCAGTGATATCCTCCTTACCTTGGAATTTCTATGCAAAAGCATTCTGGATATGTCTTCGTATTCAACTTGAGTGCCTCGGCAGAGTGCATTCTCCAAATACACAATTAGATGATGATCGTTGCACTCGGAGGTGCATTCCGAAGAGTGGTACTTGGATATTGGCTTGGGGCTGCAGTCCTCGAAGTCTTTGCCAATGGTGTTTAGAATCTTGCACTTCGACGGCTCGTGAAGGTCGAATATCTGCAATCCTGGAAGCATATGGGCGCGGAAGTGGAAGCTTAAAAAATACCCCTGCTCTTAGTCCATGGACGGACCAAAAAATGTCAGAGATCTTTGCAGAAAAGTGAAGGACGAGCTTTCGTTCAGAAAAGAGGTGAAGGGTATTGACTTCGAGAAGGAATGGGACTTCATGGAAATAATAAAGTCTTTTGAAACGACTGGGTTCCAGGGGACAAATCTATACAAGGCAATTGAGGAGATTGAAAGGATGAGAGGCTCGAAGATATTTTTTGGATGCACCAGCAACATAATCAGCTCTGGACTCAGAGATATTATTGCCACGCTTGTCAAGAGGAAGTATGTCCATGTACTTGTGACTACAGGAGGAGGAATAGAGGAGGACTTGATTAAGACATTCAAGCCGACCTTCTGTGGGGATTTCAACCTTAAGGGAAAGGACCTCCGAGACAACGGGTTGAACCGAATAGGAAACCTTGTAATCCCAAGTGAAAACTATGAAGACTTCGAGACGTGGCTGAACGAGGTTGTAAACGACATAACCGAGGGATATACAAAGGAACATCCAAGAATACTGACGCCATCGTCATTCATAAAAATCCTTGGAGAAAGAATAAATAACGAGTCTTCGGTGCTCTACTGGGCTGCAAAGAATAACATACCTGTATACTCTCCAGCAGTTACCGATGGATCAATTGGAGATATACTATCATTCCATCCAAGAAGAAATATGCTGAAGCTGGATATTGTCGAGGATACATATCGGATGAACTGTGAAGCTGTTTTTAATGGGGAAACAGGGGCCATCATACTTGGATGTGGGATTGTTAAGCATCACATCCTCAATGCTAATCTATTCAAGAACGGGCTTAATTACTGTGTCCTAATCAACAATGCTCAGGAGTTTGATGGAAGTGATGCAGGAGCCAATATAGATGAGGCAGTTAGCTGGGGAAAGATTAAATCCGAAGCAAAGGGAGTGAAGGTGTTTGGTGATGCAACAATCTTGTTTCCCCTGGTTGTAGCAGCCACATTTATGAAGCAGGACAAAGCCTGCCCGGAAAGATAATAAAGCCTTTATATCTGTTTGTTCAGTCTACTGTGTACTCAAGCCCGAAGCTTTTTCCATATCCACAGAGCTTCATTGATGCGTTGTATGCAGCTCCATCAGTTTCGGAGGAATCACCTGTAGATTTCATCCCCACACAATATAGAAAACACTCCATCGACTCTGTCCTGCTTGCTCTTGGTTTCAGTAGAACCACTCCATTATAGAATCTCCTGAAGTGGTTAATCATCCATTCTGTGTACTTTCCTTGGAGACACTTGCCCACAAATGAAGAGCCTGGCTTTGAAATCCTCAAGGAAGCGCTAAGTGCAGACATCAGCAACTCTATTTGGAGATACTCATCTATCTCATGGATTCCGGTTATGTCCGGAGCTCCGTCACACATTACAAGGTCTGCCAGTACTCCTTCTAGAGCCTCTACTATACTCCGTAAGCACGAGTCTGAAGTTATATCGCCCTTAATGCACACCACACCCTCCATCGGGACAATGTCCTGGACATCCACAGACACTATTTTTGGACATCCCTCCTTGGAAAGCAGCCTTTCGGATGCATACTGAGACCAGCTTCCCGGCGCCGCACATAGATCAACACACTTTCAACTCCCTCAAACAGATTGTACTCCTCGTCGATATCAATGAGCTTGTACACGCTTCTGGCTCTGTACTTGTTCTTCTTTGCAAGTCTGTAATAGACGTCTCTTTTTTCTTCTCCATCCATTCCCGGGGACAAAAACCACATTGCCATTGCACCTCATACTTTGGGCCAAAAAAGCCCCTAAATGTTTAGTCTGATGTCTGTTGTGTACGGAGTCCTGTTTCTCTTGAACTCCATAGTTATACTCGACGAAAAGAGATTTCTGTCCAGAGTGGGCCTTCCCTTATCTCCAGAAGCCAGAGGCATCCTTGGCCCAAGCCGTAAGAAGGTTGTCGACTTGATCAGAGCGATCAAGACCGTAATGAAGATTCCTTTAATAGTGTTGAATATAATGTGTATAACATACGAGGTATTTCTTGGATAGAAAGGAGGAGTGGATTCTGTTTATTTCACAGAGTATCGCTCAGATCATGGCAGTCTATCTCGAACGAAGCGTCGCCGTCCTTGTCGGATTCCTCGGATACCACTGCATTGTTCCTAAATAAATCATTGGAGTCTAAAGCCTTTTCATTTATCTTGTGGATTCTTTGTATCTCTTTGATGTAGTTCTTGTCATAACAGCAGTTTCCCAGTGAGTTTCCGAACTGCCTCAGAGCCCTCTTGAGAGCATCCGTTGCTGCTTCTTTCTTTGCTTTTTCATATGCAATGGCCTTGGATTTCTGGTTTTCCGAACTCCCAAACCCGATGTCTTCTCTGTATGTTCCATCCTTGAGCATGACCCTAACTAGGCAAGATACCCCCAGCCCAATCTTCTTGTCCCCTCCCTCTTCATAATCAATCGTCATGCTCCGTATTTCCGACGACCAGCCGTTGAATCCAAAAATCCGGTTTGCCAGGCTTATGGCCATCCAGCCCTCGACATATGCTATCTTCGACATGTTAAACCCAGGCCTGTAGCTGATAAACTCCGGCCCAAGCTTTTGCCTGAGAAGTTTCGATATCTTCTTTGCTTTCTTCTTACTAAAAGTACCGGGTCTCCAGCTCCTTGGTTCTCCTTCTTGCATAATACCCCTTAAAGGACTGCATTTCCGAAACAAGAACAAATAAATATTTCCTTGGTAGGGGTAACAAAAATGGATCCTCTCATGAGTGCGTTCAAAGCAAGAGAAAGTAAAACATTTTACAGCCCAATTCCACATAAGTATGAACAGATGTTCAAGCCAAAAAAATATGATCTAGAACACTTCGGACTGACTTTCTTCCAACGTGCAGTATGCTTCTCTGCATGCCTTGGGGCCGGGATTCTTTCGTTCCTCTACAGCATGATCAAGATAGTCCGCCTCTCTCCATCTGGGTTCATTCTTCCATACACAATCTCAAACTTTCTGTTCTTCATTATGTTTGGGTTTCTGCTTGGCTTCAGATCCTATCTCGAAGGCTTGTTCTCTAAGAAGAAGCGCATCCACAGCTCATGGTTTATTGGCTGTACACTTCTGACCCTCTATGTTGTCTTGAAATACGACAGATACCTCCTCAACTTAGTATTCTGCTTCGTCCAAGTGACGTCGTTCATCATGTTCTCCTTGACCTTCATTCCCGGAGGAACCTCGGGTATGTCCTCCATGGTCAATATGTTCTTCAAGAAATAAATGCTTTCTATAGCCTTAACACACCGGCTTTGATGTTTGTAGCGTTAAAAGAAACTCCTGTAAAGAATTCAATCATTTACTAGATAAGAAGGAAAAGGCAATGGACAACAAGACCACCATCAGGGCTATTGCGGCCTGTGGTAGTGACGAGCTGGGCACAAGCTTTCCAAGTATGTGTAGGAGAAACACATTTGCAATGAAAATCAGGGATATCACAAGAACCTGCATCGGTGATATTAGAAGTCTTGATGGCTGGTTATACAGCAGCTCGTTGAGCTTGCTTTGCCTCTTCTTGTACTGCTGAATCTGGTTCCTATTGCTTATTTGCTTCACCATTTTGAGGGCTAAACATACGCAATTTTAAGCATCCGAAATGCCTACATCCATTGATTCTTTGCTGCACAGGTCTAAAAGTCCATATCAAACCCAAACTGCAGCCTCTGGATCTGTTTGTTATTGGTAAGCGGAATGGCAAAGCTTATGCCTACCACCGGCCCGTCCTTTGCCTTCATGACAGGAACACTTGCTCCCAGCCCAACAGATGCTCCAAGACACTCGCTATCCTTGTAAGAGTGGGACTCCATGATTGACTTGAAGCTCCTCGTTATGTTTCTATCTTCAGACACATAGCCTAACGACCAGAAGAAAAATCCTTTTGCATCCCATCTGGACACCCCCATCCGATGCGATACTTCAAAGAAGGAGTTTCCTCCAATCTTCAGTCCAGAGTTGCTTGGAGATATGCTCATTCCTCTATATCCCCGGATATTCTCTCCAAGGTAATACCTCTCTGCAATGTGTGGCTCTCCAAGTATTGTTCCTGTCGAAAGATGTATGTCTGTGAACAGGTTCCTTGGAAAAGCTTTTCTCAGAATCATTTCTGCCTGTGTCTTCAAAAATAGTCTACACGGCCGTGAGTCAAATATTCCTATCTTGCTTTTGATGTCGATTGCCCCAAGCTTCTTCCTGAGTTCTATGAATGCCTGGTCTAGATATCCAATCCGTTCTCTCCCGACACATATCCTTTGTGTTTCCCTTTCAACCTCTAGAGAGGCACGGGTATGAGGATACTCTTCATGAGGAGACTTCATTGTGTCTCTAGACCCAAATATCCTAAGAAAACTCAGAGACTTAGCCAGAACAGGTTTAGAGAACTGGAAGCTCATGTCCTTGGAGGTTGACACAGACACCTCGAGGTTCTCTGCCCTTCCAAAGAGATTCGGAAGTTTCATCTTGAGATATCCCTTCGGGACTTTCCCTGTCGTGTCCCCGCTGAAGCTAATGCTTCTCTTCTCTTCGGTCACAGACAGTCCGTCGCAAGTCTTGGCAACTGCAGAAAATATCTTAAGCTTTCGGAGTCTGCCTATAACCTCATCCACTCCGCTTTTCCCCGGAATCCCCTGGATCTCGTCAAGGAAACTTTTGTCTGTTCTTCTTGTTCCCGTTATCTTGAACATAAGATATCCTGGGGAGATTCCAATACATTAAATACTATCGAGCCAATACACTATCCTCCTTACAAACAGACTTAGAACAAATCCTTTAATATTTAGATCTCGACAGCTGTCTTGCAGAAGAGAATATCCTTGACCCATCCAACACGAGGGAAGTAGCATCCCCGAAGCTCGAAGCAGGGCTTGTCGGAAAGATCCCCAGCTATGTCGTATGTGCTTCTAAACACCCCCCTAAGCTTCTGGGGATCGTTCCACCCAACAATTCTACTCCAGATTATCTCCGACTTGTCTGTTCTCCCTCCATAAATGGCTCTTACATACACAAATACCTGCTTGAGGTTGAAGTGAAATTGGCTCGAGAGGTCGATGCTCGGCTCAAAAAGAACCACCTGTGTTCTTCCATAGGCCTTGTACTCTCTTATTCGCAGGTCAGACACAGGCGGCGCCTTCGTTACAAAGAACGAAAATAGAAACACAGACAAAAGAAGAATGACTGTGGGGTTGAATGTAAACGATACCAATGCGCTGAGTCTCTTACCTGCTGTTTTCATGGGGTAAATAAAATAATTCAAAAAAGCTGAGCCTGGGCCTTCCATAGACGGCCTTATTGGGAAATACAGGTCTCGGCACTCCTAGATTAATCAATACATTTATTGACTGGGAAACAATTTATCCGAAGATTTTGGAATCTGTAATTAATTTCCTATCTGGGGATATGATATATAGCTCAACACCAGCCACAAAATGTACTTGATAGGAACATTCCAGTTACTAACTATCTTGATCCTTGAAGGTCTTTGTGATTCTTGGTCTTTGCTACTATTGTCCTTCTTCAAATCCTTGGAGACCGACCGGGAGTTTTGGAACCATATCTGTATTGTTCTCGGAGACATGTTCAGTAAAATAGCTAGATTTTGCCTTGTATCATGCGGGGGATAGGGAGTGATTTCAAAGACTTGCTTCAAAACATAGACTTGAACCCGTGTCTTGTACTTGTAGCCCGAAAGACCAAGGTAACTCTTATCCGATAGTCTTCGGAGCTTTATAAGTCCAAGTATTGCCTCACCTTCCATCATCCATCTTGAGTCCTTCATCTGAGCAAATCCCTGTCTTTCGTTCATTTTATCTGATGATTTGTTCAGATAAATTAAATCGAAGGTTTTCAACGGGTTAATTACTCTGCATTGTACGGAATACAATTCCTGCCCATTTCTAATCATAATTCTGTCTTGAATTTAATTATCCTTTCCTCTCCTGCATAAAACCGCTCTAGCTAAATACAGGACCTCCATGGCCACCGGCTACTTCCACCCAAGGCCTTCCAAGGCTTTATGTGTCTGAAAACACAATAACAAAGGTAATTGTGTCCAAGATGTATTTGATTTTTAAGTCCATCCCCAATGAAAGAGCTTGTGTCCAAACTTCTGAATCTCGAGCTTCTTACAGAGATAGAAGTCGAGAATATCTGCAACAAAGTGTCTGAAATCCTCATCTGCGAGCCAAATATCCCAAACAAAAAGTCTCCAGTTATTGTCTGTGGAGACATCCACGGCCAGTTCTTTGATCTGGTGAGTTTGTTCAGGATCGACGGAGTTCCCTCGAAAAAAAGATATGTCTTCCTAGGAGATTATGTGGATAGAGGGAGAAACTCCCTTGAATGCATATTGTTTCTCTTTCTTCTGAAGATCTTGTACCCAGAGAATGTCACTCTCATAAGAGGAAATCATGAGCAGTCTACCATAAACAGGGTCTACGGATTCTACGAAGAGATCATGGAGAAGTATGGGACGCCAAGAATATGGAGGATGATCAACGAAGTGTTTAATCTTATGTGTATTGGATGTCTGATCGATGGAAGGATACTGTGTGTGCATGGAGGGATATCACCCAAGATCACGTCACTGAACCAAATAAAAAGGCTTGACAGACTGCTTCCCATTAGGGAGGAAAGTGAGTTTGCAGACATCCTATGGGGAGATCCTTACGATGGAAAGGGCTTTCAACCTAGTCCTCGAGGAAGTGGATATCTTTACGGGGAGGACGTGGTAATAAGATTTCTTGAACTGAATGGGCTTACAAGCATTGTAAGATCACACCAACTGGTCATAGAGGGGTACAAGTTCCATTTTCCTGGGAGAAACGTGATTACTGTGTGGAGTGCTCCGAATTACATGGGAAAGTGTGGTAATCCTGCAAGTATCCTGAGGATCAACGAGACACTGGACATTTCCGATAAGGATTTCTGCATATTCAAGGCCACACCGCAGAGAAAGGAGTTTCTCACAAAGCTAGAGGGGCTTGACTTATAGTAGATTGGAGGATTTCTTTATTCGCTTCATCCCATGGATGTTTAGTAGGCTCAAGAGTCCGGAGGAGGAGCGGGGAGTCGATGTTCTTAAAGGATATGCAGTGAGGACCTCCAAGCATGAAATAAAAAGGTTTCTCCGCTCCATGGAGTACAGGAGACTTCCTCGGCATCTGAAGAGAATCAAGACATGGAACGAGGATTTGCTTGTACTTGTTGATATTGTTGAGGAGTGTGATCCGATAGACTCTGTTGCCAATCTGGTTGAAGAAATGGTCAAAGAAGGGTTTGGATCTAAGCTTTCGGGGCGTAGACAAGAGTCTCTGATTGAGACAGTAAGCATTCCAAAGTATCAGCCGCTAACCGACTCCCAATACGTCGAAAGTGCAAAGCTCTGGCCGTGCATTAGATCGTGCAGATTTGAGGAAGAACTAGATGATGATTATATTGGAAGCATGGTAAGAGTTCTGAAGACAAAAAGAAGTATGGCGATTTGTACAGGGGCCTGCATCATAGCAGATGGGAAACAAGAGCTATCGATTCATGAGGACACCGACAATGTCCTAGGACATTCGATACTGAAAGCCGTTGAAGAGGTCAGTAAGGCCCAGATTCTCTATCTGTGCACTGGGTTTGATGCATTTATACTCAAGGAGCCCTGTTTGTCGTGTTCGATGGCACTTGTGCACGGAAGAATTAAGAGGGTCTTCTGCCTCAAAAGGGATCCTGAAGGTCCTTTCTCGAGAATTAAGATTAACTACAACAAGAACTTGAATCACAGATATCCTGTTTATTTTATGGATGAAACATGTGCAGATTGCCCAATGTAACAACAGAATTATAATAAAAGTTTAGCTTTTCCTGTTGAAGCCTTTGCTTGGAGAAAAGACAAGGACATATATAATATTGAAGAGTTTAATGGACTTCGGCGACTGTTTCTGCCTTCTTTGCTCCGTAGAATGCCTTCTTCTCTGCACTTGTCTGGAACCGCCCATGTCCTATCTTCGACGATGTGTCGACAAACTTGATCACAAGCTCCTCGCTCGGCCTCTGCTGTGTAAGACTCTTTCGAAGCGTCACAACCCTCTTCCGTGGCCCGACAACCGCCCCCTTCACCATGATGAAGTCGTTCTTCACTTCTCCATAGTGAGGGAATCCTCCCATCGGCGAAATCGCCTTCTCGGTTAGGTCAAACTCAGTCTTGATCTTGGTGCTTCCATTTCCAATCATGTACACCCTCTTGTTCTTCTCTGTTCTTCTATGGAACCCCATCTGCCCTGCTCGTGCAACAGAGTACATCACACGGCTCGGATGCCATGCTCCAATGCATGCAACCTTTCGGATCCCCTTTCGAGACTTGCGCGGCTGCTTTCGTACTCCAAACCTCTTCACTGTTCCTTGGAATCCCTTTCCCTTCGTCACCCCAATCACATCGATGTTCTCATTCTCTCCAAACACCTCTGCAATCTGGATCTCCTTCTCAAGCCTCTCCAGAGCCCACTCAACCTTCTCGCAGATGCTTCCTCCATTCAACTGTATCTCCGCGATGTGTGCTTTCTTCAGCCCAAGTGTCTTCACCATCTCCGGCTGTGTCTGAACAAGTACTCGCACACACTCTGCCCTCTTCTTGATCTCTTCAACCCGGGACTCCGTCACTTCTCCTCGGCAGAACTGGGCCGCCGCCTCCTTCTCCATGTACTTGTTACCAAACATCCTGCGGAGAACTCCATCGTTCACATAGGATACCGTGACAATCGGGAGTCTGTGCAGTCCAGTCACAGTCCTCTCATATCCCACAATCCCATACACAACCATCGGCGGTGCTTCAACCACAGTCACTGCATCCATCACCTCCCTAGAAAGTTGCTTGTTCTTTGCAACCTGGGTCTTAGTCCTTATCACATGTGTCATCCCTGCCTTGTACCCCATAAATCCAGTCAGATGCACAGGCTGGGAGATATCGTCAGCCGGAAACGCCCCTACAGACGGCCTGATTGTCTTCGATCTTTTCCTTGGGCAGAACTGCAAAGATCCATGTCTCGGTGCGTTGAACTTCCTGCAGCTCATTTGGCAAGGGCACAAATTTTTCCATTAACCGATCTTCTCTCGAAAAGTATCAAACAATGCTAACAACAGGCCCAAGGGCACAATTGAGTGTACTCCCAACCACTTGATGGATAGAATTTCCTACCCTACCGATGAGTTTCCATCCGGAGTACAAGGAGTATTTTAAACAAGGATCAACAGCAAAAATATACAATGGAGTGTTTGAGGATGCAGGATTCTACGACGAGGTAGACATAAAGGAGTTCAAGTACAACAAGGAGAACAAGACATTCTATTATCCATGTCCTTGCGGGGACAACTTCGAGATATCTCTGGAAGATCTAAAGAATGGAGAGATTGCAGCTAGATGTCCTTCTTGTTCCCTTATCATTTGCACGGTGTACGAAGCAGAGGATCTTAAGATGTATCTCTAGTATCTATGACACAAGGAGATGCCCTGGAAAAAAGACCCCCGACCTCAACATCCCACACCCCAAGACTTAAACCTATTGCTAAGTAAACCCAAAATGGCGAAGAAACAGCAAGAGACCAAGCAAAAGTCCATCAGAGACATTCGGAAGGAGCTAGAAGAAAAGGCATTTGGGCTGAAGAACAAGAAGCAGAAGGCGGCGATTCTAAAGCAAATTGAAAGTCTTAATCTTAAGGAACAGCTTGAGAAGAAGGAAAAGATGAAGAAGGAAGAGAAGAATGTGCCTGTGAAGCAGGTGATTCCGGTGGGCGTGGATCCCAAGACGATTCAATGCGTCAATTTTCTAAACAAGATTTGCCCGGATGGCGATGCATGTAAGTTTGCACATAAAGAAGTCAAGAAGGTTGAAAAGCCAAAAGAGGAAAATGCATCCGAAGGCCCCAAGCGCATATGCCAGTTCCTTATTGATGCTTTGAATTCTGGGGAATATGGAGACAACTGGAAATGCCCGTTTCCAAAATGTGTTGACATCCATAGGCTTGTGGAAATCAAGGAAAATGCACAGGTGGAGCTGAGTCTTGAAGAATACATAGAACTGTCCAGGCAGTCTCTTCCGGAGAAGCTTACTCCACTAACCGAGGAAACATTCAAGCAATGGAAGCTCAGGAAGCAGAAGGAGGAGAAAGAGCATGCCAGAAAGGTCAAGGCCATAGCAACAGGGATGAAGGGAATAGAGCTGTTTGAAGCAAGGAGAGAGCTATTCAAGGATGACGAGGAGGCCGAGGACTTGGACTACACAGAAAGATGTTATTCGGAGTCTGAGGACGAGGAGGACCATTCCAAATAAATACTTTATTCTTATTATTCTTCTTTGCATGGCAAAAAGTCGTCTTCGCAGCATCCATACTCTTCTATATCGAATCCCCATTTCCTAAGGGAGAATGCTCTGAAAATTTCAACTGGATGTATGTTGTATTGTGTGTGCAATATCGATATGCACTCGGAGACACAGTCTTTCCATCTTTCTATCACGCTTTCCAAGTCCCCATGTGTTTCTCGGAATTGCTTCATCATCCTCAACTTCCTATTGGTGTCTTTCTGAATAAACAACGGATCCTTGAACTGATCGGAATATCTTCTTTTTCTTACCGCCTCCTGCTTCTTTCCCTTGAGCTTATAGAACACTCTTCCATCCACATGTAGCTCCCGATAGTCTTCTAAGTGCTCTGGCTTGTCAGTGGTGTACATCGGGGGAAGATGATTACAGAGATATTTTCTTGAATTCCAAGGATTTAGCTCTGTTTTGCCAGATGGCCAATGCTCTTGTTCTCTGGGAAGGACCCATTGATGAGTTCTCCCGCCAATATCAAAATGTTTTTATGGGCTGGAGGAAGCCTGAGAGGATGATGAAAAGGGTATTTCAGGACATCACAAATGTCAGTAGAAAGAACATCAAGCTGACAATCCACCGGTCATCACACAGAAGAAAACTGGTCAAATGGCTGTACGAGGTGATGGACGACTTCGGATACTCCCAGGTCACATTCTCAACAGCAGTTTTCATCCTGGACAGATACACAGAAGTAAGAGGACTTGACCTTGGGAAGTACCAGCTGGTGGGGATCTCATCACTCTTCCTCAGTGCAAAGATAGAAGAGAAGAGGTGTAAGGAAATAGATGACTATGTTCATGTCACAGACAACACATACTCTAGAAGAGAGATCCTAGACAAGGAGATCGAGATTCTGGAGGTGTTTGGGTTCAATCTGATGTTCAGGCTCCCTCACTCCTTTCTTAAGGAGAAGTATCTTGAGAAGATGTCCAGCGAATACACTGTGAAGCAATGCCAGGAAATATTCTTTTGTGCATTTTCGTATGTAATAGAGAAGAACATCTGTGGATCCAGTATGTATTGGATATACCTGGAAGGAATCAAGGAGGCTGAGAAGGTGCTTTCGGGGCATAAGGCAAGCGAAGACTTCAGGTTCTATCTGGAGAACAACAGAAGGATTAAAAACATATTTATGTAGACTTATAAGATAAGGTTGATCCTATAAAAAAACATCTTTGAACAATTCACTCTCCTCCGTAGGCTTACTTTTTTTTGCAGCATCCATGTCTTTCTCAACCTCCTCGAGAACACATCTTTCCAACTCCCCAAGCTCTTCCTCAGAACGGAACTCAAGAAGACGTTTCCTTATGTCTTCCATGCAGTCGTTCTTCCTTTCTCTATCCACTTCTTCTTTGCTTCTGTATGTTTCCTTCGAATCAACTGTAGAATGTGTGCAAAGTCTGTATGTATCGATTTGCACAATAATAGGCCCTTTCTCAGCCGAGTGTTTCCTTGCATATCCAAGTACTGATATCAGCCCAAATATATTGTTGTGTGGAACTCGAATTCCCGGAATGCGTCCTCCTCGAAGATAGAAGTTTGTGTCTGCGCTTACACTTTCTGCAGGAGTCCACATTCCATATCTGTTGTTTTCGCACACAAAAACTATAGGAAGCTTCCAAACCATTGCCATGTTGAAGCTCTCCCACGCCTGGCCTTGGTTTGCAGCACCGTCCCCATAAAAGACATAGGAAACCTTCCCCTTCTGACTTTTGCTCCCAAGTACTCTCTCTTTGTATTTAATTGCATATGCTATACCCACTCCAAGAGGAATCTGTGCCCCAACAATTCCATGTCCTCCAAAGAAGTGACTGTTGTACAGATGCATGGATCCTCCCTTACCTTTGGAAACTCCCCCCTGCCTTCCAAGGACCTCTTGCATTATCTCACGAGTTCTACAACCAGAAACATATGCAATTCCATGGCATCGGTATGAAGACACAACTATGTCATCATCCATCATATACTCAAGAGCAGTGTATATCCCTTCCTGCCCAATCGAAAGGTGGCAGAATCCCCTAATATTTTCTTTTTTGTACTCTATGTCCATTAGTTTGTCTACAAATCGAATCTTCATCATCTGCTTGTAAATGTATATCATCTCCTCTATTTTGAGCTTGTGTACCATATCTATTTCCTCCTTCCGGACTTCATGAACCCTGATGGTCGCAAGGATTTCCTGAACATTACACTGTATATACTTCTCCTTCTCCATTCCTCCATAATTCTGAGATGAGTTCAAACTTTTCTTGTGACAATGTTTTGTCTGATGTCATTGAGATGGCAACTAGGCCCCCAACAAATGGCCAGTCAAAGAATCCTAAGTGCAGTTGATTCGATCAATAATCTTCTAAAGGCCCTGCCATTCAGGCCGTCTGTTAGAAGATGCCACGATTCATTTGTTCCGAAAGAAATGGTTGGGCTTCTAAGAAAGAGAGCATTGGAAAGTACTCTTCCTATCCTTAAGGAAATCATAGACGGCATTAAGCTTGGACAGAAGAAGGAGGATATCATAGATGACCGAGAAATATGTAGCAGAAGAGAATTTGCAACAGGGCAGCTCCGGCACCTGAGACTTTCCATGGAAAGTGAATTTGAAGAGGGCAGAATCAACAAGATCAAGGATCTTCTCAACGAAATCGAATATTATGAAAAAATAGGAGTGAAGCCTATCAAGAAAATAAATGTTGGAAAGGAGATGACCTTGAAGATTTTCCAAATGCTGTCCTGCAGTGGAGAAGCACCAATGGATCCCTACATCGGAGAATACCTAGGGAGGAGGATCTGTTTTTTCCATGAGTCCCCTTCGGAAATCGAAATTTCGTCTCTGAGGACAATGTTAAGGTTTCTTCAGGAGAGTGGAGGGGAGACAGCTGGAAGGAGAGGAGAGGATCAGGCTTACGAGGATCTGGAATAAAGTTTAATATAGTCTTTCTTTTCGAATAGGCTTAGGATACAAAGCTCTAACTTGTTTAGCCAGCCCCGTTGACCACCACACGCTTGTTTCTTAGAGATGCTGTGTTCATTCCCACCCTTGTCTTCTCGACAAAGTTGGGTCTCTTTGGTGGTGGTGTCTCTATGTTGATTGAGGTGGCAATTCTTATGAGTATGAGGTTGAGCAGGTTCAAGCATAGCGACGGAATGGCTATGGTGATGTAGTAGTATTTGATCATTGAGATGTTCTTCATGATTATTCTAGTGCATGTCATCTGGTTGGTGCACTCCATGAAATACAGGATTATGTTTCTGACAGATGCATTGTTGTAGAGTCTTCCTAACTGCCTGGAAACATCGGACTGGTAGCCTATCCTAACATAAAGAAGCATTGTTATCAACATAAAAAGTAAAAGCACGCCGGTCAAAAGATACAGTTTCATGTACAGCCTGGTCTTACTATTGATTCCGCAGCTTGCAAACAATCCCAGAGTTATGTTTGCCATCGAGGTACTTCTGAATATTGTAGTCACCCCTCTGATCCCCATTCTGAGATGCTCAGACTCCATCCGTACAAACATCAGATGAGGAATGAGGAAGAATGGTAGTGGGATGTTGATTACAATCAGTAGGACGGACACAAGTTGGCTGAGAGACCTCACGTTCTTGAATGCCGTGGTTGTCATTGAATGTCAGGCCTCGTTGATTTTTAAGGCCAGGTTCTTCCAATCGGAGCTTTATGCTTTAAGGGGTCACCTTCGATTCGGCCTGGTAATAAAGGAGAATATGCTTTATCTGCTGTGTTCTTTAAGTTCTCTTCTCAAGCCCAACACATGCCCTGAAGCCCAAAATAGATGCCTTCCAGTCCTTAAGCCCAATATTACGCTATCTCAAGGCCAACCCCATAGTAGGAAATGTCTCTGGTTTTTCTTTATGCTTTGAGTGTTGCAGCAAAGAACTATGCCATCTTAATGAATTCGTCACGGGGATTCCACAACTACAGACATATGGCAAATGTATATATTTTCTACAATGTCCTAAAAGAGAACGGGTTCAAGGACGACCAAATCCTGATCATCTCGTACGAGAATCAAATCGAAGACATCCGAAATGTAGACCGGGGTGGAGTTTACATCGATGAGGATCAGAGGATTCCCTACTCTGCATTCACACCAAGCAGCAATGCTCTTGCAGATCTTCTTAATGCGCTTGAGGGAAGGAATATCAAGCTGAAGGATGCAGATGAGTCCTCTAATGTCTTTATATATCTCAATGGGCATGGAAACGAGACATTCCTGAAGTTTGGAAACATTCACTTTATGACTAAAGATGACTTGATGGCAAGGATATTGAAGTTGGCTGAAAGAGTCAACAAGATTCTGCTTGTGCTCGACACGTGCCAGGCCGAAGCTTTAATTGATAGAGAGATTCTGCCTAGTAATGTATTTATAGTGGCCACGAGCAAGACGGGGCAGCCGGCCATTTCCTCATTTAGCTCATCACTTATATGTGCAAATGTTTCCGATAACTTCCCGTACTTTTTCTTCAAGAGATTTGGAAAGGGGATTGACAGGAAGATCAGACTTCCCGATCTATTTTCCGAAATTGCCAAAGAGCCTCTTGGATCGGAGCTTGTGTTTGACGAGGAAAAAGACTTCAGGTTTGAGGACTTCTTTGTGCAAAACAACAGTGCAGAGCTTCTTCCCTTCAAGGAAAGATGAATGTGTTCGATTAAAGAATGTAACTTTGTAAGGCTTTTTGAGTTAAAGTATCGGTCCCCTGATGGAAGAAGAAGGAAACATCTCTGCTTCTAGAGGGAGACCTGACAAGGATAGATGGGACGAGTATAGCATCCTCAACGACAGTTCTTACAAAGGAGGAGTGACGGATAAAGGAAACTCTCTTGAATGGAAGTCATTTGAAAAAGAAGAATGTGTCTTCTCGGAAGAGTTGCCAGAAAAGATAGAGGGTTTGCAGGAAGAGGAGGGATCTAGGGAGAAGAAAAAAGACTGGGATGGAGAGATCAGGAAGGGGAATGATAATCCCATAAGGCCAAGGAAATATGTTGCAAGTAATACCGAGTATGATAGGGGAGAAAAAGGAAGCCCAACTTCGGAGGAAGCCAAAAAGGAGATCCTCTTGGAGAATCTGGGGGTTCATCAAAACATTTCAAAGCAGAGATATGAAGAGCATATAAGGAAGTTAAGGGCGGCAAGCGATAAGTACACGGGGGAAGGAGAAGAAGTAGAGGATTTGGTAGGGGCTCGGAAAGCACAGACAGAAAAAGAAGAGAATATGAGAAGGGCCCTCAAGATACAAGAGAACGATCTTTGGATCAAGGACCAAGAGATTGTCTTACTTCGAGAAAAGGTGGCAAGACTTGAAATGAAGATGGAAATTGAAGGGAAGGAGTATATAGAGAAGTGTATCCAAAGGGGAGAGGCAGCCGTGAAGATTCTAGAGGAAGAAATGAAGAAGGAACGAAGGGAGCTTCTGGAGAGGATTGGGCAGGAGACAGAAAAATCAAGGGTGCTATCCCGGAGGGTCGAGGGTCTTAAGAAGATCATCAACGAGCTGGTTCGCAAGATAAAAAGAATGAAGCAGAGATCGGAGGGGTGAGAAGATGGAATGAAGAGATAGAGGAGGATGGATAACCCCAAATGTTTGAATCGGAATACTTCAAGAATCTTCTGAATGAAACTACGGCGTTGATAGCCAACAAAGTGGAGGAGGGAAACAACAGAGAAGAGATGGAGGCCCGGATCGAGAGCAACGTGGCAACATTGAAGTATCTTGCAAGGGAAATAACAGACAGAGATCTGCAAAGCAAAACACTGAAGAGAATAGACATGCTGTGTCTCGAGCCCGAGGAGTTTGAAATGAGTGATGTTAGAAACAGGACAGTGGGAGCTAGAGGTAGTGAGCATTCGGACAGAATGGAAAGAGATATCCTCAAGTACACAAAAAGACTACGTGGGAAGGTCAAGGAATTTATGGAAAGCGTTGATATGGACAGTAGGGTGCTGGAAGAGGTGACCGACAAAATGTCCAAGAATCTGGCAGGGACATCTTCTACACTGAAGTCCTTGAAGATAGAGGGATGTAGGATTCCAATTCTGGGCCTTCTTACCTCTGTTACAGCAGTCTTTGTTGTGATGTACTTTGTCATAAGATTTCTGTAGAAGATAATGTTTAATGGAAGTCTGCTACTAAATTTGTTGTTTTATATGTCGTCTTGGAAGTCTTCTTTACTTCTTCTTCGCTCCAGGAATATCTCTTTTCCTGTTTTCCCTGTCCTCGGCTTTTCTGCTCTGGGAGTTCCCTTCTTCCAGTTCATAAAGTCCTCCTCGGTTATCTTCTGCTTATCGTCTATGTTGTAGCTGATTGATATTCTCTTTACATCACTCACTATGTTGCTTCCTTCCAGCTTCCTGACAACTATTCTAACCATATCGAAGATCATAGGTGTCGAGATGTACTTCTTTGTCTCCTCTCTTACTTCTGCTAATATGTTGTCTTCCACATCCGATGACATCTCTGGAATGGTGTTGGGGTAGCCTTCTGAGCATCGGAACTCAAAGGAGTTCCCCTCAGCAGATATCTTGTAGACATGCTCTGTGTCCCTTGTGTAGTGTTCCAAATCGCCTCCAAAAATATATCTCAAAGCATCGCACTCATCCATGGGGTATTCCCATCGAGCCTTCTTCTCCAGACACTGATATTTAGTCTGTCTGTCTTTTCTATCTAATAAAGTGTTTTTATTAAACTCTATAGCTGTTCTCGCCAAGCATATTCTATTTATAGAAACCAATTCTTTATATAATCTAAGCCGTTGTTTGTACAGATGGAAAACACAAGATGGATAAAAGCTGAAATTAAAAATGTAAACGATGGCTCTGTAGCCAGAGAAGTCTTGGCCAACGAGACAAATTCCTTTGTCAGAGAACTCAATCACTATGAAAAAAATCTTAAGGATATTCTTGAAGAACTAGAGAATCAAAACATAACTAACAAGGAAGAAGGAATTTCGTCCGTTAAGAAAGCCTTGGAGGTGTTAGAAACTCTTGAAAAAGATGTCAGCTCAGCAGTTCCTGAAGAGACATCTATTTGGACGAAAGACTTTTTCAAAGCTGTTGATAGACTAAGAGATAGTTGTAATCTATCACTCAAGTCACTTGAGGAGGCTCTTGAAAAATTTCTGGCCTATATTGATAATAACTCGGATCTAAAGGGAGATCTTTTGCAGAAGGCCAAGCTCATTCCCCTTCTGTGTGCATCTAGCAAGCTTAAAGAATTTTCTTCGGGTATAAGGAAGTCGGGGACCAATGCCTTTACGTGGTTTTTTAAGTTTGTTAGAAGGATTCCCGTCGAGAATTTCAAGAAGAACATTAACTCGAGCTTAAATGGCCTAAAGGAAAAGATTTGCCGTGTATCTGGATCCCAAAGAGCAACAGGGAAGCAAGAAATCCGGGAGGCACAGAAGATTGTGGATTCTTTTTTACGCGATGTAACCGAACTTCAGGATGAATATGAGAAAACTCTTGGCCTTCTTATAAGATCGGAGATATCCTTTTCAGATGCATTTGAGACTATGCAGGGAAAGATAAGTAACTTTGATGGCCACATGAGTGATCTGGAAAAGAAGATTAAAGACATCGAAACAGCTTTCCAACCCATCCTTCTTTCCAAGGAATCCCACGAAAGATCGTTGCCTGAAGATAGTTTTCTTAAGAACATATATCTTGTGTTGATAATTGTGTTATGCATACAGGGTGTTCTCTGGTACACAGACAATGAAAAGTCTTCTGCTGGAACTGTGTGGAACATGGTAGTGTACTCTGTGGCAGTTGTGGGGACGATTCTGTACATGGCCTGGGTGTGGGGATTTGGCGGAAGGAGATGGACTAGTGCTGCGAGCATGGTACCTATGATGGTTGGGCTTCTGAATTTGGGGAAGAGGGTGAGCTGTGAGTACGGGATGGAGATGGCAGGGCTTGGGTTTGTAATGGTTTGTATGGAGAGTCTTGCAAGACACGGGATGTCATCATGGGAGATTTTGGCAGGATTGATCGGAAATGGAATTGTAGTGATGGGATGGGTCAGTTGGGCTACAATGAGGGATAGATATGGAGAGAGGATGAGCCAGTGGATGTGTGGGGGACTTATTGTGTTTGGAATTCTCATGGCTGTGATGATGTATATGAAGGAAGGGAGAAATGTGGAAAGGAGCACTGGAAGTTATATGGTGTTTATTATGACAGTGGTTGTTGGAACAGCTGTGTCTTATGCATGTGGAAAGGATTACAGACAACTTGCATCTAAGAGAATGTCTCTGAAATCTTGAATGCAAGATGTCAAATCTTTAAAGTAATCAAAAACACAAAACAGAAAACCTCTAAAAGCTAGCTATCCTTTTTTTCTTGGATGTTTAGTAGTCTAGGTGTATTGGGCAATTGCATCAAGGATGAACCAAACGGACACCAACTTCCAATCACTTCATGGAATACTATATTTCCAAAAAAGGCACATTCCTCAGTGAACCTGTTAAGTTTTTTTCTAATCATCTTTTTAACCCGTTGTATAAACCAGGGACTCTAGGAAACCCTTATGATTAGCATTTTATTCCTTGGCCATGCAGAAGCCGCAACGGGTATCCCTTCAGATCTCTGGGATTCAGTAAACTACTATAGCCTCCTTTTGCCAAAGAGGCCTGAAGTGGCCTTGATCTTGTTTGTTGCGGGCCTCTTTGTGAATTTTCTGGGGATTCGTGCAAAAAGATGCTCTCTGTCTATGATCTCGTTCCCTTTACTTCGTCTGAGCATTGGAAGCATAATGAATGTGCTAAAGGAAATAGTTATAGATAAATATGGAAGCATATCCGAGGCTCCCCAGATGGTTAGGAATGGGCTTGAGATACTAAAGAAGGTGGACGAGAACAGATTCTTCATGATCTTTCTGTCTGTTGTTCTTGGGCTTGTGATGGTTTTCTTTGCCAAGGCTGTAATATACATCTTGATGGTATATCTTGCATTCCATCTGTGGGGAATACTGGAATCATCTGCCCAGGGGACAATGGAAGGGAAACTGTATTACATTTACCAAACAATAATGTTATGCATTGGGATCTTGGTTCTGGTTCTTGTAAAGCCAATCACCTTCTTAATCTACATCCTCATCTTCTCTGTGTTTGGATCTCTCTTCATCATAGTCGGAGCCAATTTTGGATCTGGATTGAACCTCCATCTAAATCAATACATCGATATGCTTCGAAAAGGAGACTTCTATCAAGATCTGGTTGAGAATAAGATCTCTGTAGGATATATCTCCCTCGTGACGATGGGGACTATTTGCCAGATACTTCTTAGGAAGAAGCCCACGGCGAAGGCAAACTAAATGCCTCTGGGAAAGGAATTCATTTCTATATTAAAAGTTTTGGTATAATTTAATTGCCTTCCTCAGCACGGTGGATAAAAGCATCCAAAAAGAATTGCATATGCTATTCCAAATCCAAAGTAGAACCTGAACAGAACTTTTTTCCAGAGTCCGTTATTCATTGTGTAGTATTTTTCTGCCAGAATCCAATATATTAGAGGATTGAACGAGACAAATCTAAAGTACATGTTCCAATGAATCAAGAATACTGTGATAAGAGTTTGAGCCAGAAGGACAACCGCACACATGTCTGTGTTGAAGTGCTGAAGGATGCCAATGGCCTTGGAACTCCCTGCACATCTTTTGTTCCAGTACTCTCTGAGAATAAACAAAGAAATCAGGATGAATGGAAGCCCAACCAATACATTGGGGATGTTCTTGTATGTGAAGAATCGGAATAGTCCTTGTTCCCACAGGGTCCTCTGTATGAAAGAATAAGGAATGAAGATTTTGTAGGTATTGTTAGCTCTGTTGATCATAAGCAGGGTGTAGTATTGAAATGCAGCAAGTGGAAGTAGAAATACAGCGATTTTTGTGAATGTATATCTACTTAAAGGACACATGAGAAATGGAGCAAATAAAACCGCATTCGATCTGCACAGGCCGCACAAAGACAAAAACAACACTCCGCGAACAGTGTCTCTGTTTTCTATGAAATACATTCCCAAGAGAAAGAGAAGCATGAACAAGGATTCCGAATACATGGCTGTGTACACTATAGATGCCGGGTTGAAAATGAAGAGGATACAGCTCATCGCTGCTATTTTGTTTCCGTACCTTTTTTGGGTGATCCTGTAGAGCAATGCAGAACTAAAGACAAAGGCTGTACACGAGACAAGAACTCCCACTGTGTATGGATCTAGTGGAAGAACCTTGTGGATACAGCGGGATAGATACGGAAGAAGGGGAAAGAATGCAGCCTCATGGGTTTTCCTGTATCCTCTCTCCATGATCTCTAGGAAGTGAATGGAGTCCCACGAAAGGAGAAATTTCATACATGAGTTGCTGGGAATAAGTTCTGTGGATTTGTCAAAGCGAGGAAGAAGGAGATATGCAACATATGAGATACCTATGTAGAAGGCACGAGAGGCTGCTGCCAACCTGATTACTCCTTGAATGTTCGTGGCGAATGGCATTCCAATAGGGGAGCATCTTGGAATTTGTTTATCTCAACTTGTAAATTTTACAAGGTTACACACCCCATGTTTGTTTTTCTTCTCCACCTGCTCGGATGTTTGTGCAGCGAACATGTCTTTATACAAGAGGCGTCGCTACTGTCGCCATATGTAGATGAGATTGGCAGGTTCCTCAACTGGAAGACATTTGGGGAGCAAGTAATAAAGGTCCATGGAAAGGATATGTTTGTACAGTTAGGATACTCGTCTCCAAATAGCTCTGGGGCTGTTGTGGCATCTCACCCCATAGGTTCTGAGAGGTTTGGGATGGATCTGATTATTGAGGTGGACTCTGGACAGAAAGGGGACACCAACGAGGGAATGGCCATATGGATATCTGATGAGGAAACGTTTAAGGAGGGGCCTTGTTTTGGGAGGTCATGTAGTTTCAAAGGCCTTTTGGTTGTCATAAAGCCCTCTGGAAAGTCTTATGTTGGGGTGAAGGCTGGTGATGTTATGATCAACACCAGTAATATGGCCAAGAATTTTGACAAGGTTGAATACAGAGACTTTTCCTCTGGAGAGAAATTCGTTCTTAGAATTGAGCAAAAGGATTATGAGCTGTCTATATATATAGGAGAGGGGGAAGACTTCTCTCTTGTGCATTCTTACAGATACAATCTTGTAAAGGAAGGAGACCTTCTTGGGGTTTCTGCATCAACGGACAGATCGTCGACTTCATTCAGGTTGATTGGAATTGAAAGTTACCATCTAAAGAACATGGAGGGCAAGGGATATGCAAAGGAAGATGTACACAGCGGTGGAAGACTTATTTGGTTTATCCTTGCAGTTGTAGTTTCAATAACCGCATACTACCTCTACAACATCCAAGTAAAAAAGGATAATTAACTTCTAGTCCTTCTATTCTATAGTCTTTAAGCTGTACTTAATCATCCAACACCCCGAATTTGGAACTTCGGAAATATTCTCCCAACCGGTGCCAAATAGAACAAGAGGTCTTTCTACAAGGAGAGGTGGCAGTCCAGTGGAGGATCTCCTCGAAAACTACTTCTAGTTGGGTAGATTCGAGAGTAGCCATTGTTGGCTTGATCCCACCAGACAAAGGGGCAGGGTAGATCCTATTTCGTGTGGGCCCTTTGGATGGAAGGGCCTGGAGAGCAGCGGAGGGCATGTGTTCTCCGGCAATAGAGGGCCCTGGTGAATTCATCGAGTTCCTGAAGCCCCTGATGATTGAAAGTCCTGCAATAAAAAAGTTTATTGTTAATTACTTTATTGAACACAGCCAAGAGAACATTGATGATATAGCAGCCAGGATCGACGGATGTCTTCGGAAGAGGTTTGTGGAGAACGAGGTGGTGTCTGTTGTAAGGTCTGGGGAGTGGGGAAGGATTTCTCGAGTGGCTGGAGACAGGTATGTTGTAAGCATCCTGTCTCTAGATGGAGGGCGAGAGGAAAGGCTCCACTTTTCGGAGCTTGCAAGGAAGGACATGGCGGGGCGGACGGAGGTCAAGGGATATCTGCTTGGGATAACAATGGAAACTCCTTTTGGACGGGTGCTGAAGGAGAATGCATTCCGAAGCATAAGAGACTCTGGGGAAGTGATGAAATGCAAGGTTCCACAGAGCCAGTGCTATGAAGGGAGTTTTGTGTCTCGGAGGGGTGTTGGGGGGACGGAGAGAAGGAAATGGAAGACGGAGAAGGAAGGGCAAGGCTCGAGAGAGAAGAACGAGGAAAGGGAGACAGAGGGCAGTAGGGCGAAGCGGGCCTCCGTGCGAAAGGAGGGGACGAAGGAGACGAGTGTGAGTTCGATCCTCTTGGTGGGGCCTTCGCAGGCTCTGGAGATCCCGGGGCTTAGGAAGGAAGATATCGAGCTAGTGATGAAGATCTTTGGAGTGGTAGCAAACTTCGGGGGGTTTTTTGGGATCCAAGAGATTGATGTTTTGTCGCTAGGGAGGGCTATTGTTGATCCTTGGTATGAGGATGATACGATATGCAAGATCCATTTGAAGCTGATCTCTGGACTTCGGACAGAAATGGATTCTGTGGGGATGGAGGAGTTTGTGGAGAACAGCAAGGCATGCATTGAATGGGCCAAGGAGCAAGGAAGGGAGGAGGATTTGGCTGGAGATGGGGGGGAGATGGAGGAGTGTCTTGAACAGTCTCTGGGCTGTGGGGAAGAGGGCTGGAAGAAAGACCTAAGGAAGCTTATTGAGAGTATTTGCGATGATGGGGACACAGACATTTTTGGTATTGTGAGGAGCATCTCTGGAAGGAGCAGGGCTCTTGGGAGGGGAGAGATAAGAAAGAGGCTTGTTGTGATTGAGCTGCTGATGAACATGTTCTTTACAACAGAACAGTTCCGAGAGATTATATGGGAGAAGATGGAGGAGTCGAAGGATCTTGAGAAGAAGAAGAGGGAGCTCCAGACAAGGCTTAAGAGGAGTGTGGGATGGGATGGAGAGAGCAAGGAGGCAGGAGAAGGCTCTCGAGCCGAGATGGAGAAGGAGCTTGGGGACACAAGAGAGAAGATATTCCAGCTTCCTGTGAATACTGGGGTTGGAACTGTGGATGGGGTTGGGCTTCTTCATCTTGGGAGGAAGATCTATGCAGCCTGGGAAGGAGACTACTATTTGGTGGGGAGAGACAGGCTGGCAGATCTATGTAAGAAATATAAGGCAAAGAACAAAGAGGAGAGACATGTGCTGGAAAGCATAGGACAGAACATAGAAGGGTTGAAAGGCCATCTTTGACTGTCTGTTTGTTTATGATGTATTGGAAGGGGTTTTATCTGTGAGTAAACAACCAATACAAATGGAAAGGCAGAGATTTACAAACCTGCTGAAGGATGGAGAGAGAGGGATTCCTCCGGAGTACAGCATGAGCTTGGGGAAACACTCTGTGACTGTGCGGAACCTAAAGAAAAAGTATCTTATAAACAAGATTACATTGCTAGACATCTACAACTACTACAGAACCCCGTTATCGGTATACACATCACAGAAGATCAGGAACATGTTCGTAACGGCATCTCTGTGTCTTACTGTGTATCTGGCATCGAACATAGATTCAATCAGAAGCAACAAGATTCCGAGGCTTGGAGTAAACTTCTCGTCTGCAGCCCTGGTTATTGGCGGGGTGTTTGTTGGCAGGGAGGCGATTTCGTATGCGATCAACTTCAGGAAGATGGTGTCTATATTCTACATGTACAGATACATTCTGGAGAGAGACATGGAGGAGATCCGGTTCAAGGATGTTGTGTCGGGGATGATCAAGCTGGAAAGAGAGGTGCACAACAGAGACCTGGAGGAGAAGGATGTGCGGGACATTGTGAACCATAACAGGCTACTCCTTCTGTTGATGATGAGGAAGTTTCCTTCGATATTCCGGCCGGCATGTTCCAGGTTCCTGCTGCACATCCTCCATGGCTACATCCACAGAATAGAAGAGGGCCCTGTGGAAGAGCTGGGAGACGAGATCCGGGTGGTTTCGATTGGAATCTTCATATTGTCCCCGGCGATTTCGATCTTCTTTATTCTGTACTACATTGCAAAGATCATAGAAAAGTCCCAGAGCAATATGTTCTATGTGTTCAAGAAGTCCCACAGGCCGTGGTTCAAGTACATGATGGCCAAAAGAAACGAGTATCCACACGAAACACACAGGAAGATACAGAAGGGAGCTGGATATCTAAACGGATTTTTTCTTTCAAGAAAGAGAGACTGCATCCCAAGGGTCTGCTCTGGGATCTCGTTTCTTCTGAGCTGTCTTGTGTTTCTGGTTGGATATCTTATTCTGAGCATCTTGGTTGCATCCAAGCCAAACCTGAGCCAGAGCCTTTCCCAGGATATAACTGTCTTTGGGAGGACAACAAACATAGTGTATCTCTCGTACCTCATGGGGGGAATATCCTGCTGCCTGAGATGTCTCAGCATCGAGTATGGGGTTTCGAACCGTCGAAAGATGTTTGCCAAGTGGTGTGTGCTGATGGAGCAGACGGAGGTGCTGAAGTACTGTGGAAGGCGGGGATCCCTTGAGGCGATTATGTCGAAGATCTTTGTTCCGCGTATATATTTATTTCTTGTAGAGATAGTGTCTCCATTTATTGTTCCTTTCCAGTTGGAAGGAATGAGAAGGAGGTTGGAGAGGATCCGGCAGGAGTTTGAATCTGTGGGGGAGGGGGAGTACGACAGGCGGGTCTCGATCCTTGATCTATGACGGGAGGAAACACGGCATGGATCATATTCACAGATTGATTTCTTTGTGGGGTTCCAGAACACCCAGGTCTCGGAGCTTGTCGCTCACCACAGATGCCTTGACAACATACTTACTTCCAAATCTTCTTACAAGCTCTCCGAGATCTTTACAGCGAAGAAGCTCTTTTTCAAGTTCCCCCAAAAGCTCTTCGGGAAATACTTCGCGCTCTACTAGTGGAAGAGAAATCCAGGAGGAGCAGAATGACGGAAATATAGTAAACTTACAGGAAGGAAATCCAAGACATGGCTTCCGACATGTTCTAGATGGCTCCATCCTTTCCGAATCCAACTCTATCCATTCACAACTACTTTCTTCCTCCGAAGATTCCTCTTCTGTGCTTTCAATAACTTCTGCATCCTCGCAATCTTCCCAATCAGAATCTTCCTCGTAGTCTAAAACTTGTGGAAGCCTTGTAAGGCTGTTTTTCACATAATGTTTCTGTCCTCCAAATCCATAGAGAGGTGGCCTAAGCTGGTTGGAAAATTTGATGAAGGATAATCTTCTTGGATCTTGAATGTCTTTTCTTATGCGTATTGTGGAACTGAGAGGACTCGAAGGCATGCTGACTGCTGTCTCCTTGTCGAAGCATATTGGGGAAAATAGTCCAAGCATATCCGCCGAAGGCTTCTTTATGCCTTCTACCTGAATAAATCTCAGCATACCAGAAGTGTTTGCTTCTTCTTTTTCTGTATCTCTCTCCAAGCCAGAAATCCCTTTATCTTTAGCTTTTTTCTTTCTCGCTCTCTTCAATAGGCTTCGAACACCTTTAGAGATTCCATCAAGGCTCTTAAGAAAGTATATATTTCCCTCTCCACTTACTTCCACATCGAAATTGGACTCAACAGCCTTCTTCAGACTATTTACTCTGTCTTTTCTCCTCTTCGACGTTTTTTTATACGAATATAGGATTTTGTCCATCCAATAGTAGTCCACCTTCTGCTTCCCTTCTACTAGGAGAGCTATAAGATCTAGAGGAACCTCTTCTTCTCGTCCTCTCTTCCACTCATGCAGAATCTTTAGCACTTCCGGATGGAATAAAACATCCGTAATCATAAAAAGGATAAGAATAAAACAATATAAAGATATTGGGAAGATACAATGGCAATATGTTCTTTCTACCAAATACTTCCCATCATACCCACAGTTTCATGGGGATTATATGAAGGATACCCTGGCTCTTCCCCTTCTTTAGACAAGAATAAGCATCCAACTAAAAGCCCCTCTTCAAGTTCCGGCCCCTTTAAAGCCAAACCGCCAAGGATGTTTTTACTAAACAGTTGTCCACTATTCTTATGATTCCCCTTCTAATTGGCCAATTATAGTGAGGACTCCCACATACGCTCCAATAGCAGTGCCCTTAATGAATCATATCAACCGTATCCGAGATATACTCATCAACCTTGATTCACAAAGCTCTCTTCATGAAGAAACAGTTGCAGAATGTGCATTGGTATATTATTATAATGCTGTAAGTAAGTTTCTGAATGGAATCCTCTTCTATGAGGAGAAGTTAAATGAAGTCTTGGAGTCTTTGAACAACAAGCTCAATTCACAGAGTGAAAAGGGAATTAACGCGGTCAAAGAAACTCTGGACACACTTCGTAGGCTTAAGGAGACAATACAACCTAAAATCGAATGTCCTTTTAACCAACTTTCTCATCCTCCAGAACTAACAAATATTGAAATCCTCGAGTACAACTTCAAAACTTTTGAAGAGTACTTCAAAGCAATCGATAGAATGGTTTCTTCGGAAGGACAGATTCCATTTGAAGAGTTCAAGGATGCACTCAGGAATGTCTTGCCATATGTCGATTATCCACTGACCCACAGTACAGGATCCCATTCTATTGTTCTCAAAAACGTATTTCTTCAACTCTTGGGGGAGTATAATGTCTCTGCTGTATTTGAAAATACCTGTCTCAATAAGTATTATGAAAACTTAAGAATAATAGGAAGAAAAGTTCTCCAGAAGCATTTTGAATCTCTCATAAAAAGTCTTGTCTCAGAAAACTGGAAAAACGAAATAGAAAAGGAACTAAGTGCTTTGGAAAGGGAGGTATCCCTGGCGTATAAACATCAAAGGAAAAGAATAGAACAAGGAATCCAAGATGCTCGAGCTGTCTTAAACTCCCTTTCTCAGGATGTAACCGAACTTCAGGATGAATATGAGAGAATTTTTGGCCTTCTTAT